CGAGCAACGGACAGGAGAAGGTCACGGACAGAGCGGAGAGACTGAGAAGGGATATACCTATGGATCTGTGAAATGGTATAAGAGGGTCTAGAATTGTTCAGTGCTTTATATGTATGGGTTATCACTTTGAATTGACTCCTATAGGATACAGGAAGCCCATGAAAGGAGTGACAGAAGTGTGAGGTATAAGAGGACCGACTAAAGAGGAAAATCAGTCTGGCGGCAGCATTCATTACAGACTGTAGAGGGGCAATATGGCTTTTGTGAAGACCAATCAGGAGAGGGTTACAGTAATCCATGCGAGAAATTACTAGAGCATGGACAAGCTCCTTGGTAGCATCTTGCGTAAGAAAGGGATCGATGCGAGCTATGTTTTTAAGATAGAATCTACAGGATTTGGTAACAAACTGGATGTGAGGCTCAAAGGTGTGGTCAGAATCAAGTATGATGCCAAGACAGCGCGCTTGCAAGGATGGACGTATGTGGATACCACTAACAAAAGTGTTATAGTTAAAACTAGTGTATATTATTTCAAAGGAACAGTTGAACTCAAATGCACCCAAAATAATATTGCTCACAAAAGGCACGTTTAGGGAGTATTTTCTTTTGGCTCACATGCTATTTCTATTAAAATATTTTCATTAAAGTGAAATATTGTCCTGTAAGACTCTGAATGCATGACTACCACCATAACAAAGAACAATGTAATTAATTATTTATGGCTTCTAGCGATCACCATATGCTGCTAACAAATACATAGTGACAGCAATACTGGGGCCAGCTTTCTACAATGTAAATCACAGCTCTGAATGATTTATTGTACAAGCACGGTAAATGCTTGTATCAAGATTGAATAAAAAGGGTACTTTTCCATATGCCATGAAACATGTCTAATAATGAGAGCAGGAGGTTCATTCGCTCTTTTATCCCTTAAAGCAGGACTGTCATGCCGAACGTACCTTTCCTCAATTGCTCCTCTTCTCTCCCTCTCTCAGAATCTGTTCTCCGTTTCTTCCTATCTGATCTAGTTTTCTTTAAAACATAAGACAAAGCTTGACCCGCTCTGACCCACTTCCCGTAGGTCAGAGAAATTTTTCCCACAATACTCACTTTTTTCTCCGTGATCTCGCGATGCCTGCTTTCAGTATTCCCAAATGTCCTGGCATTTAGACGACCAAATTTCATCCTAACAGAATGAGAACAGTTTCTCCATTCGTGTTAGGATGCCATTCTGGACTTTTTGTTAATTGAAATTTCATTTGAATGAATGAAACTCCAATCTGATCAATGCTGTGGCTGCTCATTGCTGTGTAAAAAAAAAAAAGCCCCCCCATCCCCTTCTCATAAATTGCCCCATGGTGGGCATCTATTAACTAGCAGGGGGGACATGTTGGATTTTTTTTTTTTTTTTTTTTAAGGATCAGGATTTTTTTTTTGGCTGTGTTTTGTTTGCGCTTGGGTCTTTTTTATTTTATAAGTTCGTCAGGTTTAATGGATTTTAATTTGGCCTTTTTTGTGGCTGAAAAAAAGAAGGTTTTAGAAAACAAAACATCAAATGGTACGTTTTTTATTTATTTATAGGTATTTAGTTTTATTGTCCCCCCCCTCACTATTTTTAGGGTGAGTGGGGTAGGTAGGGCTTTATTTTATTTTTTGGGGGTGGGGAGTGACTAGGGGCTTGACGATCCCTACTCACCTCGGGGGGTATTTTGTCATTTAGTCCCTACCCCACGCTCATGGGTGGGGCCCAGGGGGAGGACAATGGGTCTTCCCCCCCATTGTTATTTAGGCTCCCCACCCGTCGCTCATGGGTAGGGGAAACAATTGGTTGCCCCCATTGTTTTCTTGGGCCACCACTCATTGGTGGGGGCCAGTGAAAGGACATTGGAAGGACATTTAGGGACCCCACCCGCCGCTCATGGGTGGGGGACAAAGAGGACCCTATGTCCCCCGTTTAAATAGCCCCCACCCCCACACTATGTCCCCTCCGCTAGTCAATAGATGCCCCACCATGAGGGCCATTTATTAGCGGGTGGGACTTTTTTTTATTTTTATAACAGTGAGCAGTCATAGGCCCTCATAAAAACCCCCATTAAAAGAACTAGCCTAACGAGAGCGTCTTGCTCCCCAAGAGGGGATCCAAACACCTACACAAAAAAGAGGGGGAGACAGAAGGGGAGGAAGAGGGAGGATAGGATTTTGAACTCTAATTGTCACTCCGCCAATATTTCTAACCTTAGAGTCGTTAATCTTTCAAACTGTGACCTTAACAAATATCATCTCATTACTAGAGAAGGGATTGTCCTTTGTGCCAGTACTGCCTTTTAATAAACTTCTGTGGGTTAAAGACCTTCACCTTTTCACTCGCAAATTGGCACTTCATAAATACCATCAGATCAATAAAGAAAAGAAGGCAAGATCTCATGGAATGTCCACTACTGAATATGACTGTCTTATAACCCTGATGGAGTTATGGGAAGAGAATAATGAGGCTAGCCCTTCCAACTATACTGATCTCAAACAAAAGAGTCGGTTCACCCCTTATCTAGGGAACTATCGAAACATTGATCTCTTTGTGGAAACAATGAAAAGTGAAATTGATAAGATTAACATCAGGTCTTTGGAGCTATATCCAAACAAAAATCTGTCTAAGAAAGAACATGCTTTGAGTTCCCTTAAAAACGACAACAAGCTAATTATAAAACCAGCAGATAAGGGTGGCAACTTTGCAGTTATGAACTTTAACAGCTATGTTGAGATGGTTGTGAAGGTTCTAGAGGATGGAGAGACTTATAGGGTCCTGAAATCAGACCCTACAAATGACTTCCTTCAGCCATGTAAGGAAATCTTGGACAAGGGTGGCAGTGAAGGGTTGCTGTCGGGTGACTAGTATGAATTCATTCTTAACCGTCACCCTAAGATAGCAACCTTTTACTGCCTGCCCAAAGTCCATAAAAGTCTGACTTCTCCCCCGGGTCGCCCCATTGTGTCGGGCACTGACAACTTGATTCAGAATGGGAGTATATATATATCGATCGGATTTTGAGACCCTTTGTTGAGTGGCTTCCATCTTCAGGGACACCAAACAAGATATTGCCCTTCTCTCAAATTTACAGGTACCCCCTTTAGCCAATCCCTGTAGTCTGGACATTGATGCACTCCTCCATCCTACATTCTAAATGTATTCGGCACATTGGTCACTTCCTGGAACAGAGGTGAGAAAAATATACCCCACACACCAGATTCAATCTTGAACTCCTCGAGTATATACTTACTTGATTTTGTAAAAATCCTCAACATCAATGATGAGAACTTGAGGTTCACTAGCAAATTTGGCGGGTCCTGTCTCAATTTCTTGGATCTGACAATTTCCATCACAGACCAAAACACTATACATACTACCGTACAGAAAACCGTCCGCCTCTAAAAATCTCCTCAGATGGGACAGTTTCCACCCTAAACCCTTGAGGCAGGATATCCCTACGGGTAAATACCTCAGGGTCAGACAAAACTGCAGCACCATTGAGGATTTTATCATCAAAGCAAGGGACCTTAGAAACCAATTTAGGGAGAAAGGATACCCCAATCAATGCTTGAAATGCACTTATAAGAGGGCCTTGGAGTCTGACCATAATGTACTGGTAAATGAGACTGCACCTAATGTGGCATTACAATCATTAGATTGATAGCCACCTATGATGCAGGATGGGGAAGTGTTCAAGAATCACTCCAGCGCTTCAGGCCATTACACACCAGCGATGAGCACTTAAAAGAGGTACTTGCCCCCCCCCCAATGTGACTATTACAGCACGCAGGGGTAAAAACCTTTGAGACATTTTGGCCCCAAGTCACCTACAACAAAGACAGTCTTCTTCAACAACATAGCTTCATAACCCTCTAACTGGTACCTTTGGACGTGGAAGGTGTGGTGTATGCAAATACATCACGAGGGATTATACAATTGTGAAGGATAGTGAAGAAAAGGAGGAGTTCAAAATAAAAAAAAATTCAACTGTAACACGGCAGGCTTCATATACTTGCTTACCTGCCAGTGTCACCTTAAATATGTTGGAAAGACTTTTCACCAGTTTAAAAAACAGTAGACAACCCCATTATGAGACATCTTAGGGAATGTCACTGAGGCGATTCGAAAGGTCTACGTTTTTGTGGCTTGGAATTGGTGAAGAAAAGTGTAAGGCGGGGTGATTATGATACTTTTTTAAGGCAACCAGAGTGCTTTTGGATATATAGATTGAAAACACTGAGTCCAAAAGGACTTAATGAAGGATTTTGCTTCTCCCCTTTTCTTTAATAATTCCCCCCACCCCATAATAATTTTGATTACCTCCACCTGTACACAAAATGAGTTTAATCTATTTAAACTAGATCGATTGGAAAAACATTGACTCTAATGTGAAGGTATTTCTCATAATCTTTGTTGTTGACCTCTGGGCAATGTAATGCATCTATTCACAAGGCAGGACCTTTATCGATCAATGAACTTATTGATCTCATCACAAGGGTATTTCTGCTTTGTGTGTTTGGATTATTATATCCACACATAAGGCAGGACTTGTATTGAAATAAGTAATTAGTTGTTTGGTACCTTGACTGGTTTTTGTCTTTCGTTTATCCTGCTCTCTCTAATCCTTGACCTTGGCTTGTTTAATCGTTATTCCTTACCTAAGTAATCCTCTGACCTCGGCTTGTATTCTGACTGTTTATTTGTATAACCCGGCCATTGTAAGGACCGGTATTACAAATATTCTTGTTTGTGATTCTGTCTGTGTGTTCTGGTTCCCGGATTCCGGACAATAACCCAGTGCAGCAAAAAACACCAGAATGTATTGCCACTAAATACACTTAATAAATAGATAAAACCAAGTACAAAAGATGATAGCGCCCACACTGATTATATATTTTACCTTTTAGTATGTGACAGACAGGTTCTTTTTCAATAAAATGTATTAGCAGAAAATGTATAGTACAAGCATAAAAAGCCCATATAGTATAATATGTTAAAAAAACAACAACAAAAACAATATTAAGATGGGTTAAAATTGAACACTCACTATTTACAGAACCATTTTAAAGATTGGCTCTGAACTATAGATACAATTCATCCACAATAAGGATAGATGGTAATAGATGAGGTCTTACTGGAACTTAAGGATATCCAGAAGAATCAGGAACCAAAATAAAATAGAATAATCTTTATTCTCATAAAAGTTAGATAAAACAATCAAATATGAACAGCACAACGCGTTTCAACCAAAATAGGTCTTCCTCAGATGCAATCTAAACAGAAACTGCTAGTGCAAACATATATACCCCACATAATAAGCTCTATTAAGTACAGGTGTGCTAATTGTCCAAAACACACCCCCTATCCATATATGGTCAATATTTGGTCCTAACCGGATGCATATCGCATTACAGACCTAGCTGCTACATATTTCCACCAGCATCTTGTATAACTACACGGTAGTCAAAATTAGTCCTCCTCTAAATCTTCATATGGATGATCTGCTGCTCATTAGATCCAAACAATAGACATAATCATTTCTGCAGCCAATAACCAGGTAATTTCCCCAAACAACGGGTGAAGAAAATACTTCTCCGTCAAGTTTATACACAGTGTCCAAGAGCCCGCTGCCAGCATTGAAAACCCACACATTCCCATCTGTAGAAGCAGCTGCCACAAATTCCATGTTCTGCGTGTGTGGGTGTGGAAACACAAATGGAGTGGAATACACCCTTGAGCTGGTTTTGTATTTCCAAAGTAAAACGCCCTCCATGTCACAGCAATAGATGAAGCCATCATGTGAGCCAAAAATGACTTTCTGGGAAATACTTGAAATACACGGGGAGGAAAATATTGGCCCGCTGGTGGTAATATGCCAAACCTGTGCAAGAATAGCCAAAAAAAGAGAACAAAATATTTGTCAGAATCGAATCACAAATGTTTATTCACAGATATGATTTTGTACTAATTAGTATAAATACAAACTATTTAGCAAATATGCTAATTTCTGAGAAAATGACATTTTCATTACTGTGTAGAGTGATCTGCAAGAACAATACACTGGGCCAGCACACTTAAAGAGAAACTGTCACTTTTCTGATGACAGTTCTAAATTCCATAACCTCAGTTAACAATACTAGTGTGACTCCCAAGAAATCACTGACAGACAGTTTAATTACCAGACTTGTATTATAACTGTCATACAGTGGTTACTGCATTTTCCAAATTCAGTGTATCTCTATGAACCATGACAAATTATTAGTCAGACAGATTAAATTGGGTTTAGTACATATCTAAATGTATGCACAGGTTAGCTAGAAATGACTTAAAATGGACTTGTGAATGTTTTCATTATGCAGTGAGTAGTATAAATGAAGGTTGGCTGGGCACCATGAGAAATGGAAGTCACATATACATGTACTACGATACTTGGTCTTCTCTGAATTAGTGTATGCTCTCAGAAATGTTTAGGAAGGACTGTGGCAGAAGTTAAAACTGTTCAATTTGATCTAATCAGAGAGGGCTGTTGATTGTTGAATCTGCTGAGGAGCCTGTCTATTTGAGGCTGCCAATCGGTAATGCTTGTCCTAACTGACCTGCAGACAATTGTTTTGCCAGAACTCTAGCCCCACAGAGTTATCAGTTTGCAAATATAAACAAGTGATTTAAATAATGCATATGTGTCAAGTCTGTAAAAATAAAAGCAAAATAAACAAACAGATAAAAAAAAATAATAATAATTTATATATATATATATATATTTGTGGTCAGGGCATCAAAGGCCATAATGAGAGCATATTAGAAGTAGGTATGTAAGGTCCCTATATGAAACATATAGTGATATGAAAAATTGGTTGTGGTGTGCCGGAGCCGACAATGTGGGCGGCCTAGAGGGCCCACCCTGGATAATGATATGAGAAAAAGAAGTGGTGGGAGTGTTAGTCAAATAATCAAACACTTGATTTGATCTCTATCTGCTCCTGTCCAAATTGGTTATTTAATTGCGTGCACGCTTCCTAAAAATAATTCACACCTAGAATACTCTAGGCACCAAAACAACTTTACCTTAATGAAGCGGTTTTGGTGTATAGATTGTGCACCTACAGTTTTGATCAGCTTTCAGCCATTTTGGATTTAAATCACTTTTTTTTTACACCCTCCCCTGGCATTTACTCACACACCCTTCCTCTTTCTCTGTAAATGAACCTTTAATCACACACAGGAGGCTGTTGCATGCTCCAGTAGGCAATTAACAAAGCAGTAGATAACTTAAAAAAAATAAACACACTTTTCATTAAGGGAAGTTTAAAAATTAGATTGTTTTTCAGGATATATGTAGAGGGGCTGTATAGGTCACAGCCAGGGAAGGTGGGGATAGGAAGCATAAACAAAGTGATTTAACTCCAAAATGGCAGAAAACTGAGCAGTGAGACGTCAGAGGCATGTACTACACACCTAAACCACTCCACGATGCTAATGTTGTTTTGGTGCCTCAAGCATCCCTTTAAGCATTGCTCAAATGAGCACAATGGGAATTAATGTGTATTGTTATTCAATTGTTAGCTTTCTGTTGTAGAAGATTCTACAAGTCATAACAATCTATGCAGGAATAAAAGAAACATAAAAACAAAAACTACCCAGAATAACGAACAGTAACCGAACTTACACATTACATCTAATATGCATGGGAGCCTTACATGTCCCTTTAATGTCTGATAGCTTGTGACTTCATGGATATGATCAGTGTTAAAATAAAATAATAATAAAAAAATAATGCCAGTGCACCTCTCCCCAAGTCAGACATTGTTAACTATTACTATTAACCCCTTAAGGACACATGACATGTGTGACATGTCATGATTCCCTTTTATTCCAGAAGTTTGGTCCTTAAGGGGTTAAAAGCAATCGGCGCATTTGACAGTGCGGCCTGAGCTTCAATGAACTGAGGAGGCGAAGGTTATGAGAGAGGTATGTGATCATCTATACACTAGAGCGGAAAACTAGATCACGATCATGACAATCACCGCGATACCCAGTACTGTAAAGGAGAGCCTGAACTGAGAGCTGTCGGTCTGAGTCAGCTGTACCATTGCAGGAGACGGAGAGACACGTGAAAACGCTGGTGGAAATGCTGGGGAGACAAACGAACACGGAAGCAAATGCTGGGCAAGAAACAGAGAAGTACTGGCTTGGAAACGTGTGGAAACTTGGGGCAAAAGTTGAAGATGGTGTGTTTAAGGAAGGAAAGGGAGGTGGAGGAAGGGAAGAAAGGAAAGGAAATGAGGAAAGAAGGGCGGGTGGGGAGAAAAAAAAGGAGGGGAAAAAAAAGAAAACAAACAACTAAAGAGATTCATAGAGAAACAAAATGCCTCCAAATGTAGATAAGATAGAAAATATTAAAAAAAAACAAATAAACCAGATCCCTCTAATAAGGGGCAACAAATAAGTGCCTTTTACTCACCAAAAGGTAAAGCTGATTATTAATGGCTAAGCCTTCCCTGAATCAAACAATGGAAACAACTACCTCTGAACCAGTAGACGATATCTCCCAGCAAACCTTAAACACAACTTTAGAAGCTCTGTATCAGAGAATCAAAGGAGACTTGGATAAAACCATGGCTGAATATAAAGAATACCTCTCTCAATTAGAATCCACAATTGCCTTACAATCTCAGTATATAGAACAAATTCAAATGAAAAGCAATGACCTACAAACTCAACTAGATCCTGCAACCCATACGATATCTAAACTACAAGAAAAAGTGATAGACCAAGACGACAGACCGCGCAGACAAAACCTAAAGATAAGAGGAATTCCGGAAGAAATGGTAGACCTTTATTCCCTGTTTAATGGAGATGCTCGCACTATATATTGACCTAATGCTTTCTGGACCAGCTCCCATTGAAAGAGCCCACAGACTCCCAAAACCAGCGTATCTAAACCCAGCCAAATGTTCCTAGGGATGTGATAATCCGATTTAACAACTCAAGGATCTATCTTTAAAAGAATTGAGGAAAAATCCTAGTACCATCCCAAAACTTGCAAAGTTAAGGACATTTGCTGATATCTCGGTCGAGATACGACAAAGCAGAAAAAAGTTTAATGATTGTACCAGAAATCTTAGAGACAATCACATAACTTATTCCTGGGACTTTTCTACTAAGCTGAGAATTTTATATACGGATAGAATTCATGTATGTCCAAATGCCGCACAAGCAAAAGAGAAATTGATGCTATGGGACTCTGGCAAAAACATAAATGAAAGAGGAGCTTTTTTCCTTTTTGTTTTTTCCGTTTAAAGAAACGGTTTTAAATGTTTTTTTTTTTTTTTTTTTAGAGAAAGATAAATTCCTAAAATTTCTCATGTCTCTAGGGTGAGATGGAAGGGGAGGAGATCGGGGAAAAGAGAGTGAAGGAGAGTTAGGGGAGGAAGGAGGGGCAAGGGAATGAGCAAAATAAAAGAAGATGTATATAATAGATAATAGATAAGAAGAAATACACTAGTTAATAATGAACAAATAAGTAATCACATGGTAAAATGAAAAGGATACACTATTACTATACAGAATGAAGTTAATAAGTATATGATATTTTCCCGTATTCTAAATTATGCATGATTAAGCAATACTAAATAGCACCAATAGATAAGTTAACTATGGAATAAATAAAATCTACACTTTAATACTTCTTATGGAGGCGACCGGCTCGGTGATCGTGGAGGCGAGAATGGAAGCAGCAGGCAGGGGCATCGTGCGAGGGAGCAGTGATCTTCCTGCAGCTTCTCTCTGCTCCCTTGCACTGTGTAATGATGACAGGAGCCGGAATATGATGTAATTCCGGCCCTGACATCACTGCAGACAGTGCGAGGGAGCAGGGAGTAGCTGCAGGAAGATCACTGCTCCTTCGCACACAGAAATAGCAGCCCCACTGGACCCCAGGGAAAGTCTAAACAAGTACTAAACTGCCTTCCTATGGAGAGATATCGAAAGATTTAAATTGGACAGACTAACCCCCGGATGACCCCTAAAGTATATATTTTTTTGTATTGAATGTTTATGTTTTGTGAGTTTTTTGTAAAAAAAAGAAAAGAAAGAAAATTCTAATAAAGATTTATATAAAAAATAAAAATAAATAAAGGCCGTCGACATACACTTCGAACTAAGGTTCCATTAGCATGTTCGCTCTTACCTTCTCTCCTGAATGACTAAAACAATAGAAGTTTTCATCCACACATCCAACAAACACATGTTTCGTGTTGCACTGAGGTGAAGCAAACACAGGTTTGCCACACGCATGCCTCCATAACGTATCTCCAGTAGACTGTAGGGGTAAAAACCAAGGGGACATTTTAAAGAAAAGATCTGCATAAGTGATTATGTGATTCTCTTGTTATTTCCACACAAAATAGAACAGACAGGAGAAAGCTATTTTGTATATAATTCTGCCTGTGTGAGTATATTATCAGCATGCAAATCATCAAGGGATAAATCTATTTTAAACTAAACATGGCTGATGAATAGCACCACACGAAGAGATTGGCATGCTAAATGTGAGACTATCCAACTTGCATCTCACCTAGAAATATTTTTAAAACATCATTTTTAAAAGAACTGCCACTTTGTGTTTAAGGTCAACAATCACATATATCTAGCATAATTCCTGTAGAATTAAACTAAAGAGGAATGATCAATGGGTGACAAACATTTGTAAGGAGCCACGATCCGCACTAATTTTCCGATCTGGGTCACTACAATTCTTTACATTCGGCCAGGCTTTCTGTTTCTAATTTTAAGCCTCGTTTAGTCATGCTACTTGTCAGTAGGCATTTACATAGCATTTTTGTTATGCCATCAGTTACTTCCAGGACTAAAGGTAAGCTTCTACTGTATATTTTTAGCACCTTCATACTTTCATGCATACAACACATTTTATTAGTTGCTTCATTATGGTATTTCTCTGCACAATAGGGTGTTGTCTGGCTGTTGTCCTTGGTGTCTCATTGAAGCTTCCGGCATGGTACTGGATAGTTTTGTTAAAAAAAATAATAGTTTTATATAGGTAGCGGGCTCTGATGTGTATGGATCTTAGCTACCTGATACTTGAACCCCAAACTACACACAGTTGGTATTGTTATTTGTGTTATTAGTATGTATCTGTATGTTAAATGGTTCTATGTCACCTGATCAGTACTAAGTACTTTGTAATACTACAAGGGTGTACATTGCTTTAGTTCGTCATACGATTACTGGTTGTCAGAAGCAAGGGGTAATGGGGACCATGTTCTTAAACTAAACATCCCCACTCATCTACAGGAACAGTTTCCCTTACAGGTTCTCATGGTTCAATTTATTAGGTAAAATTGATCATTTACGTAAGTAACAGTCTACTTTGCTTAGGGGTATGAAGTATGCACACCTCACTACTTCATTAAGTATACCAGGTTTTATTTTTTGGAGGCATGTCATATTCTCTTTTACAAGTTAAATGTTTTCATATTAATTTTTATTTTCAGTTACTTTACATTTCCTCACTCTTATGTTTTATACTATGCTTTACTGTCGCAATACCTATGTTGGAGCACTTGCTCCAAACTTGTCGATGGTTATCCACAAGTCAATATTTTATTCCATTGCTTCCCAGTGGTCGTGTTATTACTTTATTCTGGTCACCTCCCTTATGATATATCTTACGTATCAATACAACATGCAGGCTTTAAACTTACCATTGATTATCTCGGGCTATATATATGATTAACATTTATTATACGGTTCAATTTCCTTCGGTTTTGGTAACAGGTATCACTAGAGTATTTCAGTGTTCTGGGCTCATCTTACTTACTTTACCTACCTACCTAACTGGCAATCACTCTGCCGTATTTTCACAGTGTTAGTAACATCAATCTTCTCGCTTTCATCAATCTTCCATGGGTATGTCATTTTCATTGTTTCATATTCACGTTTTTTCAAGTTACCGTGCAAGTAACTTGCTTTACAAATCTACCTCCCTCCTTACGACAACCACTTGCTCTACAGAATGTTACCTTTAGGTTGGTCTTAGGGTACTCCAGGTGGCCATAGTTAGTACTTTTTTGGGCTTCTTGTGCCTTTACATAGCTGTCCCGGAACAAATCATACTTAGTGCCTCACATCTCCACCCTCTTGGCAAAGGACTTAGGTCCTCACCTGTCACGGCCAACCTATCTTGAATCTTTTTGATGGTCACCGAGAGGCCAACACCCCGTCACAACGCTCGGTGGCAAAATTATTCAATGGCCCAACTCATAGGTAGAGCCTCTCATCATCTCTTGGCAACTAGTTAGGTTCCCAAGTTACCAATTTAGCTTAGTTGTTTTGCCACTTGGCATAACATAGGTCATCGAGTACCTGGGCGTTATATAGTTGCTCCCACTAACGAGTTTTCTGTTTCAGGTATTGTTAAAAATGTCACTACAACTCAGGGAATGACAGAGGGAAGAGACAAAGAACAGGGGATTAGGGGTCTATAACCATTCTGATAATTAGTTTCAGGTCCAGTTTGGTAGATGTACCAAAACACGAGACTTGGGAAGAGTCAGTATTTCCTTACAGCAGCTAGTATGGAGCACCACTCACATCTACCAATACATTGTCTTAAAGGACCACTATAGTGCCAGGAAAACATACTCAGGGTCCCCCTCCCGCCGGGCTCTGGGGAGAGGAAAGGGTTAAAACTTACCTTTTTTCCAGCGCCGGGCGGGGAGCTCTCTTCCTCCTCTCCTCCTCTTCGGCTGAATGCGCATGCAATTACAATGCTTTCCTATGGACGCTGGCGTCTTCTCACTGTGATTTTCACAGTGAGAAGCACGCAAACACCTCTAGCGGCTGTCAATGAGACAGCCACTAGAGGCTTTGGAGGCTGAAACTGTAATGTTTATAAAAAAAAGGGTTAATCCTAGAGGGACCTGGCACCCAGACCACTTCATTATGCTGAAGTGGTCTGGGTGCCTAGAGTGGTCCTTTAAATAGTTACATAGCTGAAAAGAGCCAGCTGTCCATCAAGTTCAGCCTTTCTCAAAATGTTTTGCTGTTGGTCCAAAAGAAGGCAAAACCCCTGTCTGAATCGTTTCTTATTTGGCAACAAACTAAGACAAAAGTTTGTTCTTGATCCCAGAATGTCAGTCAGATATCTCATTAGATCAAGAAGCTATTCACCCACTAATTAAAAATTATATCCCTGCATATTGTGTTTTAGCAAGTATTCATCCATTTGCTGTTTAAACATCTATAAAGACTCTGATAAAACCACCTCTTTAGGCAGAGAATTCCACATCCTTATTGTTCTTACTGTAAAAAAATAAAATAAAAAAAAACAACCTTTCATTTGCATTAGACTAAGTCTCCTTTCTTCGTGACCTCATGTCCTATGTATACTCCTGTCTATGAAAAGATTTTCAGACAATAGTGACTTGCCGTTTTTCTAAACTAAAGAGGTTTATATTTATTATCTTTTCTTCATACCTAAATTTAGTAGCCCGTCTATTCACTTTTTGTTAGTGCCATAATATCCTTCTTTAGAACAGATGCCCACAATTGCACAGCATGTTCAAGGTCTGGTCTTACCAGTTATTTATAAAGAGGCAAAATTATATTTTCATCCCAAAAATTAATGCCCCTTTTTATACATGACAAAACCTTACTGGGCTTAGCAACTGCTGATTGACATTGTATATTGTTACCTAGTTTGTGGTCTATAACAATTCCCAAATCCTTCTCATGTGCGGTTATCCCTAATTCACCACCATATAGAGTGTAAGTTGCTTGTGCATTCTTTACCCCTAAGTGCATAACTTTACTTTTTTTTTACATAAAATTTTATTTGCCATCTAAGGGGCCCAGTCCTCCAATCTATCTAAATCCCTCTGCAGCAAAACAATACTGTGTCACCATTCATTACAGTCAGCATAGTTTCATGTTTTCTACATTACTGTGTTACAGTATCATTTTAACCAATTTTACCAAATATTTACATCTTGCATGTTCTTGATTCTTGGATGTGAGTACATGCATTCTTAATCTGTGAAACTATTTTTTTTAACTCTCCACCTCCTAGTACCAGCCCCTGCACTGTTATTTTATTTATTTATTTATATCTCTCCCCCCTCACTCTGTGATCCTTAAACAAAATATTTACGACCCTCTGTGAGAATGGTCACTATTTTTCTCTGTTTTACGTGCACTCATGTCGCTTTACCCCGGTATCACAAGCAGTGGCTGAACTAATGTAGAGAGGGCCAAAATGCTAAAAATCCCCCTCTCCCCCCTAAATTCTGTTAGTCTCATAAAACATTATTACAAGATACTAATTTCAACTGTTATTTTACCTCTGTATCACTTTACTAATACAGCTACAATATCTGATATATATATATATATATACACACACACACACACTATATACAGTGATAATGTGTTACAAATAATACAGTTGCATCATACAAACAAGCTGTAAATATTCAAGAATCACCGATACAGTATGCAAAGAGACCTTTGATCATCAATCAGGACTTACCGGGTTAGAAGCTGAAATGAAGCCTCCGAGAGTAGCTGTATACAAGATGTATGGCTCAGAACTTATGCAGGGAGATGAGAACACAGCTCCTCCGCCACAGAATGATTTCCAGATACACTGCTTTACCTGCATGGACAACAACGAGGGGATCAGGTCCAAAAACACATTCTGAAGTCAATGAAAAGTAAACATTTATTTGAATTGAGGACGGATCATTTGGCATATTTACCATGATCACTGTACAGAAAGAATGGCTCCACTCACTTCACTAATAGGTTCAGTGTACAAATTTACTGCCTTCTAACTAATGGAAAGACCTGCCCACAATTGCAGTGAGTTTATAGAGGGAACTGGTTCAACTGGGTCTCTAATGTGTTCAACCTATGAACAAAACAAAAAATAGCTTGCTCTCTGGGTAGTTCAGTGGTTTCAAATATAGCGTGTTTGCCTTCACAAAAGGAAGCAAAGCAAAAGGGAATCAAAGCAAAGACCAGTAGACTGGTCCTACCCACACAGGCCAGTCGTAACTAAAATGTCTCTCTCCATGTACCTTACAGCTAACCAATGCAAGTTTTTTTACCCTGATATACCTCTCCAATTCATGGTTTGTGTCTAATGCACTGGTTTTGAAATTAAATGAGAGGCAGGGCTCATTTGCATTATCTAGATTATCATTTGATGGAGAGGAATGGTAAAGGACCTTCTATATATAGTATATTTTATTGAGTTTACGGGGATATTTCTGTAATTGTTTCTTTTTACAGTGTGGAAGAGAGCTGTCCATTTCTTCTTTCAATTCACCTCTCTGATCAATTAATTTTTTGTGTCAATTGGTCCACTTGCTCCTGTCTAATGTCAACATCATGGTTTTCTGCAGTTAATTCCACTTTTGTAAGTAAACAACTCCTATATATACAGGACTGCTGAAAAGTTCTGTTGTGCAACTATTAGACAAGTCAGTGGAATCAGCACCTAAATAATTCTCTGGCACTCCCTGTGTTGCTGATCTGCAGTGCTCAGCAAAAGTGTTAATCCACTCAGAACAGATTATTATTATGATATTTATAGAGCGCCGTCAAATTCCGCAGCGCTTTACAATGGGACACTATAGTCACCTGAACAGCTTTAGCTTAATGAAGCCTCACTGCTCAATCCTCTGTCATTTAGGAGTTAAATCCCTTTGTTTATGAACCCTAGTCACACCTCCCTGCATGTGACTTGCACAGCCTTCCATAAACACTTCCTGCTAAGAGAGCCCTATTTAGACTTTCTTTATAGCAAGTTTAATTAAGATTTTCTTATCCCCTGCTATGTTAATAGCTTGCTAGACCCTGCAAGAGCCTCCTGTATGTGATTAAAGTTAAATTTAGAGATTGAGATACAATTATTTAAGGTAAATCACATCTGTTTCAAAGTGAAACCAGTTTTTTTTTCATGCAGGCTCTGTCAATCATAACCAGGGGAGGTGTGGCTAGGGCTGCATAAACAGAAACAAAGTGATTTAACTCCTAAATGCCAGTGAAATGAGCAGTGAAATTGCAGGGGAATGATCTATACACTAAAACTGCTTTATTTAGCTAAAGTAATTTAGGTGACTATAGTGTTCCTTTAAGTAATTTATCTGAAGAAAAAAGTGTTGTTTCTGGATAAAAGTGCACTATGTACATTGCAGAAAATACAATGCATCTTATACAACATGGAAAACGTAGAACATTATAAAAACGTCAATATCGTGTTCTATACACGTGATCCCACGCTGCTTTTTTTATCTTGAGGTTGGGTTCTGAGTCAGTGAGTCTCATTTGAATATTTTATCTTCAGTCTGTAAAGGTGTAATGATTTCTACTAAGTTTGACCAGTTCATCAGCCCACTATATATTTGTATTGGTCTATTATTATTCTCGCTATTTATATAGCGTCAACAGATTCCATAGCGCTTTACAATATTATTAGAGGGGGAATTTAACTATAAATAGGACAATTACAAGAAAACGTTCAGGAACGATAGGTTGAAGAGAGCCCTGCTCACAGGAGCTTACAGTCTATAGGAGGTGGGGTATAGAACACATTAGGACAGGAAATAGCAAACAAATAAGGTGAGAGTGAAGCAGAGCTTGAGGAGAGAGTAGAGTGCTGCACTTTAGGAGCAAGCAAGAGACAATAATGTGAGGTAGAGGTTAGTCTGGGAGGCCATAAGCTTTCCTAAAGAGATGGGTTTTAAGGCACTTCAGGAATATTGGGGAATCATGATGGAATGTTTCCGTCATGTGTCCTTAAAGGGTTAAATAATTGAAGACTAGGGAAGAGACTGATGGTGGTAGGAAGCCTATTCCATAGGAAGGGAGCTGCCCGCAAGAAGTCCTGCAAGTGTGAGTTGGCCGTACGCGTGCGAGCAGCGGACAGGAGGTGGTCATGAGCAGAGCGTAGAGACCGAGAAGGGGCATACCTATGGATCTGTGAAAAGATATAAGAGGGGTTAGAATTGTTAAGTGCTTTATAGGTATGGGTTAGCACTTTGAATTGACTCCTATAGGATACAGGAAGCCAATTTAAGGATTGACAGAGGGGTGAGGTGTGAGAGGACCGACTAGAGAAGAAAATCAATCTGGCGGCAGCATTCATTACAGACTGTAAAGGGGCAATACGGCTTTTGGGAAGACCAATCAGGAGAGGGTTACAAAAATATATGCGGGAAATTACTAGAGCATGGACAAGCTCCTTGGTAGCATCTTGTGTAAGAAATGGCCGGATTCGGGCTATGTTCTTAAGATGGAATCTACAGGATTTGGCAACATACTGGATGTGCGGTTCAAAGGTGAGGCCAGAGTCAAGTATAATGCACGCTTGCAAGGATGGACTTATGTGGGTACCACAAACTTGAAGGGAGAGAAAAAGAGGAGGATCAGTATTAGGAGGAGGAAAGATAAGGAGCTCAGTTTTAGAGAGATTGCGTTTCAGAAAGCAGTCAGAGTTGGAAGATAGGCAAGCATTGACACGTTGCAGGACAGCAGGTGAGAGGTCCAGGGAGGAGAGATATATGTGGGTGTCATCAGCGAACAGATGGTGGTGGAATCCAAAAGAGGTAATAAGTTTGCCAAGAGAGGCAGTATAAAGAGAAAATAGAAGGGGATCAAGGACAGAGCCTTGGTGGACTCCAACCGAGACAGAACGAGGGGAGGATGTATCATTAGAAAGGGAGACACTGAATGAGCGTTCAGAGAGATAAGAGGAAATCCACGAGAGGACAGAGTCACAGAGAAGAGTTTGAAGAAAGAGAGCATGATCAACGGTGTCAAAGGCGGCAGAGAGGTCAAGAAGAATTAGTATGGAGTAGTGACCTTTGGATTTAGCTGCTATTAGGTCGTTAGTGCATTGTAAATGTATGGAAAAACTGTAGTATGCTAAAATGGGGCTGTCTAATCTCCCTGACCAGAAAGTGACTTCACCAATACGGTGCCTCCTTTCATTCTGGTCTAGTCAGAGGTCTATTGATATTATCCAATAAACCTCTGACTAGAGTACAGCTGCTAGTAGTCACCAGAAAAAGAAAACGGTCCATGCACTCCAAGGTTTAGATAGGCATTTTTATATGAACCACAGTGTCCAGCAGCAACGTTTTGATCCAAAGGACTTTTTTAAAAAGGTCTTTTTGGATCGAAACGTTGCTGCTGGACACTGTAGTTCAAATAAAAATGCATGTCTACGCCTTGGAGTGCATGGACCATTTTCTTTGTCTGGTGACTACTCACTACTTCTTGGGCCTTGCTGCTGGCCCCAGGTTTTGTTGCACCAATGATTTTTGGATTGAGTGCAGTTCCATTTTTTAGTTTTTTAGTACAGCTGCTAACCGTTTATACACAGTCTGGTTCACGGTTTTGAGAACAGTGCTGTGTGCAGTGACATTCTGACCCAGTGAATGTAGATGGGCACCCCCTTGGCTTGGGTTTCTCCAGGGAGGAGAGGATACTTTCAATTTGTGAAATAAAATTGTACAGAAAGTGGCAGTGGTGCTTCTGAGTGGAGGCTTTGGAAACCAATGAGTGTTTCTAAATAAACAAACATGTTATTCATAACTTTAAATGTTACTTGCATTAATTCATATTTGCATTTATTCTAATGTTCTACAGTGGTTTATTGCCATCAAATACATTTCTAATGCCAAGATAATTATATATAAAAAAAAAAAGCAATTATTTTCTCATGAGTCAGAGCTTAGTACAGAACAAGTGGGTTGCATCCTATTTTGATGCAGAAAATATTTTGGTGCTTCCCTATGGATAGAACTCCAGAAGGGGGTGGCAAGATTAAAATTGTAAAGGAACAATTATAAGAAAAGAAAAGAAATGCAGCCAAACTAAATAATAAAATTAAAAAGGCTGATGCCAGTGTCTTTAAATAACGGTATACACACAGTGTAGCTTAATGGAGTAATAACAGAATGTGAAATTAAACATCATTTACTGAATTGTGATCAGTAGAGAGTGAAAAAAGGCAAAAACAATGGAAGAACTCTCAGAATAAATCATTTGTAAAATGAGGAACAGGGAATGCCAATGTCAGACCTCCTATTCCAATTCTGGTCCCCTGTAGAATTGAATAATAAAAAATAAAAAAAAGTATAAACAACAGAAAGGAATGAACCAGTAGGAAGACTACTAAAAATAATATATTGAATTGTTTTATGGGCATTTACTGTAAATTACCGTATATACTCGAGTATAAGACGAGTTTTCAGCACATTTTTGTGTGCTGAAAAACCCCCACTCGTCTAATACTCGAGTCACTGTCTGTCACTGTCTTTTTGTTCTGTATTTACAGAGGAAGAGGTTCTATTTCAACTGTCAAAAGTAAAGACAAATAAGTCAATGGGACCTGATGGAATACACCCAAAGCTATTAAAAGAGCTTAGTGGTGTACTAGCAAAACCATTAACAGATTTTAACCAATCATTGTTAACAGGAGTAGTCCCAGAAGATTGGAAGTTAGCGAATGTTGTGCCCATTTACAAGAAAGGTAATAGGGAGGAGTCGGGCAACTATAGGCCAGTAAGCCTTACTTCAGTAGTGGGGAAAGTGATGGAAACCATGTTAAAGGATAGGATTGATGAACATCTAAAAACACATGGATTTCAAGATCAGAGACAACATGGGTTTACTTCAGGGAGATCATGCCAAACTAATCTTATTGATTTTTTGATTGGGTAACTAAAATTATAGATCAGGGTGGTGCAGTAGACATTGCTTACCTAGATTTCAGTAAGGCTTTTGACACTGTTGCACATAGAAGGCTTATCAATAAACTGCAATCTTTAAGTTTGGATTCCAATATTGTTGAATGGGTAAGGCAGTGGCTGAGTGACAGGCAACAGAGGGTTGTAGTTAATGGAATATATTGAAGCTTGGACTTGTCACCAGTGGGGTACCTCAGGGATCTGTACTTGGACCCATTCTCTTTAATATTTTTATTAGTGATATTGCAGAAGGTCTTGATGGTAAGGTATGTCTTTTTGCTGATGATACTAAGATATGTAACAGGGTTGATGTTCCAGGAGGGATAAGCCAAATGACAAATGATTTAGGTAAACTAGAAAAATGGTCAGAATTGTGGCAACTGACATTTAATGTGGATAAGTGCAAGATAATGCATCTTGGACGTAAAAACCCAAGGGCAGAGTACAGAATATTTGATAGAGTTCTAACCTCAACATATGAGGAAAGGGATTTAGGGGTGATTATTTCTGATGACTTAAAGGTAGGCAGACAATGTAATAGAGCAGCAGGAAATGCTAGCAGAATGCTTGGTTGTATAGGGAGAGGTATTAGCAGTAGAAAGAGGAAGTGCTCATGCCATTATACAGAACACTGGTGAGACCTCACTTGGAGTATTGTACACAGTACTGGAGACCGTATCTTCAGAAGGATATTGATACCTTAGAGAGGGTTCAGAGAAGGGCTACTAAACTGGTTCATGGATTGCGGGATAAAACTTACCAGGAAAGGTTAAAGGATCTTAACATGTATAGCTTGGAGGAAAGACGAGACAGGGGATATGATAGAAACATTTAAATATATAAAGGGAATCAACACAGTAAAGGAGGAGACTATATTTAAAAGAAGAAAAACTACCACAACAAGAGGACATAGTCTTAAATTAGAGGGACAAAGGTTTAAAAATAATATCAGGAAGTATTACTTTACTGAGAGGGTAGTGGATGCATGGAATAGCCTTCCAGCTGAAGTGGTAGAGGTTAACACAGTAAAGGAGTTTAAGCATGCGTGGGATAGGCATAAGGCTATCTAACTATAAGATAAGGCCAGGGACTAATGAAAGTATTTAGAAAATTGGGCAGACTAGATGGGCCGAATGGTTCTTATCTGCCGTCACATTCTATGTTTCTATGTTTCTATGTATTATGGCAACTTACATTGCCATAATACAGACCAGGACCACCAGGCTCATTACAAGCCCGGCGGTCCTGTTGGGGGCTGGCAGCGAGCTGTAACTTACCTTTCCTGCAGCTCCTGTCAGCTCCCTTCTCTCTCAGCCCATCCACTGGACCACTAGGGAATGAGAGCCCCCCTCCCTGCCATGTAGGAAGGGGCGACGAAAAAATATAAATAATAATAAAATAAAAATAAAATATTAATAATATTAAAAAATAATAATAAAATACAAATAAAATACTAATAATATAACAAAAAAATTATTAAAATAATACTAATAATAATTTAAAAAATAATAAAAAATGCCCACCCCCCACCAAGGCTCTGCATGACATACACAAACACACTCTGCATCACACACACACACACACACTGCATTCATACACACACACCGCATTCATGCAAACACACTGAATTATATACACACACACACACAGCATTTATTATATACACACACTTTAAATAAATATTCAATTAATATAATTTTTGGGGGAATCTAATTTTATTTAGAAATTTACCAGTAGCTGCTGCATTTCCCACCCTAGTCTTATACTCGAGTCAATAAGTTTTCCCAGTTTTTTGGGGTAAAATTAGGGGTCTCGACTTATATTTGGGTCGACTTATACTCGAGTATATACGGTAGGTTTAGAAAAAAAATGTCAGGGTTACTTTCATAAAGAGCAATCTAAAGATTCTCGCTATAACACAGATCACTGAGATTTAATTTTAACTTGATTTACTGTTTTACAATTAAACTAAGACATTACCACCTAATGGACAAACAAGGATACAACAGGAAGTATTTATTAGTTGTTGGCATAAACTTAAAATTAAACTGTCACTCCAGTTTACCCATTTACTTATGACCTGCCCTTTATATCAATGTTCGTGCAGATCCTTTTTCAAATCCCATATGTCACAGTTACCCCCATGCATTATAAACAGCCCTGTGTGGTGTGACGGACACTATCACTGCCCAATTCTCTGCCATTTAGAAGTTAAATCCCTTTTGTTTCTGTTTATGCAGCCTTAACCACTCCTTCCCTTTCCACTGACTGACTGACACAGCCTGCATGAAAAAAATGGTTTCATTTACAATGAGATGTTAACTTACTTTAGGAGTTTTTTTTTTTTTTAATCTCCTGCTCTGTATATTGAACTTTAATCACACCCAATGCTTCTGTAGGCTCTAGTAAGTTAAAACAGAGCAGGAGATATGACATTCTAAATTAAATAGAATGTGCAATAAAATATGGTTAAACATTAGATCTAACTTTACCTGAAGTGTTTAGGAAGGCTGTGTAAGTACATGTATGTATGTTTGACTTTGCATAAACAAAGTGATTTAACTCCTGAATGGCAGAGGAGCAGTGAGATTGCAGAGGCATGACCTATACACCGAAACTGCTTCATTAAGCTAAAGTTTCTTTGGTGTCAATAGTGTCCCTTTAATAAGCCATGTAATATGTCAAATAAAAGGTGCATAATGTTGAAGCATGTATTCGATAAAAAGCAGTGTTTACATTGCTGGATAATTACACCTCTAGTGGCTGTCACTCAGGTGGCCACTAGAGGTGCTTCCTCTGTCAGTTCGCCACAATATGCAGCACTGTGTTAAGTTTCTCCACGCTTTACATGGAGGCGTTGAATGTTCCCCATAGAATTGCATGGATTCAATGCATTTCTATGAGGAGATGCTGATTGGCACAGTATGGCATTTTGCCGTGCATATGCAATAACCTCACAATGATTTTATGTGGAAAGGATTGGACTGGCTGAGAAAGGGTGAGTAAAATCATCTTTAATCTCCAGAAAGAGGGGAGGTAGTGAGCATAGGCACACCTCTGGATTGAGTCCTGCAGGAACAGAGTTCCTGCACTTTTTTTTAGCAGGAACACCGTTCCTGCAGGCACTCAGCGCCCCCAAATTCCCACCTTCCTCCCCCCATATTTCCCCAGTCATGGGGGGGCCAATAGGTGATGGACCCCCCCATGTGGGGCGCCTGTCTCCATATCAGACGTGGTGAGGGAGCTGTGTCCTCTCTGCTCCCTCGCGCCGCGTGCAGTTTGCTGATACCGGCACCCGGAATATGATGTCATATTCCGTCTCCCAGCTACTGTAGACAGGTCCACGCCAGCTCTCTAGGTAGGGAGGCTGGGTGGACATTTTTTAATTAAAAAAAAATTATTTGTGGGTGTGTGTGTCTGAGTATGTGTGTGTGTGTCTGTGAGTGTATGTGTGTGTGTGTCTGTAAGTGTGTGTGATCACCACCTCTTATCGTTTGCTCTCACGTACCCCCTCACCCAACAACCTCCGCCTAACCAGCCTCAACTCAGGAGGGACCTTAATTCTGTGAGTGTGTGTGTGCACGCGTATATATACAGGACCCTGCCGGCAGGGGAGATCCGTCGGCTCACGCAGACATGGCGCTATCTAAATGCCGGCTCTGCTCTAAGCCTCCATGGGCCGGCGTGGAGATCAAAAATTTACCTCACCGGCCCATGGAAGGAGGAAGGAGAGGACCCGGGGAGCTCTAGACAGCAGCACAGCCAGGTTCCTCTCGCGAAATCTGAGCGTTGCCGCGGCAACGCTCAGATCTCGCGAGAGTTAACTATAGCCACGCAGGCTAGAGTTCACTCTCCACTGGACCACCAGGGATGGCACATGGCAGCAAGGATCCCCCCTCCCTACATAAGGTAAGAAGGGAGGGGGGATCTGCCCCCACCTCTACAATACCTCCAAACATACAGCACACACACAGCACCCACACACAGTACACTAACCGCACCCTCACAAACACACACAGTACTTTACAAACACACAACACCCTCACACACTAACAGCCCCCTCACAAACACACACACACAAACAGCCCCCTCACAAACACACACACACAAACAGCACCCTCACAAATACACGACACCCACACATCACACAAACAGCACCTTCACACACACACAAATCACACAAACAGCACCCTCACACACACAGCACCCAAACAAACACCCTCACCCACATAGCACACTACTAGCACCCTCACACACACACACATCACACTAAAGGCACTCTCACACACACACACATCACACTAACAGCACCCTTACACCACCCTCACACAGCACACATACACACACACACACACAGCAGTGTACGTATGTGTGTGTGTGTATATATGTGTGTGTGTGTATATGTATATACACACACATACATACATATACATGCGGTGTGTGTTTGTGCTTTAGGGTGCACACCCTAATGCAATAGGCTGCGCACACCTATAGCAGTGAGCAAATGCTGCATTCCAGCACTAGAGTGTCAGGGACACATCTTTATATAAATACAAAAAGATAAGTCCTGCGCTCACTCCCATGACTCCTGGGTGGCAGCAACGACCACAGTACACATCAGCCACCATACAAACAGTAAAAACCAAAGAAAAAGTTACCTGCGCTCTCTCCTGAATCCCTATGTATATTTAAACAAATAGAGATCATTTAGTTACTCCAACGGCCATTGTAGGTCCTACACTGACCTTTCACCTTGTTTCCTTGAGCTTCTGGCAAAGGTATCTCTAATGTGACAGAGAGGGGTATTTTTTTTATATATATATATATATATATATATATATATATATATATATATATATATATACACCCCTATATATTTATTAACCCTTAATAGGGAACACATGGAATCGGCGGCAGCATTGTAACAAAGCTGTGTGATACAAAAAGCGAATACAAATACAAAAAGATAAGTCCTGCGCTCACTCCCATCACTCCTGGGCGCAGGTAACTTTTTCTTTGGTTTTTACTGTATGTATGGTGGCTGATCTGTACTGTGGTCGTTGCTGATGCCCAGGAGAGATGGGAGTGAGCGCAGGACTTTTTGTATTTGTATTCACTTTTTGTATCACACAGCTTTGTTACAATGCTGCCACCCATCCCATGTGTTCCCTATTAAGGGTTAATAAGTATGTAGGGGTGTACATAAAAAATACCCCTCTCTGTCACATTAGAGATATCTTTGCCAGAAGCTCAAGAAAGCACGGTGACACATCTTTATATTCCTGACACTATAGTGTTCATTTAATGTTAACAGTGTTTGAAGAAAAATTCCAAGAAAGAAATGCAGAAATTCTTGCTCAAGAGAAAATGACATATAGTTTAATATCAAGTAATTTTGCTGCTTTCATCAAAAAGAGGCAAATATAGGTTATTTACACTAATCTCATACCCATCTCTTGTTCCTCTAAATCCTCCTTCAATACTGCCCTCTGGAACGCACGTTCTGTTTGCAATATAACTAAATCCACTGCTGTCCATGACTTCTTCATCTCTCGTTCAATAGATTTACTAGCCTTAACAGAAACCTGACTCTCCTCCTCTGACACTGCCACCCCTGCATCTTTGTCCTTCGGTGGTCTCCAACTTACCCATAACCCAAGAAACTCTGAATGTAAAGGTGGTGGTGTTGGGTTTCTCCTCTCCCCTCACTGCTCTTTTAAACCTCTTCCCACCCCCCCTTCCCTCTCTTTCCCGTCATTTGAAATACACTCAATTCGCCTTTTCAAACCCTTCTCTGCTAACATTGCTGTTATTTACCGTCCCCCTGGTTCCCCTCTTCTCTTCCTTGACCACTTTGCTGCCTGGCTACCCTATTTCCTCTCTTCTAACATTCCATCCCTAATTCTCGGGGACTTCAATATTCCTATAAACCCACCTTTGACCTCTGCAGCCAATAAACTACTTTCAATTACTTCCTCCCTCGGGCTATCACAGTGGGCAAATTCTCCCACCCATGTAGCTGGCAATACCCTTGACCTAATCTTCACTTATGCATGTACTGTATCTAATACCTGCAACACTCCGTATCCACTCTCTGATCACCACCTCTTATCGTTTGCTCTCACGTACCCCCTCACCCAACAACCTCCGCCTAACCAGCCTCAACTCAGGAGAGACCTTAATTCTCTTGATCTCCAACAGTTGTCAGCTGACATTGATTCACAACTGCTGTCCATCCCTTCCCTCTCCTGTCCTTCACTGGCCATATCCATATATAACTCTACTCTTACATCTGCCTTGAACACTGCAGCGCCACTCCAAACAAGCACCTCAAGGAGGACCCGCCCCCAACCATGGCATACTAAATCAACACGCTACCTGCAAAGATGCTCCTGTTGTGCTGAACGCTCCTGGAGGAAGTCTCGCACCCAGTCAGACTTTCTCCATTATAGATTCATATTGTGTTCATACAGTGCAGCTCTTGCCCTTGCCAAACAGTCCTATTTTTCCTCTCTCATTAGTTCATGTTCCCGCAACCCCAGGCGTCTCTTTGACACCTTTAATTCTCTTCTTCGCCCCGCTGTGGCCACCCCCCAAACCAACCTTACTGCTGATAACTTTGCATGTTACTTCACTGACAAAATTGAACAGCTAAGGAAAGAATTCTCCCCTCCTTGCCTTTCTGTTTCTCAATCACACATAGATCATGCCTTTCCTACCCTTTAGACATTCTCCCCAGCCACTGACCAAGAGGTGGCTGCTCTTCTTTGCTCCTCTCGCCCCACCACTTGCCCGCTCGATCCTGTCCCATCTCACCTTATCAGATCTCTCTCCAATTGTCTCGTGCCTTCTCTAACACACATCTTCAACTGCTCGCTCTCTTCTGGCATCGTCCCTGCTGACCTTAAACATGCCACTGTAGTTCCTATACTAAAAAAAACATCCCTCGACCCATCCACCCCCTCTAACTACCGTCCCATATCCCTGCTCCCTTTTTCCTCAAAGTTTCTGGAAAGACTTGTTTTTACCCGTGTGTCTCATTTCCTCAATTCCAACTCTCTCCTTGACCCCCTTCAATCTGGCTTCCGCCCTCTCCACTCTACAGAGACTGCCCTTATCAAAGTTACTAACGACCTAATCGCAGCTAAATCCAAAGGCCACTACTCCATACTAATTCTTCTTGACCTCTCGGCGGCCTTTGACACCGTTGATCATGCTCTCCTTCTTCAAACTCTGCAATCGCTTGGTCTCTGTGACTCTGTCCTCTCGTGGTTTTCCTCTTATCTCTCCCAACGCTCATTCAGTGTCTCTTTTTCTAATGATACCTCCTCCCCTCGCCCTGTCTCGGTTGGAGTCCCCCAAGGCTCCGTCCTTGGTCCCCTTCTATTTTCTCTTTATACTGCCTCTCTTGGCAAACTTATTACCTCATTTGGATTCCACTACCACCTGTACGCTGATGACACCCAGCTATATCTCTCCTCCCCGGACCTCTCCCCTGCTGTCCTGCAACGTGTCACTGCTTGCCTTTCTTCCATCTCTGACTGGATGTCCTCCCGCTTTCTGAAACTCAATCTCTCAAAAACTGAGCTCCTTGTCTTTCCTCCTCCTAATACTGATCCTCCTCTTTCGCTCTCCCTTCAAGTTTGTGGTACCAACATCAGCCCATCCTTGCAAGCGCGCTGTCTTGGCGTCATACTTGACTCTGGTCTCACCTTTGAGCCTCACGTCCAGCATGTTGCCAAATCCTGTAGATTCCATCTTAAAAACATAGCCCGCATCCAGCCCTTTCTTGCACCAGATACTACCAAGGAGCTTGTCCATGCTCTAGTAATTTCCCGCATGGATTATTGTAACCCTCTCCTGCTTGGTCTTCCCAAAAGCCGTACTGCACCCCTACATTTTGTAATGAACGCTGTTGCTAGACTGATTTTCCTCTCTAGTCGGTTCTCTCACACCTCACCCCTCTGCCAGTCCTTACATTGGCTTCCTGTGTGCTATAGGAGTCAATTCAAGGCACTAACTCACACCTATAAAGCACTGAACAACTCTAGCCCCTCTTATATCTCCTCACAGATCCACAGGTATGTCCCTTGGCGGTCTCTCCGCTCTGCCTGTGACCACCTCCTGTCCGTTGTCCGCACCCGTACGGCCAACTCGCGCTTGCAGGACTTCTCGCGGGCGGCTCCCTTCCTATGGAATAGCCTGCCTCCCGCCATCAGACTCTCCCCTAGTCTTGCATGTTTTAAGAAGTGCCTTAAAACCCATCTCTTTAGGAAAGCTTATGGTCTCCAAGACTAACCCCTACCTCACATACCTGTCTCTTGCCCTCTCCTAAAGGGCAGCCCACCTTATTTGATTGCAAATTCCTGTCCTAATGTGTTTTACACCCCACCTCCTATAGAATGTAAGCTTGATTGAGCAGGGTCCTCTTCAACCTATTGTTCCTGTAAGTTTATTTGTAATTGTCCTATTTATAGTTAAATCCCCTTTCATAATATTGTAAAGCGCTACGGAATCTGTTGGCGCTATATAAATGGCAATAATAATAATAATAATAATACATGGACAATGATTTCTTGGGTTTCCATAACGATAATAGAAAATAAAAAGTGACGGTTATCTTAAAAAAAGAAAACAAAAACACAACATACTTACATTAATATCTAAGGCATACAGGTGATGATCATGGGACCCAAAAAATACCAGGCCAGTCAAGGGATCGATAGTAGGTGAACTTTTGATAGCATCTTTGGTAGAGAAAATCCAATGTTCTTTCCCATCATGTCTATTCAACACATAGAGTGACCCATTATAGCACCCTGTAGACAACAGAATGCAAACTGGGTGAAATACAAATTAATATTAAAATACACATATATAAATTTAACACATTACAGGCAATAAATATAACACACACACTCTCTCTCTTTCCACAAATAAACCCAGCACTCTGTCTATATACACTTCAGGAAAAAAATGTTAATAGAACAAGCATGTAGTTTTTTTGTTTTGTTTATTAAAAGAAAAGAAAAAAATTATTTGAAGATATGTAAATTTTTTATTAAGAGGCTACATTTTAGCATTGTTATTGTAGGGAGATACCTACAATATTGAAAGTAAAATTCACTTCACTGTGTGTACAGAGTATTAAATAAAAAGCATTAACAACACGATTCTGTTCTATACGTACCTATCAGAACAAAGCTTCCACACCTTGACACAGCAGCAGAAGACTCAACTCGATCTCCAAGGACTCTTTCCCAAATCACTTCCCCAGACTTTAGATGAAGGGCTTGCATCCTGTGAGAATGTGACCCAATATACACAGTCACTGAAGGTCTTGTGCTGGCTGATTGTATTAGAAGGGGAGTTGCATCGACACACTTGCCTGTATCAGATTTCCATCTTACTCGTATAAAAAATTGACTTTCCAATACACTACTCAGCACAGAATCCTGTGACATAAATGAGCTTGAAGATGACTGGTTAGTTTTTTGTCTTTTACATTCAGATCTAAAATCATCGGTCTTCATAAATTCTGCTACTTCTATAGAAGATCCATTTGTCCATTGACATTTCTGGGCATGAGACTCAGAAGCAAGATGCACATTTATAAATATCCGATTTCCTCTACTCAGTGATATAAATGAATTGATGTGTTTTTCAGGATCTGTTAAGCGTGGCTCGTTTCTTTTATGTGCATGGTTTCCCTTTTCAAGTGTCCTAATGGTGTTTATCTCGGTATGTGGTACAATGCTTGCCTTCTCAACCATCGGGTAAATACATTTATAAATCTGCCTGTGAATATCCATGAAGGTGCCATTCAAGAGGACTTCCAGAAGTCCTGGAACAGATTTCCCAACCAAGGTTTCAAGCTCTTCCTGGAATCTGAGGGCCATTAAAGAGTCCCCACCACTGAGCAGAAACATGGAATCATTTTCAACTGCAGAAGTACCATCTGGAAGGCTTAGCAGAGACTAGAACAGACAGCAAAGAGTTCACAACAAACCTATGAAAATACATTGATTTACATATTGTATTCATCTATAGAAGATATTGGTCAAATCAATGCTACAAATGTGCAATATATGCATTACAGGTTCAGACTCGAAAGCTATACAAAATATAAACCGTGCATTACATATGAATATAGTGAAAATGTGCCTACAAGAGTCAAACCAAAATTTTTAAAAAATGTATGCATTTCCAGAGAGCAAACAGTTAACATGCTTTAACATATTTTATAGCATGCATCACGAACAAATGTAACTTTCTTAACATTTTGCAGATAATAAAAACAGTTTGCAAAATGTGTTTACGAATATCAACTTCTAACAGAAATACTAAAAATACACAGAAGCAAAATGAAAAATAAAAAGTTTACATATAATCTGAATAAATTCGCCAAATATTTTCTAAATTCTTGTGTACAGGCTGAAAGCTAAAGTAACGTAATCCCAACTTTTACTAAACCCCCCCCCCCCCAAAAAAAACTTACAGTTACTGCACAGGCAAAAAGCAACCATATTTCAACGATTAATGGAGTTGATCTGGTGCCTGTGGTTGTGCCATATAAATAAATATTACTCCATTTTGCAAGGGTTTCTTACGGTCTTGCAGAGAGAAACAATTAGCGGCAGGTGTTGATTTTGTGTGCCTCAAAGAATTAATGGCAAACACTCAGTGATGTTAGAAATAGTATTTATTTAAACCAGTATTACTGAATGGCGTTGCTAGTGTCAGATGTACTGTACATGTAGAGTTGTTGTGTTTTCTAAACTTTACGTGTATAATGGAGTCATATGTGTACCTAGTAGATAGTCTATAGACAATTTCCTATTATTTCTCCTCTGTATTAAGTCTCTTTGTTTATTCATAGCTTATTATGCAGCCAGTTACATTTTAATATTACCTTCCATATGTTCTCCAAAGCATCCCACAAATCCTCACGTTGCAGCAAGCCATCCATCCTCCTTTCCTTTACATAATCAGTGTATAGCCGATTTAGCTGGGACATATCTACTTTACCTATACGATAAAACAGAAGGCAGCAACTTCAACCAAAATGCATGTTTCATTTGGAATGTCATTTTTTCATTATTCTACAGTTTAGATCAACTCATTCTCATAAAGTCCACCACATATCAGACAACAAATAACATAATTTCATATACATTGTTCTTTGCTAGTCAGAGACACAAGTCAAGGTGGGCGGAGAGAGATCAGGAGAGGACAGGTAGATTTGCATGTCATCTGCATATAAATGATAATGGCAGCCAAAGGAGCTGATGAGTTTACCAAGGGAGGCAGTATAGATGGAGAACCTTAGGGGACCAAGGACAGAACCTTGGGGAACGCCAACAGAGAGAAGTTGGGGAGAAGAGGCAGAGCCAGAGAAAGAAACACTAAAAAAGCGCAGGGAGAGTCAAGTCAATGGTGCCACCATCACCTCTACCTCACAGCCTAGGTGTTCCCTTCACTTCTCATGTCCAGTCGATCGCCAAATCCTGACACTTCCATCTCAAAAACATAACTCGCATCCGCCTTTAACACCAGACGCAGCTAAGGTGCTGGTTAATACCGTTCTTTCTCGCCTTCACTACTGCAATCCCCTACTCAATGATTTTACGTGTTCCCAGATTGCACCGCTGCAATCTATAATGAATGCAGCGGCAAGGATCATTTTCCTGTCCGCCCGCACCTCCCCCCATCTGTCAGTCCCTACATTGGCTTCCAGTTAGATATAGGGCTTAATTTAAGATTCTGGTGCTTGCTTACAAGTCCCTACAGAATGCTGCTCCAACCTACTCTTCCTCTTGCTGAAGGAAAGAAACACACAATAAAGGAAATGATTACTTGTTTTTCCAAAAGGGTGATATATCTTTTAAAATGCCCCTGTGATCTTTTATATGTGGGCAGAACGAAACGCCCATTGAATGTGAGAATAAATGAGCATATACGGAACATTAAGAAGGGCTACGATAAACATAGTGTTTCAGACCATTTTAGATTAATACATGACAAAGATCCACAATTTTTAGATTTTTATGCTATCCAAAAAGTCACCTTAAATTGGCGAGGGGAGGACGAAATAAGAAAATTAGGTCAATTAGAAACAAAATGGATATTTAATTTAAACACTCTAACCCCCCAAGGCTTGAATGCAGATTTCGAATTATGTCATTTTTTATAATTATTATTCTTCAAAAAAATTATTATTTTTTAGATGTCTGGTTTATTAATTAAAATTTATTTATCTTTTAATTAATTTGTTTCATATAAAAAACATACTATTTTATAATTCTAAACATCATAATTAATAATACATATTATTGCTGTAGGACCTAAGAAATATACCAAATAGGGATCTGTACACCAATAAGCTGTAAATGACTATAAGAATAAATTATTACACAATTATAGAACCATATAAATATTCCAGGCAATATATATTTTTAACACTGGAATTATATAAAGTTCTTTAATGCATCAAAATATAATACTGATCAGATATTTTGCTGTATATATAATGCCATTTTTTTATTGTTTTTACTGTTTCTATTTTTTCCTTGATGTTATAAATCATATCACTGATGTGTTTACTTTCTAAATGTATTCGGAATGTATCTTCAGAGAAAAGGGGCAACAGTGAAACAAATACTACTATTAGGAACTGAGATTTAGGTGCAGTGCACCATGGGACGTGTAGTTCATGAAACCGGAAGTGACGCGACGGCATTTTTTTGCCCGCGAAAACCGGAAGTGACGCCAGTAAACCCAAAGCATGATGGGATTTGTAGGATCAAAGGGCGGAAGTGACGTGACGCCATACTGGAGACACTGGACGCAATTAAACCAACGAACAGAGGAAATTTCTGGCGGGAAATTTGAAGGTATAAAAAGGAGACTGGATGCACAATATTGTTTGAAGTTGACTGAGGAAGCCGTTCTGATCGGTGAAACGCGTTTTGGCTAACTAGGTGGACCTGTTAATAGACCACCCAATATACTTATATTTTATGTAATTGTTTTTATTATTTTCTAGTAGTATGTATACATTTTTATAGTTTTCAAAATAAATATATACATTTTATTTACTATTCAATCATACTCTGCGCAAGTGATTCCAAGAAGGGGGCAGTGTCATCCCTATAAATTTGACACTAGGCTAAAATACTTAGAGCCGGTAACCAGAGGCTCTAAAGAAGGTGAGCACTTTTGTATTTTATTTACATTGATCTATATCAGTATCTAAAATACTACATTTAGATTGGGGATATCTGTGTCTCTTTTCTATGCAACGTGGAGAGAAATTTACGCCCTTTTTCATCTTGGGAGACGGGTCGTGTGATCTACCCCTAAAAAAGACACAGACACCTGGAATTTTAGAGCCTTATAACTGGAAAAGGCTCTAAAAAATGTGAGTTCATTTCAATTTATCATCTACAACTAAAAGACTTTATACAACATTCATTTAATATACTACACTATTATTTGTATTTTTTATGTTCTTTTTTCTTGGTATACCATTAAGAAAACTAAAGCACAATATATAGGGTAAGTGCGTGTTCTAGCACTATTCCTTCACTGAAATTTTCACTTTATATTCTTTATATTCAGCGCTACACTCATGAGAAACTAGGGATCTGGGGGATATATAGTATCTACCTAAATCCAAAGTTCTCTCTCTCTTTTTGGTGTTTATCTATGAATGGTGGGTTATAAGGAGTACCCACGGAGTGTATATAGCAGCTAAAATCACAAATTCACTTATTATATAGCGCCATCATTCCACATTATTTTGTGTGTTCAAAAACCATTTATAAACATAGCTGTTTCTCTGAAATTGCTGTGTTTATAAAAAAAAGGGGTTAATCCTATCTGGACCTGGCACCCAGACCACTTCATTAAGCTGAAGTGGTCTGGGTGCCTAGAGTGGTCCTTTAAGAAATTGTCCCTGAGTTTTTTGTTTCTCTCTCTCTCTCTAGTGAAGGTGTCTCATCTTTTAACCAAAACTGAGAAAGGGCTCTGTGAGTCATTAGCATAATTCTACTTGGGAATGTTTTTCTCGTTGAAGCTAAAACCTTCCAGCAGCCTTGAAAATAAAGGGACAAGTCCATATCATAGCCAACTTTTGTTCATTATATAAATTAACCAAATGAGGTTTAGTGTTTGCAGTAACTTAATCTAGGTTCTTTATTCATGGATGATGACATGGACGCCAATGCCAAAACCTCCTAAAATTTATTTCACACGTTATACAGCCTGGTAAAGTGCCCTGTAAAAATAAATTCAAAGCAAGTGATTTATTTTTGAAATGGTCTGAGAGGATCTCGCTCCTTACCATGCTTTGTAAAAGGCAAGGACTCTATCAGAACCAAGCCATCTGGCACAGCATAGCTCAGCAAACATGTCCGCAGCTCCTTCCATAAGGTTTTCTTTTCTACGGGCTCTCTGGGTACGACAAATAGGATTAACTGTCTGGCTTGAAACCACGATACTGCACATGTTTCCACCTGGGTAAGGTTTTCTACTACCTGAAATTACATATCAACATAATTAAGAGAAATACTTTCACTGGAAACAATATTTGTTAAGCACAAATAGAATTATAGACTAAGATTAACAGTCAAATACAATGAAATCCTTCTGGTGTCACATGCAGAAATCTAAGTATTCCCTTTCTATGGATATTGGCCCACCAGATTTATTAAAAGGATGAAGACCCATAGGTCATTCTGCTATCACGATCTCAACATAACCCAAGGAACTTAAACCCTCTCCAACATAAATCTATAGAGTTCTACCCAGTTGATATTACTGTACTTGGGTATAATATGATCTCAAGATTTTATAAATGTGTTCCTCGGAAGTCACACAAACAATAACCTTTGCAGCAGGCTTCCATATGTCTTCCCTGGAAGAACCCACCAGCCCCTCCACAAGATGCCTTTCCCAATTGATGAATATAGCAAAGCACACCCCACTCAGCAGAGTGAGATGAGAGAAGACTGTAAATAAGGGAAATAAAGCCCTTCTGGTGCAAGTCTCGCACACACAAATGATCAAACAAGGTAAGTGCCACCTAAGTCGCCTGTTTTATCCTTGAAGAGTGGGCAAAGTACCTAAATTGAAGTTATCAAAATCTTTATTAGATAAGTAGGAATTAGACTGCAAATCTCAAAAGGAGGAGACTATTCCTTCCATCCATAGATGGAGTTATCGCTTTATCCCCATATCTCCCAGGATCCTGAACTCTGTAGATCTCATACCTGGGGGAAAGAAGCAATTACACAACACCGGAGAGAGAGGAAATGGGCTCAAAGCTCAGGCAAAGCCGGGTCTAATTCTGTCCCATACTTGTAAGAAATTATGGTAGCTGGGCAGAATGATGAGGTATGGATCTAGCAAGCCAGTGAAGTACAGCTTTTAATCAAAGCATTTGCAGACAGTTTTACAATCACACTGTAATAATGTCCACTCTATCATAGTCACTCTTGAGAAAATGAGGATTATTTCTATATTATTTAATATATATTCAATTTTCCAAATCATTAAATATCACTTAAAGTGGCACTGTCACCGTCTGGGAACTTTGCAGAATTCTTAAAGACATCACCACTGGGGTTCTGATGGCCGGTGGCCAGGAGGAGGCAGGTAAAGTTCAGTCAGTTGTGTAGATTAAAATTGCTATTTTACTTAATATGTGCAATTCCTTTATTACAAACCACACTGGCTGTCACCCAATCAAAACCTGGGTTGTTGTTAAAGTCATCCCCTTTATGCTCTGATTAGGATTATTCACTAAACAGTGAATGGAGAAATAACAGACATAGTATAATTAAATGAAAGTGACAATATATAGACAAAAGACTAACATTTCTCCAGCTTCCTGGTTTATTAAACAACGCCAATTGTCTCTTAAATAATTTAATGATTAGCACCCATAGCATCGCATTATAGGCAGCATCCTTTTAACAGATTATTCTTCAACTGGCTTTAAATGGGGTTACATTCGAGGTTAGGAACACATGTTTTTACGTTCAAAATGGATTTCATGCATTTACCTGCTGTACATATTCCATATTTAGCCGTTTCCCATGACGTTTGATTTGATTATCTTTCCGTCCCAACAGAAACATTTCCCCATCCTTTATGGTCACGCAGTCTCCAGTGTTTCTCAAGGTTCCATATGGCAAAACCACTTCTTCATCTAGAAAGCAGACTCGTTCTTGCCCACCTTTTGAAAGAATAAATCAACAGCAGCTTAATGGTGTTACCAAGAACGAATTTACAGCTTATAAACATGGAGTTAAAGTTGCTCTGTCACCTCAAATTCACCTTTCTCCCATTGTTTCCTCATTTCTTAATCTTTTATTATCTGTTCTTCTTTTCTTTATTTCTGATTTAGTTCTCAAGAAAACATAAGACAAAATAGGATCTACTTTATCTTATGTATTTTTCCTACATTTGGCAACCTTGACACAGTGTGGAGCTCAATGCCAGAAAACGAAGTAGAGCTTGCCTTAAGCTCCAGTCTTTTGTCACAACTATCAAGTGTAGGAAAAATACACAAGACAAGTAGTCCCTACTGTGTCTTATGTTTAAAAGAGAACTAAATCAGAAATGAAGAAAAGCAGAACAGATTCTGAAAGAAGAGGAAACAATAGGAGAAAGGTACGTTTGAGGTGACAGAGTCACTTTAAGATGCATTTGTCACATCGTTGTAACCGTATTGGAATATCCAAATAGGGATGCCTTTATTTATTTTCAGCACTCTATGTGTGCTGAGAGCTGTGAAGGGTAACTGAAACAAAAGACCGCATCAATGATACCCTCGCACCATAAGCCCTTCAAATAATCTGAAGTGGTTTTGATTCTGAGACTTTCCTTTTAACTAATAAAGAACCTACTGAGTAATTCAAGCATTAGCCAGTCAAAATAGATGATTTCATACTATGTGCATCTGATCATCTGCACCCTCACCCAAACAGAGAAAGAAAAATAGAACATATATGTAAACCAATCACTTTTCTAGACCAGTGGGTTCCCAACCTTTTAAGGACTAGATTTTTTTTCTTTTTTACCTTCATCAGGTTTTTAAAGTCACATTTACTCGTAACCTTATGAGAAAAATATGCAACTTGTATCACTTATGCATCTAGCTATATCGACTGTATCGACTGTATTGACTTTTTTTTTTTTTTGGCCAGATAATCAAGTAAACACAATTATATTTTAAAGTCACAGCCCTAAAGTCTGTTTGTTCAAGGCACACATTGTGGTGGCTTTCAGCACACTAGTATGTCACAGAAAATGGTTGAAACTAGATTATTTAACTTGGACACGTGCTTGAGTTATAATAAATGTGTATACATATTCATCTGGTGGCACAGAAATCAACATTGTCCAGTTACCTAGGAATACTTGCCCTTCCCCTTTTTCAACTGCACAGTCTTCATCATTCCGAACTTCAATTATTGTGCCATGCAATAAGAATCCCAGGGGCACCAACGGTTCATTCCTAAAAAAGAACATAAATCTATAGAGTTATAACTAGAGTACAGGAGTAGAACTACTAGATAAAGACACCATGAATACAGCTGTCTATTAGTGTACTTTGTTTCTTGACCTATTTTTATTTTGGTGTTGTAATCTCCAAATCTCTGCAAAAGTGGAAGAACAACACATGAAGAACAAAAAATGTTTTGTAGAGAACGCAATAACACACATATCACTCCTCTCACATGTGTAATGGCTGGAAAGAGCTTTGCTTTTTCTGGAGTGTGTGTATATATACGTTTTTTGTTTTTTTCCAAATATGTATACATACATATACACGTGTGTACATATTTTATGCATTGTGTAAATTATTCAAATATAAAAATAATTACCTAGTATAAATATATAAGTGCAACATGGATGTCTTTTTGTTCAAAAGAACTTACAAAATGAAATATTTTAGAAAGACATTAGAAGTTTTAAAGGTCTTTTTTCTACGTCTCTCACCCAATCTGCGTGTTTAGAAGAATTGTCTCTGGAATCTCAAAGTAAGTTGCCCAGCTGGACACTTCAGTTATGCCATACAGATTAAATATTCTAGTCTTGTTCCCGTGTTCTCTCCAGTTTCTTAGGACAGGTGCTGCTGGAAATGGTTCTCCACCTAAAGCCAGAATTCTAAGAGATGTATCTCTGGACAGCACAGATGACCGAATGGAATGAGATCCGAACCTCCTCAACAAAGTTGGTGTTAGCTAAAGAAAAATAATGAGGGACTCATGTGCAGTGCGAACTGTATCCATCAAGCAATATGGTCAATAATAATACTGGAAGGGACTCTTTAGTTGCAGTAACTATCCCCTCACCTAAAACCCTGAATAGAATAATGCAGAAGTTAAATTAACTTCCACACTATCAGACAGGCAGGTGAGAGAGCCCTAGTTTTTCTGGTTCAGATTCAACTCTATTATCACTGTACAATGTACATACAGGGACAATTCAACACAGTTGTCTGCTCAGAAATGCAGCAGCAATTAATAAAAAATACTGTATAACTATGTAAGCTTTAGCAGTCTATACCCAATACCATAGTCCCCAATACCATAGTCCCTCTATACCCAATACCATAGTCCCCAATACCATTGTCCCTCTATACCCAATACCATAGTCCCCAATACCATAGTCCCTCTATACCCAATACCATAGTCCCTCTATACCCAATACCATAGTCCCTCTATACCCAATACCATAGTCCCACACATCCTTAAGAAATACAATCCCGTCTTCATTGAGAAAAAGTTTTAATGGCCTAATGAAACTTGGACATTACACAAAGTGCCACCGATACGATACAGATTCAATAATACAACCCATGGCCCCCAATCCAAGTGAAATATGTATCTCATATAAACCACCATACCCTGTGTAATAAGTGTACCAAATTACCATACAATTAATACATCTAGTGCAAATAAATCACCCAATCCTTAGCAATATACCTTTATCATGTGAAAGAGGAAAAAAAAAACAACAACTTGTCACAAACCACAATGCAGCAATGCATCACATGGAACCATTTTCAAGGAGGATGACTTAACAGTTTTCACAGGAACAGCACACAAAGCAAAAACTCTCATAACCAGGTTTGAATGATAAGGATGCTTAGTGTGTCCACTATAATTACAAAGAGACTGATTACATCCTGGTCTTGCATGGCAGGTTGAAGATGGTAGCAGAATAGACATCGGCTGTCCATTGAAGAAATCTACAGTGGCTTTCTGCAGGCTCCAGAGCCAGAGCCGGCAGAAATGAGAATCAATGCATGGAGTGTGCTCCACGTAGCACCAATCAGTGCAGATCCAGATGTTTCGCACTCTAATTATGAGTGACGTCATCCTAAAGAGTGGGTTGCCCTGAGCTCGTCAATGCTGGTTGCAGTCAAACCAAAAGTAGGAGAGGAGGGGAAGGTATAGACACTTTCCGAAACCTCTCCCCTCACTCCTGCCATGTTTCTCTTCAGCTCCTGGTGGTTTCATTTGACAGGGACCCGTGCCACTAGTATAGGCATAAATTTCTCATCTCACGAGAAGGATACCTGTTCCCATGAACTGTTACTCGATTTATGAAAGTGAGAGGTACACTTCAACTTAGTGTAAAACAACTCCAAAGAACATTATTAACCCCATCGCAAATCAAATGCACAGCGCTGTACTTTACCTGAAGCACTGTCACCCTGTGCTGATTGAAGAGAACATCACACAGCTTAGTGGGAATCATTCTAATGGGATCAGGCACAATGAGAATGCACGCTCCGCTGTAAAGGGCAAGGAACAGCTCAACAACTGATGGGTCAAATGTCAGGGGTGAGGCCAGAAATAGGAGATCAGATGGCAAGATGTTAAAGATTGATCTAGAAGAAGAAAAACAAGTGTGATGAGGTAAATGTATAGCACATTAAATGTCATATGATTGCACATAGTCTTTACCAATAATGAATTAATTTAGCATACAATGCATCTTACTGCCAAATACAGACACGATATTTGGTTGCTATGAAACAGAAACGTGGGGGATTTGATAAATCTGACAGATCTGTCATTAAGCTTATCTCAGCAAGTCAATGGCAGATTATGTTCCGTCTTTTCTTATTTTCTGAAATTTTTAAAGGTTACAAGTAATATGTATGTTAGCATTGATGTGCCATGTACCTAGGTGCAATTTTAAGGGAGAGCTTTTCAAATATTCACCAAAATCAACTATAAAATGACAATACAAAAGCACAGTTCTACAAGAGAATAGAGTACAGCAATAGAGGATCAGAATGTAGAATGTATAGTAATGGTTTTTAAAAAGTAACTTACCGGAGATGTTCAATATTCGGGACTATGCATTTATGAGGAACGCTTACAATTTTGGGTGCCCCTGTTGTCCCAGAAGTATGCAGTATATAAGCTAAACATTCTTCTCGAATGTCAATGCTGTCTTTGCAGATGTGACCTTGTTTATATTCCACAGCACTGGTTGCTTGCTTCCCACAAATTCCATTTCTCTTTTCTAAGCATGCTTCCTTATATTTTGGAACCTTAAAAAGTGTTACACCCAAGTGCTGCACTGGATTAGAGTCCTGTTCAGTCCAGTCTGTGAAGTGCATCTTGAAAGCCTGTTAAACAGGTGACATGGATTACATGCATGGACTGCTAGAGTACATTGTACCACTCAATTCATTCAGGCAGCATCTTACAAATCTTTCTACCTGCCACATATCTGTTCCAATGTCTTTCCGTATTTAAAGGATCACTATAGGGTCAGGAACACAAACATGTATTCCTGACCCTATAGTGAAAACCCACCATTTAGGTGGCTTGCACACCCCCTTAGCCCCCTCAGAATGTGTTAAAACTCACCTTATTTTCATCTCTCCACGGGCCCGCCAGTGCTGGCCCCGCCCCCTTGGTGACAATGCAGATTTTTAGCAAATCCATGCAGAGTGTGGAGAAGCTGAACGGCAGGGCTGCCTACTGTGCAGCCCTGAGCCAGGAAGCCGCTCCAGTGGCCATCTGAGGAGTGGCAATATCCCTAGGGGCAATGTAAACACTGTCTTTTCTCTGAAAAGGTAGCATTTACATGAAAATGCCTGAAGGGAACTATTATACTCACCAGAACAACTACAATAAGCTGTAGTTGTTCTGGTGAATATAGTGTCCCTTTAATTTTAAAGGGGTACATCAGCCATGCTGTTTTAGGTCAGAGCAACCATTGCTGTGCTGGCCATTCTCCATCCCCAATAAAAAATGTTTTAAAAAATAAAGCTAGAATGTTCCTCTGTTCCAGCGCTAAGGACAGGATCTCCCACCAGCTCTAACATCCTCCACTGATGTTACACCCCTTGCTGGAAGGGGATTGATGTAAGGCTGACTGGAGGACACGGGCAGCACAAAGGTGGGACAACATTGTACACATGGGCAATGTGCTGTGCATGCTACCAATAGATGTTCAATATGCACAGAGCTGGCATTATCCAGCCCAGAACTCTAATTCCAGATGGCTAATGACTCCCAGAGATGGAGTTAAAGGATCACTATAGGGTCAGGAACACAAACATGTATTCCTGACCCTACAGTGTTAACACCACCATCTAGCCCCCCCTGGGCCCCTCATGCCTCCATAAATATAGTAAAAAATCTTACTGTATTCAAGCCTGAAGCTGTAAATCTGCATGCTGTTAGACTCAGAAAAACAAGCAGTCTGCTGACATGTGGTAGCCTGATCCAATCACAGTGCTTCCCCATAGAATTGGCTGAGACTGACAAAGAGGCAGATCAGGGGCAGAGCCAGCATGATTCAAACACAGCCCTGGCCAATCAGCATCTCCTCATGGAGATGAATTGAATCAATGAATCTCTATGAGGAAAGTTCAGTGTCTGCATGCAGAGGGAGGAGATACTGAATCACAGGATGGTGTGCACAGTGCTGCCCTGTGCTCTGCTGACAGCAGATCTGAGTGTATGGAGGCATATTATGCCTCCATCAACTCCGAAGTCCCTCTGGTTCACTCTGAGTGACTGCAACTGGAGGTGTTCCTAGCTTTCAATGTAAACATTGTATTTTCTCAGAAAATACATTGTTTACATGAGTAAGGCTGCAGGGAGCTTTAGTTCTCACCTAAACAACCTCATTAAGCTGAAGTTGTTCAGGTGACTATAGTGTCCCTTTAAACTTCTGGCAGAAAAAAAATTACACTCTGTATGTGCAGCGTTTTACAGTGAAAAGCTGCACATACAGACTCCAAGCATCACAACCAGTTCAGATCAAGTGGAGTAATCCTTTAATACAGACACCAATATTAAACTAAAATACAGACATATATTGTGCACATGGAGAATACATGTTTTAAATATTTCTAGACTACATACACATCTGCTTACATGCAAAACATGTGGTATGTTTATATGGTGCTAAACTTTTTATTAAAAAGAACTACAGCTATTGCAAGCAGTGTTTAGATAAACCCCAAAGGTAAAAAAAAAAAAAAAAAAAAAAATAATTTGGGGTATATCTACAGTTATTTTTAAAACTGAAATGTAATTTTTACTTTTTATTTTGTGTTTGGGCACAAAGTGTCCCTTTAAACAATCAACTCTCTATGCAGTGCTTCTCATTTAAAATTGATCTTCCACTAGGGGTGAGGGTCCTTATTACATTTAAAAAGTTATAGGAAGTGCACAGAATTTCCATAGCAATATAGTTCTAGGTACTTTTTCCATAAAGATTCTATGTTTATAATAAGCTGGGACTGTCAGTGTCAGTTAAAATATATGTAATCAATATCCCACCAACCTTTACTTTGTTGTTTTCTACCAGGATGAAGTTCAGTTTACCCCGTTCCATAAGTGAAGAAGTGAAATGAGATGGAGAGCCTGGATCTATCGGGCAGTATGCAGCAGGGACACAAAGAATACTATAAATAAAAGAATACAAATCCATAACCGTATATAAAATGTCACACATAAAGCAAAGCTCTGGCGTGTTAAAGGCATTTTTGTTGTGAAGATCACCACTCAAATTAAGCTAATGATATTATTTTATGGATTCCATTAACATGGCATAAAAAAACTGTTATTGCATACTAAACTATACAACACAAACTACGAAAAATGTACACTTAAAAAATATATATTCACAAAAAGTCTTTCAGTAATTAATACTTTCAAGTAAATGACAATTATTCCACTTAGAAATGCATGCACATAAAATATTTTTTAAAAAAACTACATAAAACAAAAAAAAAGAAACGTAAAAAAATTTAAATCTTGACAATTTTTGATCACCTTCAGAACCTGCAGGAGTAGTTAGTACACGCATGTGATAGATAAACTGCATTTTGTGTTTATTCAAGCAGATTTTTTAATTCTCTTATAGCAGTGACTTAAAAAATGTTGTGCCCTCTGGTTTTTATCTCCTATCCTGCTTCCAAGAAGACCACAATAAGAGCATGTACAAAGATTATATATGCAGAAATGTACACTCCTTGCCGAACTGAATGTATTCAGGGTGTAAGGGAACACAGCAGAGATTCTCGTGAAAACGTGCTAAGATATAAGCAAATACTAAATTTTCACCAGAGTTTAACAAACCCATATACAAAACAACTAGCATCAAGTGATCGCATCATACACCGTTCACCCTTCACTTGGTCCATAGAAAAATAACAATCTCTTGAATTGCATGTAAAACAAGCATGTCAAACTTGCGGCCCGCAATAAATATATTTGTGGCCCACCTGACCTGTGGCCACTTTGTGCTGTGGCTGCGACCAGTCGCAAGACAGGAAAGATATTTCCTGTCTGATTCTTGTCTTCCCTCCAACGGCCGATCGCGTGCTCTCGCGGCCGCAAGAGGGCAGAGTCGCTATCTGTCTGCAAAGCAGGCCAGCCACTCCCCATTTCCTCCTGCTCGCAGTGCCAGAGGAGTGTCTGTCCTGCTTGAGCAGAGAAGAGCAGGGCTGGAACTGGATGGAGGACGTGTGGCTCATCTTAAGGTGGGGGAAGAGGGGCTTGGGGGACCTTCCTGTGTAGTGTGTTAAACTGGGGAAGTGGGCAGTGTATTAATTTGAAGGAGAAAGAGGGCAGTGTATTAATTTGAGATAGGTATGGGACACGTGCATTAAATTGGGGGGAGGTGAGCAGTGTATTAATTTGGGGGAGGGGGGCAGTGTATTAGAGTGGTGGGAGAGGGGCCAGTGTATCAGAGTGGTGGGGGAGGGGCCAGTGTATTAGAGTTGTGGGAGAGGGGCCAGTGTATTAGAGTTGTGGGAGAGGGGCCAGTGTATTAGAGTTGTGGGAGAGGGGCCAGTGTATTAGAGTTGTGGGAGAGGGGCCAGTGTATTAGAGTGGTGGGAGAGGGGCCAGTGTATTAGAGTGGTGGGAGAGGGGGCAGTGTATTAGAGTGGTGGGAGAGGGGCCAGTGTATTAGAGGGTGGAGAGGGGCCAGTTAGAGGGGGTGTGATGGTGGGAGAGGGGCAGTGTATTAGGAGTGGTGGAGAGGGGCAGTAGGAGAGGGGGAGGGGGCAGTGTATCAGAGTGGTGGGAGAGGGGGCAGTGTATCAGAGTGGTGGGAGAGGGGGCAGTGTATCAGAGTGGTGGGAGAGGGGACAGTGTATCAGAGTGGTGGGAGAGGGGGCAGTGTATCAGAGTGGTGGGAGAGGGGACAGTGTATCAGAGTGGTGGGAGAGGGGGCAGTGTATTAAATTGGGGGTGAAAGAGGGGGCAGTGTATTAGAGTGGTGGGAGAGGGGGCAGTGTATTAAATTGGGGGTGAAATAGGGGGCAGTGTAGTAGATTAAGGGGCCGTGTATTAGATTGGGTGGAGGGGGCAGTGTATCACAGTGGGGACGGAGGGGGGGGAGGGAGTGTATTAGATTAAGAAGCAGTGTATTAGAATGGGGGAAAAGGGCAGTATATTACATTGGGTCTGCATGGAGGCGCCGAGTGCTCCCCATGGAGAAGCTGATTGGCTGCGCAGCTTTTTGCCACACATGCACAATAGCCTCCCAATGCTTTCCTGAAACATTGGTTATATGCAAATGCACGTCTCCTTAAAATAAATTTGCTCTTTTGTTTACATTGAAGCCCTACAAGCGAGAGGACATCCAGTGTCAGTTAGGCAACTTTTTTTATACCGTTCTTTTCTAAATAAACCTACGTTTCTATGAAAACTGAAGGGTTTTTTTGAGGCCCACGTGAAGTTAAACCTTCTTTTTTTGGCCCATGTTAGCCTTTCAGTTTGACATGCTTGATGTAGAATATCAATATATTCTGATCTTACTGGCAACCAAACATATTGAGTGTACAAGGAGCATAAACAAAGCATTAAAAAGCTTAATTTATATTAATTTAACTAAGGTTTACTTTACTGGGTCCCCAGGTCCCATTAACTGATTACATGTCATTCTACACCCTTGATAACGGACTTTAGTAAGCAGCGCAATGTGAACACATTCTGCTTTGTCCTTGTTTGTGTTTCTAATATCACCTAGAAGGTATATCATTCTACAATACTCTGCATTGCTTGCCCTCCTGTAGGAATGATCCTCTTACCCTCTATCCATGGATCCCTTTTTATGTCAAAATTTTGTGCTGGTGTAATTAATTTTTCCAGCAATGTATGATGTACGTATGGACAAATGGCAGATGAAACACAAGAAATTGTGTTTAAAGCAATGACATAATAAGGTTAGATGACAACAACTATAATTTAAAATCTAACCTTTTTATCTAAAAATGAAGTTTGCTAATGAAAATAGGTAAAGGTATAAATCTGGTCAAATAAACAGCTGCTCTTACCCCATAATCCAGCATGGTAAGTGTATTCCTGGATGGCAGTAAAGACCGATTCTGCATGTTTCAGTATCTAAGCAGTGCAACTTTAGGAATGCTGTTAGCTCTCCAGATACGGTCGTCAGCTCTCTATAGGTAAGGAATAAAGGCTGTTGTTTGATGGGGTGAAAGCACACTGCATGTCTGTCTTCATGTTGTGCAGCAGCCTTTAACACCATCTCATGGAGTGTGCAACGGGAAGAAACAGCTGCCATCTAAAATAATAAAAAAACAGGTTAGGGATGACATTGACATCTGCAGATACAAAGTTTACTACTCAAAGAATTACAAAAGCCTTAACCTTCACAACTACGTGAGAAACCTGAAAAGTAAATATCTATAAGGCTCGTACTAGTTATGATCACTATTGAGTTGTTTCCACACACAGCCACACTAAGCTAGTAAAAGAATAACCACTAACACTAGAAACACAACAAAAAATAAATCATGTTTGGGGAAAATTAAGTTATAAAAACAGAAGACGAGTTTGTCTGTGAATTCCATGTGCTGAATAGACTGGGAACTTCACTACCCTACAGCTCGTAATGAAGCTTTTACAGTAAAAAGAATCTTGTTATTTGACATCTGACATTCACCAGTGATTATTACATATGTTATACTTGTCATGCAATACATTATTTTGCATAACATACTAGAATTTTGTTTGATGACATAAGGAATTTCTACACAAGGGGAGTATCAGCAATGAGGGTGTTTTTTCCCCCCAAATTGCTCATCTATGGTACTTGTATAGTATACTCTCACACATGCATATAGAAGAGTACCGCACAGATTTGGGCTCCTGGTGAATTATGTGCCACGAGTTGAAGATGGCGATTCCCATGGGGGAAATATGCAAAGACCCAGAAGGTGACAGAGCTTCGTTAATTTAAATATTTACCTTAAAAGAATACATGTAAATAAACTTAGAGCAACTCAATTCTGCTACGCTAGATGATTGGCATTATCAAAACTTCGTTGGAATTACATGTTGTTAACTCTTATGCTAGCCTAATGGCTAGTAAATATACAAATTATGAATTACGTAACTCCTTATGAACCAATGACAGAACAATTCCATCACAACCAACTAGATTTGAAAGATCCTATATCAAAATGTAATATCCCACTTTAATAGGTATTGTAACAGGTGTGTACACAGCTGCTAATGCTAAGCAGCACATTCCACACTTGCACATGATCTTTTGGGACTTGACAGTCATGAGAGCATTCAGGGGCAGAATGCAAAGCAAGCCAGGCCAGGTGCACATAGTATCCTGGGCATGAAATATTATAAAACATTACGATGCATTGCCTTCATATGAACATATATTAACCCCTTCATGACAGGCATGTGCATTTTACTTTATTACCACTTATGTCATTGGTAAAGGCCCACTTTGTTCTAACACTTCCAAATATTTATTTGAAGAGAAGAAACATAAGCCCACCCCCCTCTCACCCAGACCACTATACCTCAATTAAGTGGTCTGGGTGCAGTGGTCCTGTAGAAACTGCAATGTAGGGTTAATCCCTTAAGGACATTATAGGTCTGTTTAACATAGAAACATAGAATGTGACGGCAGATAAGAACCATTCGGCCCATCGAGTCTGCCCAATTTTCTAAATACTTTCTATCTTATAGTTAGGATAGCCTTATGCCTATCCCAGGCATGCTTAAACTCCTTTACTGTGTTGACCTCTACCACTTCAGCTGGAATGCTATTCCATGCATCCACTACCCTCTCAGTAAAGTAATACTTCCTGATATTATTTTTAAACCTTTGTCCCTCTAATTTAAGACTATGTCCTCTTGTTGTGGTAGTTTTTCTTCTTTTAAATATAGTCTCCTCCTTTACTGTGTTGATTCCCTTTATATATTTTACCTCTTGTCTACCTCTTTTCTAGCACCCACACATATATATAATTTTCAAGAAAAATAGGGTTTTTATTGCACATCAAATATTTATATATGAAACATAATTTAAGAATGAATAAAATTATTTTAAAAAAAACGTGTGAGAAATAAAGAAATGTTATTTTCTAAATTTTGCATTTTAACTAACACTGATAAATGTGTATCTTAGCGTATCTTATTATTTGCTGTTTACTTCAGGTGTGATTTAAGCAAAATAACTAACTCATATAGTATTTGTCTTACCTAGAATGTGGGGGTAAAAGTTTAGTTTAGCTTTTACTATTTCGAGTTAGTTATTTTGCTTAATGTGCCACTTAATCACACCTGAATGAAACCGCAAATAATAAAATACGCTAAAATACACTTTCACCATATGTCATAATACTGTTAGCTTTTACTGCAATAAAACACATATGTGTATATTGTGATGTCCCACAAGTACAACAATGTACCCCATGTACAGGTTCCATGGTGTTTTGGAAATTGGTCAAACACAGGGCTTGCCCATTGCAGAGTGATTTCATATTTTATTTAACAGTACTAAATGTGGGCAGTTCACAACAAGTCATTGGACTAATCAACTTGCTACACACTACAGAATAAATTGCACAGTAGACAAAATTGCTTGGGGTTAAATTTAATGAACAGTACAATTATTGGACCATATAAATGTATTAGCTAACAGTTACATGATGCTTCTGCACGTTTGCAGCTGTCACACACAAAGTGCCCTTCACAAAACATGTTCCTCTCTGAGTCCACTAGCAACCTGTACTCCTTCAGTAGGGCATCCCAACATACAACACCCCCACGCCCCTGTTTCCATTATCTCCCTGAGTTCTTTAAATCGAACGTCACAAAACATGCACTCACTGTCAGTGGAATGTAAAGCCTGAGTTAAGTCCGTTAATCAAATCCTCCCCCAGAAAGGGAAACTAGAACCAGAGAGAAAGGTTCCGTCTGTGTCAGTCAGTGTTAATGCATTGCCAATCACTGCCTCTAGGAACACTCTAAACTAGGAACTATACAAAATAAATGTTATATCACAATGGTAGACTCAGTGCAAGCTGGTAAGTGTTCAGAAAATGTAGGAGACATGAAAGTGACAGATGATGAAATTATCTTATTCATTAAAGTCGAAACAAACCTATGTAAGTGATATATCTGTCATTTAGTGAGGAGAGTTGCAATATTCCAATCTTTAAACATGCCTACATGCTATAACAATAAATGTCATGATTAATTACACAAATGTAAACACATTTGGCATTAAATTAACATGCAAAAGCACCATAACAACTACAGCTCGCTGTATAGCACAAGGGCTGGTCTTCTTACATAGAGTGTGCCAGGCTCTACTCTCCGCCTCCACTTCTTCCTATGAATAGCAGCTTTTGTTAGCTCTCCTGAGCTAAGCCAGGGCTAGCTCATTAAGTGAGAGCATTAGCTGACCGCAAAGAACATCACAAAACATGCACTGCTAATGGAATGTAAAGCTTGTGTTTAAAGCCAATAAGCTGAGCACTGCAGGGCTTAGCTCAGGTAGAACATTTATGGTTCGCCATAGGAATTATCTAAAGCGGGCAACAGTGCCTGGGTGACCCTAATGGTTATGGTGCTTGGAGTGTTCATTTATTTTTGTTTTGATTTTGAATACTTAAAGGGACACTCCAGGCACTCAGACCACTCCTGCCCCTTGGAGTGGTCTGGGTGCCAACTCCCACTACCCTTAACCCTGCAAGTGTAATTAATGCAGTTTTTCATAAACTGCACTAATTGCCTAACAGGGTTAAGTCCTCCTCTAGTGGCTGTCTATGAGACAGCCACTAGAGGAGCTTCTGGGTTCTTAAAACACTTTTAGTGTTTTAAGAGATGCTGGACGTCCTCACGCTATGCATGAGGACCTCTAGCGTCGCCGGAATCCCCATAGGAAAGCATTGAATAATACTTTCCTATGGGACGGTGTAATGCGTGCGCGGCAATTGCTGCGCATTAGGTCTCCCCCGCCGACAAGAGTTGGTGGAGCCTGACCCAGCGCCAAGGGACATCAGCGCTGGATACAGGTAAGTCACTGGTGAGGGAGAGGGGATCTGCAGTGCCAGGAAAATTTGCTTTCCTGGCACTGGAGAGTCCCTTTAACCAGTGATTTGAAGGGGTTAAAAGAATACTATGCATCAAAACCACTTAATCCTAATGAAGTGGTTTTGTTGACTAAACCCTTTCCCTTTTGAGTGGAAATTTAAAACATTGCTGTTTCAGTGAAATGCAATGTTAGCATTTTGACAAGAACACAGGTCTAGTGAATGTCAGATTGCTACGGCGTTATTTACTCAAGTGAGAACTGTAGGGAATTAAAAAGTGAATTTCAAAGTTACAGCCAAAATAGTCAAAGTGGAAAAAAATATCTTAGGCTGCTATGCTTCTAGTTCGACTATTTTGGCCTCAGATTTAAAATTTCATTTGAATCACTTTCTCCTCTTGACAATTCTCACTTTAGTTAAATAACCCTGATATAATCTTGAAGCGAGCATTGGTGTTACATTAGAGCTGCTAACATACATTTAACCCAGTGGAGAGGATAGTGAACCATTGTAGTAGCAATTCTTTACAGCACATTTACATATTTTATACAAAACCTATGCAACGTTCACTTTACATGGTTTTAATTAAATTAGAAAAAAATACAGTTGTCTTTTCTTGCGATCTATGCTTTACAAAACCTATGCAAAATACAGATGTATTTTCTTGTGATCTATGCTTTATGGTTCTTATTTAAATGTCTTATGTCTTTCTTGTTAACTCACACGTATAATATTAAAAACACGGTCATCACCCCTACCACACTAGATACAGTATCAGGGAAATAGAATAATGACCATTAAAGTGGTCAAGAACGGTATAATATAACGAGTTATACTTACAGTTGTGCTCAAACGTTTGCATACCCTTGGAGAATTGGTAATATATGTACCATTTTTAAAGAAAACTTGAGTGAGCAGGCAAAACACATTTCTTTTATTTCTTATGGGATTCCTATTTAACTCTAGGTTATTACAGAATGGCACAGTCATGAAACAAAACATGGCAACAAAGAAAAAAATTAAATGACCCCTGTTCAAAAGTCTGCATACCCTTAGTTCTTAATATTTGTGTATTGCCCCCTTTCGCATCAATTACATGATTCACAGTGGGGATGGTATTATTTTGCACTATAGGCATTGTTGACCCCTTTCCAAACATAGCGCTTATGGTTGTGACCATAAAGATCTATGTTGGTCTTGTCACTCCAAATTACAGTGTGCCAGAAGCTGTGAGTCGTGTCAAGGTGTTGTCGGTCATATTATAACAGGGCTTTTTTGTGGCATTGACGCAGTAAAGGCTTCTTTCTGGCAACACAACCATGCAACTCAGTTTTTGTCAAGTATCGATCGTATTGTGCTCCTTGATACAACCATACCGTCTTTTTCCAGAGCAGCCTGTATTTCTCCTGAGGATACCTGTGGCTTTTTCTTTGTATCCCGAACAATTCTTCTGGCAGTCGTGGCTGAAATCTTTCTTGGTTTACCTGACCTTGGCTTGGTATCAAGAAATCCCAGAATCTTCCACTTCTTAATATGTGATTGAACAGTACTGACTGGCAATTTTAAGGCTTTGGATATCTTTTTATATCCTTTTCCATCTTTATAAAGTTCCATTACCATGTTGCGCAGGACTTTTGACAGTTCTTTTCTGCTCCCCATGGCTCAGTATCTAGCCTGCTCAGTGCATCCACGCGAGAGCTAACAAACTCACTGACTATTTATGTACAGACACAAATTGCAATTTAAAAAGCCACAGGTGTGGGAAACATTTAATTGCCATTTTAACCTGTCTATGTCACCGTGTGTGTCTGTAAAAGGCCAAACATTCAAGGGGAAGGAAACTTTTGATTGATTTCTGTTATCATTATGAAAAGGAGCCAAACAACTATGTGATGATAAATGACTTCATATGATCACTATCCTTCAATAAAATAAAACATTTTTGCATGATCAGGATCATATTTTTAAAATCAATGCCAAAATTTTACAATTTCTGCCAGGGTATGCAAACTTTTGAGCACAACTGTATCTGTACCTGTCCCTCACACCATGCTCTTCCTGCCGGTCCACTTCAGCTACTTGGGCTTTAGCTGCCAGGAGCCCGCATCAGCCTCGCAATCATGCGCATGCACGAAAATACAACATTAAGCTCTATGGTGGATCCCGCAAGATCCTCCATAGACAGAGCCTTTGTCCCTACAGCCATCACTAGTAATGGCATCTGTATTGACAAGGCTTGACAAAAGGTAGCTCTGCCTTTTTGTCAAGCGTAGGAGAAATACTAAGACAAAGTAGTCCCTACTTTTCTCAGTATATCTTTTTACTGTGTTGAGATTTCAGTGAAATTCCAACTCAGTCAATGTGAGTATTTCATAATGATTTTATAATAGGGGCTTACAGAGCTGCTTCATAATTATGGACTGCATCTTCCTTGTGCAGAATTACAGTCTCTTGAAAGAAGCAGCAATACAGCCAAATACAGGAGATGTCCCTATCTGACTGGGTGACAGGATCTCAGCTGGCAATATCTGTCCTATTGGTTCACAAAAGTTAAGAAGGGTAGAAAAATAAACTGATAGTCAGTGAGAGTGATACTAAGTTTCTTCTCTTTAATTGGATGAAAAGAAGTGATGAGTAAATGAGGTGTCTGTCTCCTTTGGTTGGGTAAGAGAATATAAACTTAGAAGGTATTCTCCACTCTGATTGGTTGACAGAATGTGTGCTGGGAAGGAAATAGTGCATGTGGTTGACTGAAGTAAGTTGGGAAGGTGTCTGTTTTGTCTGTGGAGCACAGTATGTATACAATGGGTATAGGAGGTGGGTATAGCCTCAACTCTGAAAGCATTTTAATTTCTGTTATTATCAAGCTATCACTCATCTAGCTCTGCTCATATTCTCCTAGACCCCAGTTACTTCCACCTGTGACCTAGAAGGTGTGTATATAATATACCTACTCTGTAACCTGTATGTGATATATGTAGTACTTTGGATTCATGTGGAATGAGTAAGCAGTTTAAGCCTGCATATGATAGATGTATTTAAAGGACCACTATAGTGCCAGGAAAACATACTAGTTTTCCTGGCACTATAGGGTCTCTAGGTCCCCCCCCCACCCTCAGGGCCCCCCTCACACCGGGCCCTAGGGGATGGAAGGGGTTAAATCTTACCTGTTTTCCCCCGCCGGGCTCCCTTAGCGCGGGGAACTCTCTTCCTTTTCGCTGTCATCGGCTGAATGCGCATGCACGGCAATTCAATGCTTTCCTATGGATGCTGGCGTCTTCTCACTGTGAAAATCACAGTGAGAAGCGCCTCTAGCGGCTGTCAATGAGACAGCCACTAGAGGCTGGATTAACCCATATGTAAACATAGCAGGGTGGTAGTTACAAATCTATGATGTTTTACATAATGCAATCAATTAAAAGGCTAACTAACACTGAACCAGGTAAACCCACACCTATAGAGAGCCGAGCTCCCCGTCAGGTGGAGTTGACTGCAGAAAACGTCTGGTGTGGACTATAAAAGGCTAAAAGGTTTTACCATTGCTGGGTTACACTTGTAAAGTTCCTGGCCTGCTGCACTGGTCCTCATAGGTTCCACTGAGTCCTAGTGGACACTCAAAGCCAACAACAGTGCCTTTGCTTCGTTCATGTATGCTTTTCTTTTCCATTAAGGACGATGAGGATGTGCGCCATGTGCCAGCGATATTGGATATGGTGCATATGGTAAGGACGTGATCTTCCATAAACAAGGGTACCTCCCGAGAGATCTGCGTAAAAGGTGAGTTTCATGGATTCAAAGGTAAGGAAGGGTCCTTAATGGCTCCTAAGTCTGCGGCCTTGTCTCTATCACTCTGGAAGCGGTCTGGAGATCCGTCACTTATTAGAGGGGTAAAGCATAGCATGTCCACCTCCCTTGTACAATTACTGATGGTGGAGAGCAAGCTAGGTTAGGATTAAAGTCTTGGATTTTTAACAAGAGTTAAAGCACTGCTCTCCAGTGGTAAGCATACCAACCCTATCACTGAGCCTTATCCATTGTTTCCACATTAGAAATGTTATATAGTCCATTTCTTATTGGTTTAAATCTGCACCAGCACTGTAGCCTACTGTATCGGTTCACAGCTGTATCCAATTACCACAGAAATGCACTTACATCTTACACATGCCATCACGTTGACATAAGTAGATGACAATAAACCTTATTCTCCTGACTGATTAATAAAAAGAAAACACGATTGTGACTTTGTAAGATAATTCCAATTCAAACTGATTTAAGTAGTTATGAAAGTACTTCATAATACGTGTGATTTTATAATATAACACAAAAACAAATTCACTCAATTTGCAGCATTTTATGTTAAAATATTTTTTTAAATAATTGATTATCAATACTGAAATTAAACAAAATGCCGATCCTACAAATGTGCTAACTGCTTCTTTTTCATTATACTTATTTCTAAACCAGAATGTGTGCGTCTCCAAAAATTCAACATTTGTTATTTGCGGCAATAAGAATTTGATTACGACAACTACAACCATATCGTCTCAGAAGATTTGGAATTTGTAAGGTTAAATTGTGTCTTACGAAAGCAGCCATTGCTCCTGCAGAGAAACAGCAGTTGATCATCATGTGACTATCTGAGCTGCTTTATTTGCAAGCGTCTGCCAAACCTGCTTGGTTAGCTGAGAACAAGTCACTCCCTGCAGGCGGCTTGAGCCAGTAAACCAGATGCTATTGTCTATGGCTCACTGACAGCCAGTCGTCTGGTTTCCCTGGAAACTGTATCATAGCTTAAATATAGTGAATCGTTTCCAGGTCACTTTGAACATGGAGAGAGGTGCAGGGAGATACTGGACTGAGGATGAGATTCGAGCTCTGTTAAGCGTTTGGTCTGAAAAGAGCATTAAAAAACAGCTGCATGGAACACTGAGAAATAAGGGGTTATTCATGTATATAGCTAAAAGAATGCAGCAGTTAGGAGTATTCCGGGACTGGAAGCAATGCCGCGCAAAGTATAAAAATCTGAAATATGAATATAGAGCAATAAAATGTGGTACCAGCTTTGGAGACGGAAGCAAGATGCGATTTTATGATGAGCTGGATGCCATACTGGGATCAGAGACAGTTGCTGAATTAGCAGAGAATGAGGAGAGAAGCCCGAATCTGGAAACGGAGATGCATCTGGATTCCATCAATCCTAGAGATCAGGTGGAAGGTAAAAAAAATCTTAAGTTTTGTTATGTCTTGGGTTGTATAAGTTAATCAGCTCGGAAGTCTGTGTGCAGCACAAACAGCACAGTTCAAACCAACAACCGATTTAATTGACATGATGTGAGCTCCCCCTCTGTTGAATTCCAAAAGTGCAGCCAATAATTTTATTGTTAAACTGATCGGTTTATCATTAGCAGTTCCATGGTAAGACTTTATTAATATCAACATTTAACTATGAATTAGACTTGTGCACATGTTTTGGGATTCGTCCATGTGGTATTTCGGCTCGGTTTGGATTTTGTCCATACAGTTGTTTTTAGAAAAGCAAAATTACCGTACTCCTTTTTTTCACTCTGTTGGTTACTTATTCTCACTTGATTTGTAAACCAAAAGGACATGAAAATAGGCCTATTGGTGTACTGCAGACTATATACATAATATAAATGTTATGCTGTACACTGACAGGTGCATTTTCCTGTGATTTGGTTCACAGGTCCAGAAGGAAAAGTAACCAACATAGTGAAAATAAAGGAGGAGCTATATTTAAATAGTATATATTTCTTAATAAATCTTAAATATCTTATATAAGATATAAACATAGTTTATTCTTGCTGCTCCAACTTTTTTTCCTCTTGGTCACTTCTCTTGATCTGTGAATTAAATCAACATTTAACTGTCCCCTATCAATCAATAATATTTTCCCATCAATTATCTCTTTTCTTGGCTCCACAAATAGAACTCAGATTCACAAATCAAAAGTAACTGTTCATCCATTGAACGTTTAATTTGTTTTGTGATTTGGTCAGATTGCAGTTCTGAGTAACGGGATTTTACACAACCCACCGATCCGCCAAAATTTAGGCCACTCACAATTTGTTTCAAACAGAATGCCGAAGTCTACTTTAAATAAATGAAACACTGTCATTTGTTAAACTAAATCTGAACTGTAGTGTTTTCATTCCAAATATCAATGTTTATAAATGTATGATGTTACTGGTATAGGGCCTGTCCCTTTCAGAACAAAATATTACATTAATAATCAAATATTATTCCCCATGTGAATGCATAAATATACAGGTAAACATTTCTGCGTGATCAGGAATCCACTTGACTAAACTCATACAATATAATAGAATATGATTATAGCTATATGCTTAGTTAGAACTATACTTAACACCTTACTTTCTACTAACTCAGAAGTTAATTGAATACTCCAAGAACTATAGCAAGCTCCAGGAGCAAACTGTTTGCAAGTGTGTCTAGAATTGGTGATGTTTTAAGGGTGGTTTAATATTATTTGATTTACATTTTTTTGTTCTGTTCACACACTTTGCATTTTGTTAACTGATAAACTATTCAATTAACATTTCTATTTTATATTGTGAATATTGTTTATATTGTTCAGTAGTTTATGTATGTAATGATACTCAACTTTTTTCTGAAACACATGTATTTGAACATTAAAAGTTTGTATTTGTAAAAATGTTAGTATACTTTTTTGAACGAGATTCCAGTTTAATGTGTTTGATGTTGAAAGGGTTACTCCAACCCTTTTTCGCAGATTATTTGTTTTAAGTCAAAATTCCCTTTGCATTTTACTCCCTCCATTTATATTTTGAAACCTGCAAAAAAAAAAAAAGATTAAAACTTAATTTTAACCATGTGCCAGGTCCAATATCCCCACCTTCTCTGATTTCCTACAGTGAAAGGTCTTCTGGCACTATGATCATCTGATTCATATACTACACCGTCACATCCACAGCAGCATTACAGGCAATCGTAGTCGTTTAAAGGAAAACTATGGTCCCAGGAAAACAAATTTGTTTTTTTAACCATATTAAGTGGAAAAGTAGTAAACTATTTTTTATTCCTCACCCACAGTCATACCTGGAGACCTAACCCAAGGAGACATTGAAAATAGTCATGTAATGATTCCATCTATATCTAATGAAGGAGGGAAACACTGGACTGACAGAGAAATCCAAGCACTAATAAATATCTGGTCTGACAAGAATATACGTTGGCAATTAAAAGGCACTGTAAGGAACCAGGGAATCTTCGAGCACATAGCCAGCCTGCTCCAGAAAGAAGGGATAGACAGGGATTGGAGGCAGTGCAGAACAAAGTATAAAAACTTAAAGCACGAGTATGTGGTTTTAAAAAGAGCAAAAGAATCTGGAAATAGAACAAAGACTATGAAATACTTTGACGAACTGGATGTGATACTGTGCAGCAAATCTTCAGGACATAGAAAGAGTTTAAACATCACAGATATGCAAGAGTCTCGTACATGGAACGATTACTCTGCAACAAATTCTTTATCAGGTAAGTAATGTAAAACAATCAAACTAGCTATGGTTATTGGTAGAAAAAAATATGGTTTTGCAAAAAAGGTGATCATATGACATAATAATTTATAAATTTACTAGATAGAAAGTATTGCCATTCAATTTGTGAAACACTTATGGAACACAAGTTTATTTCAAGAAGACAAAAAAATCCACCTGTCATGATTTTGACCTTTTCTTCTCTCAAAGTTTTGATGTTCTTTTAGTCGTACTATACAACACATATTTTTAAATGAAAATTAAACTGACACTCCAGGCTGGAGGTAGCCACCAATGTTATTACATTTTATACAAGTTTAAAATACCTATAACTGCTGCTAATCCATAGGCAAGTAGCAGATACCTCTTACCAGACAAGGAAGAGGCTCCAGTTTATCATTTTGGTACACGGCATCTTATTCTATGACCTCTCTGCATAATAGATATTGGGAGATATAGTTCAAAATCAGCAGCAGTTTGTAGTTCTCAAACCATTACCCCAGAACCGCCAATTGTCCAGTGTTTATATATTTCCAATTTATGTTCAAATCAGGTGACAATTAAAACATTGACCACATGGGTAATCTTCAAAGCTGTTCTGTCACTGCACCCAACCCCTTCAAAATGAGTATTTCATAAATATAAAACTTGATGAAACACTCATCTTGACTGAGTTGGAAATTGGATTAACTTCCAAAGCAGTCGAAAGATATACCTATTTAACTTTGGATGCACCTTTGGTGCTGGTCCATCCCACTATCCTCTCTCGCCTTAACTGCTGCAGTCCACTTTTCAGTGGTCTTACATGTTCCCAACTTGACCCGTTCCAGTCTATAATGAATGAAGGCTCATCTTCCTGTCCACCCTGACTTCCCACGCCTCACTCTCTGTCAATCCCTACATTGGCTTCCCATACATGGGCTCAATTTAAAATTATGGTACTAACTTACAAATCTCTACATATTGCTTCTCCTACCTATCCTCCCTAATACACAAGTATGTCCTATCTAGGTCTATACGATCTGCCAAAGAACTGCTAGTATCCTCTGTCCATACTCCCACCTCTGATGCTGACCTCCAAGACTTCTCTAGGGCTGCACCATTCCTGTGTAACTCCATTACCTGCTCCGCTAGGCGATCACCCAGTATCCACTTCAAAAAATCATTGAAAACTTACATCTTTAGGAAAGCGTATCAATTAAACTGTTAATAGCTTTCCCTCCCCGCACCCTGATTCCTCTCCTGCAACTGTCATAAAGAAAACACCAAAACTAAGCGTTCAGTGAATACTATCCCAGCAACCTACTTTTCAACCGTACCCTTACCTTTTGTGTCACATTACCCCACTCCCTCTAGCATGTAAGCTTATTTGGGCCTCACCCTCAACCCCCTCTGTTCCTGTGCATCCAACTCATCTGGTTACAAATACTTGTCTGTTAGTCCACCCATTATACAGTGCTATGGAATTTGTTGGCGCTTTATAAATAATAATACTAAGACAAAGTAGGGACTGCTTTGTCTTAGTATTTTTCCGAGGCTTGACAAAAGGCAGAGCTACCTTTGTCAAGCATTGCCATTTCTCACAGGTAAAAAGGCTATGTCTATGGAGGATTCCATGGTCTCAGGTTCAGGTAAGTAAAACTCACCTCCTCTTGCACCCCATGGCTACTAGTCATCCAACGCAGCAGCCACAGTTGGGGGTCTTTACAAATTATGCAAAGACCTCAGATGGTGACAGAGCCACATTAAAGAGTATTTTGTACTTTAAACTATGTTATCTGTGTCACTGTGTCTTAGTCCGCATGTTCAGTGAACTGACACTGGCAGCAATCTTGTTTCACCATACTTACCTGCCCAATGAATGTAGTTGTCTGTTATTATTTTCTTTAATTTGCTGCAGTGTACACTTGCATTCCATCCTGCTCCATAGACAATATAACCACATAATACTCAATAATCAGGTGCAGAAGGCAAAAACAGAATGTGTGGTTCCAGGATAGAAGCACAAAAAAATGATAGACCCTGCAGTGACATCACATGTAGGAGTGATTTCTGAGGCCTGATGTTTGCACAAGTGACACTTGAATTTTGGTGAGAATCTGCTTACCCATAATATCACATTAAAAATCACGAGGTAAAGGGAGATTAACAGGGTTATTTATTGAGAATTGTCAGGTTTAAAGCCAAAGTAGCTGCACTGAAAGCATAGCTGAAATGAAGCATGTGTCCAGTTCAGCTACTTTGGACTTAAATTTGTAATTTACCTTGAATTTTCACTTTAGTAAAAAACAAACAAAAAAAACCCTGTTACTGTTCACCTATAAAAACAATTCTCCCAGTTATGACAATAACCCATCTTCATACAAATCTGTAAACACAACTTCATGATTATATGCATTTTAAATATATGTCAAACATACATTTTAAATAGTATTGCACATTTTAAGGTATTTTATTTACAAAACTGCGGACGTGCACACGTTGTATGCCAAATCAAAACTGCGGACGTGCACACGTTGTATGCCAAATCAAAACTGCGGACGTGCACACGTTGTATGCCAAATCAAAACTGCGGATGTGCACACGTTGTATGCCAAATCAAAACTGCGGATGTGCACACGTTGTATGCCAAATCAAAACTGCGGATGTGCACACGTTGTGTGCTTCTTGCTACTTGCTTCTCCCAACATATTAATAATCAAAGTTAATAAGAAAGTTCAAGCCATGAACGAAAGCAAGCCTTTTCTGATCTTCTGAGTATCTATTTGACTTTCTTTTTTTTTGTCATATATTTGTTTAGTATTAAAAAATATAGGTCAGTTCCAACATAGACTTTTATAAGTGAAGTGAAAAAAGTCAGCTGGTGAGATAGCTCTCTATTTTCTTTCCTTTCTTTTGTTTTCCTGCGTAGTTAATATAAGTATTCATTTTTTTTAAAACATATTCTAGTTATTATATCATATTACCCATAGGAGTTGCTGAATGTCATGCTAAAGAACTCTACGTGGTTCCAGATAGTGGTGAAATGTATGAAAATAGCAAACAACCCTTAGATTCAGGTAAGATAAAAAGAGAAGAAACTGTAATAAGAGGTCATTAACACTGTCTGAGATAGCTGATATTTCCATATGATTTAAATATATATAAAAATTAGCAATTTGTCACAAAGAACTAAATATGAAGATTATGTGTATGAAATAAATGAGCGGAAAAAAAATCTAAAAGCTATGCTAATAAAAGAGTAGGGCTAAGTTCTAAATGTAAAACAGTTACCATGGAAACAAATGGTACAGCCCTGCTCATCATACCTGCTCACCCTTTTGGTTTCTGTGGGTAGTCATCTACTTTACTAATATTGACACTTTTATAAATCTCCTCTATCGTGTCAAATGTTAAAATCTCAAAAGAATTATAGAAACATAGAATGTGATGGCAGATAAGAACCATTCGGCCCATCTAGTCTTCCCAATATTCCAAAATACTTTTAATAAGTCCCTGGCCTTATCTTAAGTCTAGGATATTCTTATGTCTATTCCACACATGCTTAAACTCCCTCACTGTGTTAACCTCTACCACTTCAGCTGGAAGGCTATTCCATGCATCCACTACCCTCTCAGTAAAGTAATACTTCCTGATATTATTTTTAAACCTTTGCCCCTCTAATTTAAGACTATGTCATCTTGTTGCGGTAGTTTTTCTTCTTTTAAATATAGTCTCCTCCTTTACTGTGTTGATATCATATCTTATATGGTGGCAATACTTACCCCTAGCTAAATTCTGGAAAGGAGTTTGGCAACCGTGGGTCTTCGAAAAACAAGTAACATTTGTCCATGGACATTTTATTTGTGTCTCCCAGTAAACCTATTGTCTAAAGTACAAAATCCAGGGTAAGTTGCTCCTAAAAATGTTCTTATCCTCCAGACATTTTCTCTCGCCTTATTGGCTAAAGAACATCTCTCCTCCCAAATCTTTGATTATAAATAAGATCCAAGGTAACATGATGATGGACAGAGTTCCAGCAATGGCCAACCACATTTTCCTTACATTCATTAAGCTTGGGAACCCTGGATCTCCCTTTAAGTTTATTTTACTTTTCTATTACCTCCCCTTGCCATCTCCTTCCCTTTTCAGTAACAAGACACAAACCAAATATAGGAAAGAACACTTCAACTATGGGACCAAACAATGCTTAGCTCTCATGAATGATCTGTAACACTACAGATTGTCTCAGTAATCGGATTAAAGTAATCATAATGTGATGCATTTCTTCGCTCATAAAAAAAACAAGGGTGAAGACATAGGAGGTGATTCACATCATTTCTACGTACCTCCATAAAACTTGGGTTGGAGAAGGTGCCATGACTACATTTTGAGTGAAACAAACAAAACGTTATTAACAGGTAGAGCTCAGTCACGTGTTGTTTGCTCAGATAGTATAGTGTTGGACATAAGCTAAACAAAATGTATGCCATTTATATATGAAGTCTATGTTTATAAGTGCCATACAATCTGTGTTATCTATATTTTAGGACCTACAAGGCTATATACGGAAGGAGGAAAGCACTGGACAACAGAGGAAGTCAAGGCTTTGATAACAATTTGGTATGACCACGATATACGAAAACAGCTGGAAGGAACTGTGAGAAACAGAAGGATATTTGAACATATTGCCAGATTGCTCCAGAATTTAGGCATAGAGAGGGACTGGAGACAGTGCCGCACCAAATACAAAAACCTAAAGCATGAGTACATTGTGACCAAGAGAGCGCTGGAGTCAGGGTACGCAAACAAGACTATGAAATTCTTCTACATATTGGATGACATCATGCAGAACAAGGTTTCAGAGCTACCAAGCCTGTCAGTTGCAGATACAACAAAGAATGTGTTCAACAGTGCAATCGCAAAAACAGATATGTTACATGTTACAGGTATTATATGTTATTCCACCAAAATATTGCTTAGCTATAGTTAAAATCCTTGTTATAATAATATTATGAATGTAAGGTGAACATGTATATTGTCAGTACTGACTGCAAGCTCGGTTTAGGCCCGGGGTAGGCAACTTCAGCACTCTAGATGTTGTGAACTACAGTGAGGGAAAAAGTATTTGATCCCCTGCTGATTTTAAACGTTTGCCCACTGACAAAGAAATGATCAGTCTATCATTTTAATGGTAGGTGTATTTTAACAGTGAGAGACAGAATAACAACAACAAAAATCCAGAAAAACGCATGTCAAAAAAGTTATAAATTGATTTGCATGTCAACGAGTGAAATAAGTATTTGATCCCCTATCAATCAGCAAGATTTCTGGCTCCCAGGTGTCTTTTATACAGGTAACGAGCTGAGATTAGGAGCACTCTCTTTAATCTCAGCTTGTTACTTGTATAAAAGACACCTGTCCACAGAAGCAATCAAGCAGATTCGAAAATCTCCACCATGGCTAAGACCAAAGAGCTGTCCACGGCTTGTCAGGGACAAGATTGGCTGGAATAGACTACAAGACCATCGGCAAGCAGCTTGGTGAGAAGGTGACAACAGTTGGTGCGATTATTCACAAATGGAAGAAACCCAAAATAACTGTCAGGCTCCCTCGGTCTGGTGCTCCATGCAAGATGTCACCTTGTGGAGTTTCAATGATATGAGAACAGTGAGGAATCAGTACAGAACTACATGGGAGGATCTTGTTAATGATCTCAAGGCAGCTGGGACCATAGTCACCAAGAAAACAATTGGTAACACACTACGCCGTGAAGGACTGAAATCCTGCAGCGCCCGCAAGGTCCCCCTGCTCAAGAAAGCACATGTACAGGCCCATCTGAAGTTTGCCAATGAACATCTGAATGATTCAGAGGAGAACTGGGTGAAAGTGTTGTGGTCAGATGAGACCATAATTGTGCTCTTTGGCATCAACTCAACTTGCCGTGTTTGGAGGAGGAGGAATGCTGCCTATGACACCAAAAACACCATCCCCACCATCAAACGTGGAGGTGGAAACATTATGCTTTGGGGAGGGGGTTTTCTGCTAAGGGGACAGGAAAACTGCACTGCATCAAAGGGATGATGGACAGGGCCATGTACCGTCAAATCTTGGGTGAGAACCTCCTTCCCTCAGCCAGGGCATTGAAAATGGGTCGTGGATGGGTATTCCAGCATAACAATGACCCAAAACACACAGTCAAGGCAACAAAGGAGTGGCTCAAGAAGAAGCACATTAAAGTCCTGGAGTTGTCTAGCCAATCTCCAGACCTTAATCTCACAGAAAATCTGTTGAGGGAGCTGAAGGTTCGAGTTGCCAGTCGTCAGCCTCGAAACCATAATGACTTGGAGAGGACCTGCAAAGAGAAGTGGGACAAAATCCCTCCTGAGATATGTCCAAACCTGGTGGCTAGCTACAAGAAATGTCTGACCTCTGTGCTTGCCAACAAGGGTTTTGCCACCAAGTACTAAGTTGAAGGGGTCAAACTTATTTCACTCATTGACATGCAAATCAATTTATAATTTTTTTTACATGCTTTTTTTCTGGATTTTTTTTGTTTTTCTGTCTCTCACTGTTAAAATACATTTACCAATAAAATTATGGACTGATCATTTCTTTGTCAGTAGGCAAACTTTCAAACTCAGCATGGGATGAAATACTTTTTTCCCCTCACTGTACATCTCCCATAATGCTCTTACAGACTTAATGCTGGCACAGCATCATGGGAGGTGTAGTCCATAACATTGGAAGTGTTGAATGTTGCCTACCCATTTGGTAGATTTGGCAATTTCTCACGCTTAACTGGAGAAAACATCTATGCCATGGTCATACATCCCAGAACTTAATCCAGTTATATAGTGCTATCCATTGTTAAATCAGAAATTAAAGAATCCCCTTTATTCTACCACTTTAGTTCTCATAAAATCTTGTTCTCAGTTTGACTATCTTAAAGATCCCCATACAGAATCAGCTGAAGAATCGTCCTTGGTTAAAGAAGAGCACAGAAGAAAAGATTTAAATGTGGAGAATAATTGTCCTGGTGAGTAAAATGTATATTGACTCATACTCATACTCATAATCATACTCATATTCCTGTATTCATTCACTGATGCACAAGGGGCTGAAAGGAATAACTTTTCTTATCTGAGTGACATTTTTTGTCCTCCTGAGTTCCATGGTGTTTGCCTCAGCAATTACAGACACCTGGGCGTCGAATGATTCAGTACTGTTAGAAAATGCCCATAGACTTTAATGCTGAGTTCTGCAAATAAATCATTTGTAAAGATTTCCCAACAGTATTGAATCATTTGAAAGCTTATAAAAAAAAAAATATCAGAGCATAACAATATATCATAAAAAAAATGTATCAGAGCATATCAAAATGTTATTGTATAGTATGATTTCACGCTAATTGGAGATGGCACGCTCTTTCATTCCAACCACTACAATGTACTGTAGTGGGTATAATGATTAGAATGCCGCTTTATCTAACTATGGCATTGATTTAATATTGTTGGAGACATTTTCCAAATGATTTAATATTTTTGGATAAACTTTAAAAACTATTAATATTATGAGAAATATTTACATGTTATAATATGTTGATATTTTTTGATATATTGATATATTTTTATGTATGATATATATTTAAATTTATTGAAAAAAATCATTTTACAAGCTTTGTTTTTGTCATGCATATTTTTTTAAAATGATTTTATGTTTGCTGGCTAACTGTTCATCACTTTTAATATCACTGTTTGCTGCATGTTGTGCCTCAGAAAACATGTACTAGCAATGAATAAAAAGGCAGTATAAAAAAAGAAAACATGACCGTGATAGATATACCATTATATAAATACAATGATGTTTATTCACTGATTGGTGAATATGTTATAGCAGATTCAGTCAGCCTCACTTGGCTCATTTATTTTAAATCTGTTTTGACGGTATTCCTCTGAATTTCACTGTATTCTCTGCTGGATTAAATCAAACCGCATTGTGCTGCGTGAGTCCCAGACTTCTTCAAATGAATCTCATGGCCATAGCAAGATTTGTGTTAAAATGGTTTCATCTAAATGGCAGTTCAAATTCCTGCTATAAGAAAAAAAAGACAATTGTAAGATATCAGAGTTTGCAGGAATCTATGATCTGCAAACTTTCTTTGTCTTAGGGATGAGCATAACCACCTAGCAAAGCTAGTGGGTATGCGGCAGCCTCCCGGAGTCAAATGCAACAGCAACAGCCTTTCAGCCAATCAGGTAATCAGGAGAGCCGTGCTGAGCGCGGGAATCCTGATTGCCTCAGATTTTTTAAATTGTGAAACTGCGGATGGTTAGCATATCCCACGAAGTACTAAGGATTAATATTGCCCAAAGTGTATAGGAATATAATTAAACATCTAAACACAAAATAAAACAATTCAAGAAGCCAATAGTACAGGGGAACAAGAAAAATGTTTAATAAGTCATGAAGACATATAAAATAGACTTGAAACTTTGTATGAAACAAACAGCTGAGCCGAAAACAAGGCAACAATGTATAGCAAAGGAAAGTATCAAATGAACACTGGAACCATTCATCATAAATTGCAACAAAATAAGTTCAATAAAGAGAAAAGAAATGTTGTAACAAGTCCCAGCAAACAGATTCTTTATGCAGGGAGTCCATGAGAATATCATACTGACGAGACTACTAGCATCCAGGGGCGTACCTAGAGCATTTGGCACCCGGGGCGGATCCTGTGCTTGGCACCCCCCCTCCCCCCCTCGCCCCCCCCCAAAAAAAAAAAAACCTGTAAAAAATGTAAAGGTTCTCTTTTTTTTTTTTACAATTTGTTACAGGCAGACAGTCACATACAGTCACAGGCAGACAGTCACACATACACATTTCCTCCGTGCGGCCAGTTTATCAGCTGTTTGCTTGTGTGAGCTGTACTGCCACAGCCCCCTCCAGCCAGGGCCGGTGCAAGGATTTTTGCCGCCCTAGGCAAAAGTAAAGTTTGCCCCCCTCCCCCCCATGTGACATCACAATGCCCCACCCATATGATTTGATATGTTAACTAACGCCAGTGCTGCAGTGCCGCCGTGTTTACATTAAAAGGCCTGCAGGGACAGGCTATAGACACCAGAACCACTACATTAAGCTGAAGTGGTTCTGGGGACTATAGTGTTTCTTTAATGTGAGGTAAATTAGAGCTTAGTGCCACGAATAATATACTAGATTGCCTACTTACAACCAGATGAGGATGATGATGGGCTCTAGCTGCAGTCTGGCTTCACTGGTCTGGTGCAGAACAGTCTCTCTGCAGGCGGTTTGTAACTGTGGTCACAAAAATCAATGTTCTGGGAGAACGGGAAGCAGCTCCATTTTTTGGGGGTCCTTTACACAGCTCAAGGTCTGGGTTCCAGGGTCCACCTTCATGTTCCACCAATGAGTTTGTTCACAGGGGGTGGAGTGTGTAGGGGATGTCCTGATATGTGTGTAAGGAATGCATTGTGTGAAATTGTGTTTGTATGTGTAAGGGCTGCAAGGTGTGTTTCTTTGTATGTATGGGATGCATTGAATGTGTGTAAGGGGTGCATTGAGTGTGTGTAATGAATGCATTGTGTGTTTCTGTGTGTGTAAGGGATGCATTGTGTGTAACGGTTGCATTGCTTGTGTATGTGTGTCTGTGTGTGTAATGCATTGTGTGTTTTTCTGTGTGCAAGGGGTGCATTGTGTGTATGTGATGAATGTCAATCTCTCCTCCCGCTCCAATTTCCTTCTCCTCCACCCAATTTCTCTTTCTCACCCCCCCTCCTAATTTCTCTTTCCCCCCTCCTAATATCTCTTCCCCCCTCCTAATTTCAATTTCTCTTTCCCCCCTCCTAATATCTCTCCCTCCCTCCTAATTTCTCTTCCCCCTCCTAATTTCTCTCTCACCCCCTCTCTCCTTTCTCACCCCCCTCCTTTCTCTTTCTCTCCCCCCCTCCTTTCTCTTCTCACCCCCCCTTTCTCCTTCTCACCCCCCTTTCTCCTCTTTCTCACCCTCCCTTCTCACCCTCCCTTTCTCCTCTTTCTCACCCCCTCTTCTCCTTTCTCACCCTCCTCCTTTCTCACCCCCCCCTTTCTCCTCTTTCTCCTTTCACCCCCCTCTCTCCTCTTTCCCTCTCCTTTTTCACCCCCTTACCTCCTCCTTCACCCCCTCTCCTCCTTTCACCCCCCTCCTCTTTTCACCTAACCTTTTCACCCCCTCTCTTCCCCCCCCTCCTCTTTTCCACCCCCCTCCTTTTCACCCCCTTTGCTCCTTTTTCACCCCCTCTCTCCTCTTTTTCACCCCCCCTCCTTTTTCACCCCCCCTCTCCTTTTTCACCCCCCCTTTCTCCTCTTTCACCCCCCTCTCTCACCCCCCCTTTCTCCTTTTTCACCCCCTCTCTCCTCTTCTGCCCCCTCTCCTTTTCTTTTCCCTCTCCTCTTTTCGCTGCTTCTCCTTTTCACCCCTTTCTCCTCTTTCACCCCCCTCTCACCCCCCCTCTCTCGCTGCTGCTGCCTCCCAGCTGCCCCCCTCCCTGCCTTTCCCACCGCCAGGCCGGCGGGCGCGACATGTAGTCTCGAGGAACGGGGAGCGTATCTCCTGTACCCGGCCGGACTAACAGGAAGTGAACACTGAGTGTGCACTTCCTGTTAGTCCGGCCGGGTACAGGAGACAGCTCCCTCCCTGTACCCGCCGGCTATGCAGGGCTCGGCCACGCTACAGGGACGGAGCTGACAGGTGGGAGCTTCCTCCTGTCAGCCTCTCCCCATGCTGCGCCCGGGCGGTGCGGTCCGCCCTCATGGAAGCACCGCCCGGGCAATGCTGCAGCCGCCTGAGGCTCAATACAGAGCGCTCGGGCGGCTGCAGCATATGGGGGGGGGCTGATCATGGCACCCCCCACCCGGCTGGCACCCGGGGCGGACCGCCCCCCCCGCCCCCCCCTTAGTACGCCACTGCTAGCATCCAATCCTCCTAATTAGGTGGATCCTTGGTTTGTTGGTCTTGTCTTGGAGTACGGCTATAGTCTGTAAAAAACAAAACAAAGAACAGTTATCAATAGGCTGAATAAGCACCAGATAACCTTATGTTTTAGAAAAACAAACTACCACCAGCAGGCAAAACCCTTAACTTAGAGGAGGGGGGTGCGGACGCTATTGCTAGGTGGTTATGCTCATCCCTAAGACAAAGAAAGTTTGCAGATCATAGATTCCTGCAAACTCTGATAGTGGGTAGAATAGCACACACCTGGTGGTGCTCCTTAGAAACTGAAGGCGTTCAACTTCTGATGGCCTCCAGTAAAATCTAACAAAGGTTTTACTGGACAACCATCTAGCAGCTTTCAAGATAGTAGGGAGAGGAAGGCCTTTTCCTGCTGCTTTAGTAGCCGAGGCTCCCCTAATTGAATGGCTTTTTAACATGGAAACATCAATACCAGCCAAAGACATGGTGGAAAGTATCCAGCCTCTAATTGTATTAACCTTGGCTGGACGAAAGGGATTCCTTGATGTAATAAATAATTGACTGATATAATTTCTAAATACAGCAGAAAGTTGAAGGTACGATTGTAACAAACTGACTAAACATAAGCCTGGTTTGGAAGGATCTTAAACCAAATCCAATTCTACCGGACCAGGAGAAAATGGGATGTTTTTTGTCTGCCTTTTAGTATAATATGGAAACCTCCCAAGGATCTGAAATATGGTTTTGATATAACTCGGCTCCTCTAGCTGCCAGGGCCAAGGACAGCAGAGAAGCCAACTTAATAGCAGTTCATCTTAAATCATTTTTAGCATTATCCAAAGAATTAAGGAAATTTAATAAGATGTCTACAACCCAAGTAGATGTGTAGCGTGGGGTATATGGTGAGGAAATTATAAAGGCAACACTTTTGTTGGTCTGCTTCATCTCTGTTGGCATCTAAGATGGCTCTTTTAAAGGCGTCTGGCAGGGCAGTGCTAATTATTGGCCAATCCTTTAATTACATATCAAACATCCGCAGATCCTGCTGGCTCCATGCAGCAGGTCTGTCTACCCTAGCCCCCAAATCGCATGAGTTCCCAAATTTGGAGGATTCTTTACTATTCGGTCCCTCATTCATTCAGCAGGTTAAAGGCCGTTACAAGGCAAAGAGATCCTTTTCAGAACTCAAGAAGTCCGTCCTTGGCTACAAAAAGCCCTTTCGGACAGAGGGTCGCCCCTATAGGGCTGCAGGAGCGTCCTGAGAAGCCTCTCACCAGGCCCAGTACCTTTTCCTCAGACAAATGGGTTCTAAAGATTTTTCAAAGGAGTTTACAACTCCCCCTTTTAAGGTTCCCAGTCCAGAAATTTGCACCACACAGACAGGTGAACCCAGTGCTAGATACCTCCCTTTCCTTAGCTTTAAGTCAAGGGAAGATAGCGTTGGCAGACATGTGTATTACAATCTTCCAGGCTTAGTACAGAAAGCTTTTTTTCTGCATAAAGTTAGACCTAAAAGATGCCTTCCATTCAGTCCCCACAGCCAAGAAACACAGGCGTTTTCTCAGGTTTCAGTGTAAAGGAAAAGTGTGGCAGTGGACCGTTATGGTGTTTGGCCTATCCAATGCACCATACACATTCTCCAGAATTATGAAATCAGTGATAGCTCATGTCAGACTAAAAGGTTTCATGTGTCTGTACTATCTAGACGACATCCTGCTCATGCACCCAGATGGGGAAGTCCTTGCTTCTCAAAGGGATTACCTTGCTTCCCTTTTACAAGACCTAGGATTTGTAGTAAATTTACAGAAATCAGTCCTAATTCCCACTCAAAGCATCCTCTTTCTGGGTTTCGTACTGAACACCAGGACTATGTCTCTAGGAATCCCTCAAGACAAATGGGACAAATTACTGGTACATCTGACCTCATCCCTCAGGCACCAGAGTTGGTCCTTGAGAGACCTAGCAAAGATTATCGGGAAATTAATAGCTTTACCACCAGCATACGACAATTCCCCCTTTCTTTGCAGAAGAAGTCAACTGTTTTTAGGGAATCGACTTAGACAGGGCGGCCATTGGGAATCAAAATTCGTTCTCCCCAAGAAGGTCAGAGAAGAGTTGAAGTCCATTCTGGAGTTAGAAATTCCACTTCCTCGTCCCCCGTTAGAGCAGCCTGTGGCAGTCAATAGCTGCCTTCTCTCATGTCTTGTGTTAACAACAGATTCTCTGCCATTGCTACTAGGATATCGTACTACCTCTGGAAACCTCTTTATAACACCAGCATATGAGAACAGTTACAGGTTTTTTATTTCTGAGACGTATCCTTTTTCTATAAAAACCTATAATCTTGTTTTTTCTAGAGGATGAAGATTGTATGAGTAATATCTCCGATGTTAGTGGCATTCATCATATGAAGAATGAGGTAGATGGAATTGGTGAGTGAAGGGATCCAATCCTATTATATTGTGTTTGGCGTTTGTGTATAATTATAAACAAATCAACAAGTTATATTGCTGTTCCAAAATGATTGCAGTGTATCCACCAGTTATCCAGTCAATATCCCCTTGGGTATAAAAAAGTGATGATTATCTGGACAGTACAAACAAATATATTGTGTATGCATGAATAGGAAAGCTAAGACATAATTCTAAAAACGAGGCAATCATGGTGGAAAATAATAGAATGTTCCTAATGAATCTTTTCTTCCACTTTTACCACTAACTATTTGTGTGCATAACCCTCATCGTGTTTACAATTAGAATGATTATCATAACAAGAGGTCGGCAGTTAGTTTTTATGTTCAGTTAGGCAATTCCAATACCATGCCGTTTAATAGGTCTACCCTTCAACTTCATATCCTATTTCTAGCTTCTATTGTTTTCAAATAAGCACTTCTCAAACCTGTCATAAATACCACAAATGATCAAAATTCTATTAACATTATTTTAATTTAGATTGAATTGGTTAATGCGTCATTTGTAACCAATTTAGCCTTTGAGGACTTATTTGGAAAGCATTGCTTTAATGGTGTAGCCTATAGCCTTTATCCTTGTGTTCTAATACTAACCCAAATCTTGATATGCTTGCTTTCATTGAATATGTACTAATGTTCCTACATTATAATTGTGTGTGCTCTTTTGTCTTGTGCTGTTGATCTGATCTTCCTGGCTAAGCATCGTGGATGACAGTATTTTCCATAAAAGTTAAAGGAACACTCTTTTTTTTCATATGTTAGTAGAGTACGTACACTTGGTGATTGTAGTATGTTACTGACAAAATGGGAGCGATTGCAGATGCCTATGTTACTGCTAACTAAATATAAACCCCTTAGTTTGCTTTTTGCTTTATAGTACAGCATTATCGCCAATGCGTTTTGCCATCATTTAAAGTTTGTCATTTCAAGTCTGAATCTGTTTGAAAAGAAAAAACATCCCATTTACAGCAGAAGATATTATTTCCTTGTTATAATTCCATGGGATACCTGAGGGAAGCACCATATCTTGTTCTTGGCTTTTACAAATCCTGACATAATCACAGGTTTCAATGCCATATGCATAGAATGAAGTGATTGGCTTCAAAGCTAACACTAACCAACACAGAAAGTATATTTGCAACAGGTTTGTGGGTGTGATTGTTGGCTGAGAGTTGGCTGTGAAACCACTTCAGGGTAGGAAATATGCAAAGAACCAGCTTGACAATAGTGAAGAACCAACGCTGGGTTCTATACTAAAGGACTAATATCCAGACTCATGGTGAAATTGAAAAAAAAATACTTTTATTTAATCAATCCAATAAAAAGATCAAAAAACTGTCTGCAGCGGGGGGCACGGCAGCAAGAAAGACACTTATAAGTTTCATGCCAACAAGGCACTTCCTCAGAACTAGCTTGAGTCTATACAGGCAAGAGCACATAGAATTTCCAAACCTAAACTCAATGTGACAAAACCAAACTCAAAACTAGGCTGACAGCCTGAAAGCCAAGATGTAAAACTATAGCGTGTGAGCCATTACAATCGTACAGAAGATAAAAAGAAAACCTGTTTTATAAATCCAGTCCAAAACTGGGAGTGTAAAAATAGAATTATATCGAAATAGTTGTAAAAACGTTCATAGGTTAATACCATACACAGAATGGTAAAATGATACAGAATTGATTTGATAGTGACTTGACAGCAGTTTGTTTTCATTTGTCTGTTGGCCCAGGTGATAATTCCGAGTTACATGAAGAAGCCGAAAATGATTTCAGGATTATCACTATAAGCGATACGGGTGTGGGACGGAACTGGAGTGACCATGAAGTCCGAGCCTTATTAAATGTGTGGTCAGATGAAAGGATCTCTCGGCATCTGGGAGGGACCTTTAGGAACAGAGAGCTTTTTGAAGAGATCTCACAGAGAATGATGGAGTTTGGCGTCAACAGAGACTGGAAGCAGTGCAGGACAAAGTACAAGAACCTCAAGTATGAATACTACGGAATGCTAAGGGATGGAAGTCATCACAGTGAAAAGACCATGAAGTTTTATGATGAAATTGATAGTATAATCCAAAGAATGCCAAAGAAGTCCGTAGTTCAGGGGAGTGAACTACACAGTGGGGTTTCAAATGGAAGAGTAGAGTCTTTTGAAAACCATAACCAGCCACAAGAAACTGCAGGTAAAATTGCCAGGTAAAGCCATTGGCTTTAAGTTAGAAAAAAAAAAGAAAAGTCTAAGAGCCCTAAATATGGCAGAAAATTGCAAGTGAGATCTGTCCCAGAATGATTATAATTTGAAATAAAAATGTATAAAATGTAATATCATCATGAAGAAAAAATATAGCATATTGATGTTATGTACTAAATATATATCCTTGGGAATGTGATAAGAAAGGGAGAGAAAGTAAAAAAGATTAAATTATATCCTTGTACTTCACCCACCATCTTCACTCCTTGCAAAGCTGGCTAGTGGCACAACAAATGTAGAGATTGCCTTGTGCAAAACTTTTGGGGAACAGCAGGGGGGGGGGGAGCTTTCCTTTGAATTTTTGACTCATCTAAGAGGTTTTGTCTTGATGTGGCAGGTGAGCTTACACTTTAATTGCCATTGGAGTTATACTAAATAAAAAAACACCTTCAGTTATTTAAATGTGCATAGGGATTTGGGACAGTGCACATGTAACTATTTTCTTTGGTTTTGTATTGTACATATTGGGGCGAATGTGTACTAAAGTCATTGCTGCCGAGTAGTTGGAGTTTGAGTGCAGAACTTACTTTTGTATGTTTTGTATTTGTGCAAAGTGTTGATGTTTAAATATAGGGGTGTGTTTGCGTGCAGAATTGGTGTTTGGATGCAAGGATGTATTTGTGTTTGAATGCAGGGCTATATTTATGTGCAGTGTTGGTGGTTTACATGCATTTATCATGCATTGTGCTGAGCTGTAATTGACGATTTCTCATTGGCAGCTAAAGAAACCATAAAGATAAATGAAGACCATGGGTATGGCTTATCACTCAAGAGAAAGGCTCCTTTAACAGGTATGTTATAATATTAAAACCTTTTATTAGATTTCTGTGAGTTATTTGGATGGGAGATAACTACAGCAGTGGTTTCTCCTGTTGTGCCTCAATCCACCTTAAAGGGACACTATAGGCACCCAAACCACTTCATCTCTTTGAAGTGGTCTGGGTGCACTTTCCTTGTCCCCTTTAGTCCCGCTATGTAAAATATTGCAGCACTAAGACAGCCTCTAGTAGCTGTCAGCCGGACTTTAGGTCACTAACGCTCTGCATGAGGACATTCAGCATCAGTGAAAAACACATAGAAAATAATTGATTCAATGCTTTCTTATGGTGAGGACCTAATGTACTTGTGGTGATCGGCGCACATAAATGGTTATGTCTGCCCTTTTGCAAACCAGAGTAACGGTATGCAGCTACTAGTAATAGGGAATTTTAGTTAAATAAACACTGTAGGCACCCAGACCACTTCATCTCAATGAAGTTGTCTGGATTCCTTGCCCCTGTCATTTTAGTCATGTGAAGAAAAATACTGCAGTTTCTGAGAAGTTTCCAGGGATAACTCAACATCTAGTGGCTGCCTCTCAAACAGCCACTAGATGGGGCTGTACGGTTAGTAACCCTCAGCTGTTTGACGTTCGATGTATATATACAATGCAGGCATCTCAATGTGAGCGCACCTGCTTTGAAACCAATTGCTGCAGAAGCCTATAGGAAAGGATTGATTCCTCTGAGCATTAGAGGAGCATTGGATTGGACCATCGGCAGAGAAGGCCTCCAAGACGTCGCTAAAGGAGGAGAGGTGAGCAGGAAAAAGGTAAGTAAATAATTTATTTTTAAATTGTTTTAGCGACTGGGACCAGGGACCTGAAAAAGACTATGGACTGAAACATTTTCAGGTTTGTATTCCTAACACTATAGAATTCCTTTAATAAATATCCCTTTGCTTTGTTTTCAGAATATGCAATATCAGATAAAAGGAGGAATTTAGGACGTGATGCAATTGAAGCACATTCGGGACTTCCTGTCACACAGGTCATAGGTGACAATCAGGTAACAGAGAACCATGTTACCCTGCAAGATCTCTATCAGCCTGTCAGAGGGAATTCATTACAGACTGCTCCCCAATGCCATCAAGACCTCAGCTGCCTGGTGAGTTATATCGCTTGTTTCCAGAAGTCTCTGTGTTTGAAGTCAACATATATTGCCATTATCTATGTATACAGCACCGCCATTTTGCTCAGACATGGGCAATGCAGGGAGCCGTGGCTAACAAACTGCAGGGTGAGCTTAGTTTTAATTCAATGGAAGGTTACAGTGGGTTCTTTGCTACTGAGATTGACCAAAACAAGCTAAGCATTATCTGGAATTGGGTGTAACTAGACAAGATACAAATTGTGGCACGGGGAAAGGAGGAGTAGAGGCACAGGTAGTGATGCCTATAGATAAAGGTGGTTAAGTCTGAAATGTGTAAGCCGTTTGTTCATCTCTCACCATTGTATTTGTTTTGTAATAATGCATTAATTTCATGTTATATTGTGGTGGACCATTCATAAGATGCCACAATTTACTGGCATAAACAGAGTGATTTAGCTCCTAAATGGCAGAGAATTGAGCAGTGAGACTTCACAGGCAGGATCTATACACAAAAACTGCTTCATCAAGCTGAAGTTATTTTGGTGACTGTAGTGTGCATTTAACTCTTTGATGTTTTGTAAATATTGAAAATCTGAATACAGCAATTCCCCTTAGCTTTCAGGGGGCAGCTAGCACCCTTTACAACAAATGTTTCTGCCACTCTTAGAGTGGCGTGGTTTCTAGCACCGGCTAGCAGCTTTCACACTCTTTGTTTTCTTCATTTAAATAGTGAATGGGTCTTTTTTCTTTAGTAATATTAATCATGTGTTTTATTTTGCAAATTAAATCAAATGGTAAAATTATCGAGAGGCAAAAAAGAGGAGCAATAAAACAGAGTATTTTGGTGCATTACAAGAGGTGGAAAAAAGTCCAATCTATAAAGCTTGGGGTAACAAAAATGTTCACCTCAACTGGTTTATGTAGGGCATCCTGCAGAAATGCTAGCGTATTTGTAAGTGGATTGATGCCGGAAGCCAGGATTATCAATGTTCCATTGGTTAGCAGTCCAAATCATGAGAACTTGGTGGCAGTTTCACACTGCACCTTATGGTGAATTTTATTCCTGTGGAGCTCTGTTATATATTAGTGCATTACTGTGCAGTTTCTGTAACTCTCACACTGCTAAGCCACATTAATAAATCTCACAGTAATGTGCAGTATATATATATCTGTAACAAGTATTTTCCAACCAGCATGCTACCACAAAATAACTTGGCAGTGCCCTTCCCGAGATCTCTGGCTCAGCCCCTGACAGGATCTGACTTGTGCAACATCATGTGCATATTCACAATGCATTCTCATGCCAACAACTTGCAAGCCAGCCAAGGGGTGGATTAGGGGAAACTAATGTTTATCACAAAGCACAAATGACAGTGCTGAATTAAGAGCCTAGCAGGGCTGCTGTCTGCTGATGAGGAGTATGATGAGCCTAATTACCGAATCTTTTAGACAACAAAAAAAAACTGTCATACCTCCCACGTGTCTTGCATTTGATGGAGGTGGTGCCAGTGGGAAATACACAGGATGCATTTATAAGAATACACATGCACTATGCTAATCTCTCACTTTCATCTCTCTGCCTAGTCTGTCTTTTTAACAAGCCCCTCAACGTTCAACTCCTCTCTCTCACTAATTACAAACTTTGAATCCTCTTTCATCATGACTAACTTGTCCACTTCTCTCCCTCCTCCTTTCCTTCTCTGCTAGAAACAGGAACTCATAGTATTTAGTCTGGGAGAGAGAAAGTGAGTGTAGCAGAATGAGGACATGACACACTTAGAAAGACAGGGGCAACAAGACCATTTGCACAGTGTGCAATGTCAGCTTTATCATTAAAGGGTTACTCAAACCACCATGACCACTTCTGCTTTTTGAAGTGGCCATAGTGGTAGGAGTCTGTATGTGCAGCATTTCTGCTTGACACTCTGCGCATACTGAGATATATTAATGTTTGTGCACCCCAGCCCAGAAATCGTGTAGAATATATCTGCTCTCTACACAGAAGGTACAGATTCTTGAAGTAACATTCCCAAGGTATGGATTGCGTATAAAGGCATAAACAATATTGTTACTGCTGTCGTTTGTGAGACACTGGGCATTTGCTAAGCAGCACCTGTCTGCTACTTATACAAAATATAACAAAAAATATATATGTGGTATGAAACCCACCCACAGACGATACCGCAACTCCAAGTAAAATGTCTTAAATGTCAGGTGAAATAATCCTGAGATCAAGGCCTTGATAGGGTTAATTCCAGTGCTGGGCCATCCCACATATAGTAAAAACCAAAGAAAAAAAGTTACCTGTGCATTACTCAATATTCCTGCTCTTACATTCAGCTTTTGGAGTGCTACCATAACTATTTTTGGCCATACATCACTGCAATTTTTATATCAGTAAATGTGCACTTTTTCATTATTTCTGTGTATTTTTCTGAGGGTGGACTGCATGTTGTTTTGTGTAACGGTCTGCTACTTACCCTTTTAATTTCTATGGAAGCAGGAAGGGTGTACTTACTTTTCCACACATGGCTTCTCCAGATTGGTTTATTCTTGTTAAAGAAATCATGACACACTGTAGTATGTTGTGTGTTGTAGTTTACCTGAGGTTGTTTTTACCTAATTTTAAGACCTGCTAAGGAACAGATGATTGTTATTATGTCCAGATATGTTATACCAATGAGAGGGTGTATTTTTTCCAGTGACTGCATACACAGACACACATCATTTCATATTAAATCTTGAAGTTTTAAAGACAAACATGCAAACATATTGACACACAAGCACACTCCATGGCACAAGCACACTAACTGACACACTAACATAAACACATTCATTGTCACACACTCTTACTCTGACACATACTTACTGGCGCACACTGCCCTTAAAGGCAGCTGCCAGGGTGCTTTGCTGGGTTGGCATTGCATGATGCAGTGTGATCCCTGTTTCTTAATTTCTATCGACTCACAGAGCTAAGGTTGCTGGGGTCAGATGCCATGTATCCCAACGGGCTTAGCTCTGTGAATTGTGAGGAGCAACTGGCACTCACACTGTTAACTGACTCCTGGCTGCAAAGAAGATGAAGGCTGCAGCCAGCACCAGCAAGCCTCAGGTAATAGAAATTTCCACAGGCACATTTCTTGGCATCCTGGTAGGCCAGTCCAGCTCTGCACAAGAAGGCTGGTGGGAGCTCTGTGACACCCAGACTTTGTAACCCCGTGGTGGTATGCCCTTGTGGTAGCACCGACTCTGCTATTTGGTCTATTGGGGATCTACCAGGATCATCCATACACCTCTGTCTTGTACTCTTTTGCATGCATAACATTATTACAGCGATGGGCTCCTGGTGTTGAATTTCCAGAAGAAAATGCTGTCATTTCACTTTCAGAAATGTTATATGATTTTTGCATAAGAAAAAGACATGTGGGCTCGAAAAATGTTCACCTCAACTGGTCTATGTAGGACAGCCTGCAGAAATGCTAGCAAATTTGTAAGTGGATTGATCCCGGAAGCCAGGATTATCATATTATGTTCACTTGGTTAGCAGTCCAAATCTTAGAGGAGAGAACTTGGTGGAAGCCAAATAAGGATGGTGCACCAGTGACGTAGCGATTTAGGTAATTATATCTGCCTGATTGACTTAGAGTGTCAGCTGACAGTTCTAGCCATAAAGTGGTGCCTCTGCCGGCGGTGCTCCGCACTTCCTGAATGTATATTCTATAGACTGTAAGCTTGTTTGAGGTGGGTCCTCTTCAACCTGTCGTTCCTGTAAGTTTTCTTGTAATTGTCCTATTTATAATAATATTGTAAAGCGCTACGGAATCTGTTGGCACTATATAAATGGTGATAATAATAATAATAAACAGGGGTCCTCAAACTCCGGCCCCCAGATGTTGCTGAACTACAACTCCCGATTCTTTGAATTACATAGATAGCCAGAGAATCATGGGAGTAGTTCAGCAACATATGGGGGGCCGGAGTTTGAGGACCCCTGATATAGATCATTGTAACTGAACTGGAAATTTGGCTTATACTAACCTACGGTATGAAATTAATTTGAATTCGCTACAACTCCCATTTTAGTGAATACCCCTGCCTGTGCTTGCTGGTTGGATTTCCTATTTCCCCACGTGCTGTCTCCTGTAGCTCTTCACGCTGAGCCTCACATGTGACCCGAGGGGAACTCTCTCTCTCAGCATTCATTGTCAAAGCGCGCTGTTCGATCAGCAGTCACGGGGTTAAGGATGTGGATGTGAACTTGTTATGCTAATCGCGGGGCCCAGCGCGCGCTCTGATTGGCCTGCTGTCAGGGGCGTGACGTTCTGTGTTCTTTATTGGAACGTTTCCCCGTTCTTTGGGATTCTTCTAGCAGTCTCAGTCGGAGAGTGTGGATTCAGAGCAGGTATCCCCGGGGGTCACCATGTGCTCTCCCCGCGTACCGCCAGTCTGTCCCTGAAACACCCCGGAAATGCTGGGGCCTGCTGGGCTGCACTGATTACAGGGCACCATGGGTGGGGTGAGCTGGGGTATCCTGCATTCACCCTTTAATCTAAACCCTTCTCTCTGTGTTTATTGTAGGGAGCTCGCTGCAGCCGTGACATGATGGAGTCCTCCTCCGCAGGTTGGTGATCACTCCATTGGGGTGAGGGCTGGGTGGCTGTCCTGTCCGTGTCTTGTTTGTCTCGGCCAAACTGAGTGTTTCTACACGTGTCTGGCTGCAAACAGGCTTCCTCTCTTCTTCCGAGTTTGGGGTGACCTGAGAGTAATAGGGGTCTCCCGGGGTTCCAAGGACTTTATTTATAGGCCCCAGAATGCTCCCACTGTAGCGAGGGATGCTGGGTAGTCACATTTTTAATGAAGTGTAATAAAAATAGTTTTGGACATGCGTCACATGTCTTAAGGCTATCTAATGAGTGTGTCAAGTGGTTATGGTATGCTGCTCATTCTTGCAGTCTAATCGGCAACAAAGGGTAGAAACACCATCCACTTATCTACTATTAATGTAAGGTTATTGACTAAATTATGTCTTGTCAATTATTTATATAGCGCCAACAAATTTTGTAGCGCTGTACAATGGGTGGACTAACACACACATAATTGAGATCAGACCACTGGACATACAGGAACAGAGGGGGTTGAGGGCCCTGCTCGATGAGCTTACATGCTAGAGGGAGTGGGGTATAGTGACACAAAGGGTTAAAATAGGGGAATTAAATAGTTTGTTACAGAAGGGTTTATAGTGCTTGGTAGGTCATTTTTGACAGTTGCAGGAAAGGAGTAATGGGGTGGGGGATGAGAAACCTGCTGAGTTTGCCATGAAGTTTTGTCCTGGGTGTATACCAGCCCATTCAGCGGAGGTGACCAGGGATCAAGGTGGTGGTGAGGGATCTGTTTCCTTCCTGCCGTTCTTGTACGCATTGCTGGGAGCCGGAATATGTCTCTCCGACTTCACTGAACAGTGTGCAAAGGAGCAGGAAAAGAGCTTCAATATTTCGCTAGCCACCCTGGACCCCAGGGTAAGGATCTCTGAAACGTAGGGAGGTTGAAATAAAAATTAATAGAAACAATTTGTAGGTGTATGAGTCTGTCTGTCTTGGTCTCCATTGCATGGGAAAGGTGTCTTATTTCCCTCCCGCCCCCCACTTTGATGATCTCATATATGGGAGAATACTGGACTAGGAAGCCCCTCCAATGGACGTCTTGTTGACTGTGCCTAGAGGTGTTACTAGGCAGCAATGTTAAAAAAAAAAACTGCTCTTTTCTTAACTGTGACACCAAGTGATGCAAGAGACCCCTTAGATCAGAGATGGCGAACCTATGACACGCGTGCCCTCTCTGTCGGCACGCGGCCATAGGTTTGCCATCAATGCAGAGTAGGCACCTGCCTGCCCGAAACGTCAGGCGCCTACTCTGCTTCCGTGTCAGGAGGCAGGGGGAGGGATCTGTGAAGCAGCTCCCCTGTCCTCCCGCGAGCAAGCTGTGTGGAGCGTTGCCGCGCGTTACCATGGCAACGCCCCACACAGCATCGCGCGGGAGGACAGGAGAGCTGCTCAGTACAGAACTTGCCACCACCGGACTCCCCCCTTTCATTAAAGGTAAGTAGGATGTAGCATACTTTACACCCACACACAGTACCCCTACCCCCCCACAACACACACAGAACAGCACCCCACACACAAACACATACACTGCAGTGTGTGTATTCATTCAGCAGTTCAATTCTTTTAAAACAAAAGTTATTAATTAGTTCGGAAAACTGTACGAGTTGTTTTTTTTTTCTAAACTTAAACCTCAATATTCAGGTTTAATTGCTGTGTTGGCACTTTGAGGGGAAAAAAAGTTGGCATGTATTGCTGTTTGGGCACTCTGGCTCAAAGGTTCGCCATCACTGTCCTAGATATTGAAAGATACCTGTTGTTACTTGGTACCATCAGGTATTTTTGCTCTGAATTCTAGTTATTTGCAACTTATCAGGCAAGAACAGCACATGCCTGGGACTTTTCGGTCCTGTGCAGTGATTTGTGGAGTAGTTGCTGTGTATGTACCATGGCTAAGGAACGACATTAAACACCATACTATTGTGGTATCTCTTTTCAGGAATGACCCTGCTGCAATTCTCCTGCATACCCTCTCAATGGGGGATCATTTCACAATGTTGAGGAGTCATATTGTTGCCACATTTTAAAACTTATCCGGACTTCAAAGTCCTGCTTTAGCTATATATGAGGAGCCAGTAGTTTTGAGACCTCCCTTCCCTTGCTATAATATGTGTAAAACAAAATAAAAACACACTTCAAGCACCATATCCATTTAGGTTCAGTAGCTATACTGCTAGCAAATGATACACTGAAAATGTTGGCTAACTTGACTGACTTTTTTTTTTTTTTTATTTATATTATTCTTTAGAACTGAGGCTTGGTAAGAAGATCAATGAAGGTAAAACTAAAGAGGTTCATGAGTTGCTGGATCACCCTGGCTGTGTTTTGATGCTGTCAAAGGACCAAATAACAGCAGGGAATGCAGCCCGGAAGGATCATATGGAAGGAAAGGCCCCCATCGCAAACAAGACAACCAGCTGTGTCTTCAAATTGCTGCAGGAAGCTGGTAAGTGTTGCATGCATACACTTCATGAGTCGTGGTGTGTGTATATCTTGACATTGGCTCATCCTTGTTAAAGGGCCACTCCAGACTGGAAGTGATCTCGTGTGTGTGTGTGTGTGTGTGTGTGTTCTGTTTGCTGAGCTTACATTGGGCTTCTTCCAGGTGACGTTGCTTGGCTAATCTGGAATCTTCCTTGGTGTTTGTGTTCATTACAAAAACCCTTGCACACCAGGCATTCATGTAATATGTATCTTACATACATTCCACTAGTTGCGTAGAATGGATGGAATTCTATTAATTTGCTTCATATTCTTCCTCAGGTATTAAAACTGCTTTTCTCAGGAAGTGCAGTGAGGCTGGATTCATTGCTACCCATTGTGAAATGATTCCTATTGAGTGGGTGTGCAGGAGAATTGCTACAGGGTCATTCCTGAAAAGAAATCTTGGAGTCAAGGAGGGGTACAAGTTTTCGCCTCCCAAAGTTGAAATGTTTTTTAAGGTAAATGAAAGCTCACCTTGTATTGAACAAAATGGATTATGCCAAGCTAAATACAATCACCAAGCATTGCAAACGTTAAGTGATTTATTTATTAAGCACCAACACATTCCACAGTGCTGTACAATGGGTGGTCTAAGACATATCTGTAAACAGATGAGTTGGACACAGGGATTGAGGGCCCTGCTCAGTGAGCTTACATGCTAAACTTGTATAATAAACTGCAGACCATTGTTCAAATGGCTTTCAATTCCCTGTCTTAGAACTGCTAAATATTTGTAGCTTGATTAATATTGAAACAGTGTGGTTTTTGCTTTGCGCTGTATCATGTACAAATCTTACAGGATGATGCAAATAATGATCCACAATGGTCAGAGGAGCAATTGATAACTGCAAAGCTGAACTGTGCTGGACTTGTGATTGGTCAAGCCGAGGTGGACATCATGAGCCATTCCACAGTTGCCATCTTTGAGATTCTTGAGAGAGCTTGGTCAACACAGGATTGTACTTTGGTTGATATGAAGGTACCTAGACTTTGCAATTATTGGCAATTTAATTCCAAATTATTGTAATGATTTTTAATTGGAACTTAATGGGGGGAGGAGATTTTAAATCCTAATAACTGGTCTCTGAGCTAATCACCACTGCTTTATGCAAAAGGGAAATGTGAGATTTCCCTAAAGAGAAATCGAAATTTATTTGATCTGTTGGTATGAATAGGTACTGTTAAATAAAAAGCGCATTTTAAAATCCTGACCAGAGATTGGAAAACGAAGTTGATCACAACTATTTGAAGCACCTGCATTTTCTGCAACTATTGGCATTTTGCTGGTTCTGAATGGAGTTGTTGACAAACCAGAAAGTGACATGGCCAGACATGTCCTTTTTTCCTTTCAGTAGTGTATGCAGCTACAAATGAGCTTCCTCCCAAACTTGTTTATGGGATTAGTTTCTACTGTAGAAACCTTTAATATTTTGGAGCAAAAAATCCTTTTGGATTTAGGAGGGAGTGTGTGTGTATATGGCAAATTAACAATATTATTGTAGTGTCTGAAGTGGTAGCTTTACGGTCTCTTCAATCATGCATATATATCTTCCCCCTCCTTATAACTTTAGATTGAGTTTGGTGTTGATGTGACAAAAAAAGAAATTGTTCTTGCTGATGTCATTGACAATGATTCCTGGCGACTGTGGCCATCTGGAGACAAGACCCAACAAAAGGATAAGCAAGTATGTGGTTGGCTTGTATATTGCTGATTTATCTTGAAAGTTTTGCTTTTAACCCCTTAAGGACCAAACTTCTGGAATAAAAGGGAACCATGACATGTCACACGTGTCATATGTCCTTAAGGGGTTAAATTCAAAGCTTAACATGGCTTTTTAAAAAATTTATTTTAATTTATTTTAGACTTATCGTGACCTAAAGGAAATCACTCCAGAGGCAATGCAGATGGTGAAAAGAAATTTTGAGTGGGTGGCAGACAGAGTGGAGGTGAGTGTGGGGTGGCTTTTCCCTCTGTCCTACTGTTTAAACTTGACACAGTGCTTAACATGTTTAACTCTGAATTCCACATTTTCTGCAAAGCTGAAGTTTTCCATGTTTGCTATGATTTCAGATTATTTTGTACTAAACCTTTTGAATGCATGTGAAATGGTTTAATCTCTTAACTGTTGCTACATAGATATCCTCCTTGCCTAAGAAGAAACTGAGGAAATGCAGTATTTTTGAACCGGTGCATGGTCTAGATAGCCTGCCAAAAGTACAGAAGACACTTTGTTCGATGGAAGTCAATAGTTTGCACCACAAATTACTAAATAGTGCTCTCTTGCCAACAAAGCCTTGCTTGTTCCAGCATTTTATAAAATACAAAAATGTGAAGCGGAATAAAATCTGACCTAATGCAGCTGGAAAAATGTTATATAATTCTATAATATAAAACATGCTAGAGGTTGTGTAACACATGTGAGTCTTTATTTATTTTATTATTTTTTTGCAGAAAGATTTCTATTGTGCAATACTCGGATTTTTTTTACTGAGACCACGGCATTAGATTCAGGACTTACAGATCAAATCAGCACAAAGGCAGAGAACAAGCAATGTTTTAATGTTGGCCCATCCCAATATTCTGTAATTCCTGCTTCACTTAAAGTGCACCTGTTCTGCCATTAACCCGAATAAGAATTTGTTTGTAACTAAAGTTGCGCGGCTACCTTTCACCTGCCATCTTGTGGCTTAGTGCCATGTTGGTTATGGTGCACTCTCTGCTTCAGAATACTAATAACTTGACACTGTTTTAAATCTACTTCCCACTCAACGCACTGGACAATAGCTGTGGTTCCTGAAAGTAAACTGCTGTTGAGGTTAGATGTAATCTCCAATGGAGAATTCCAGGACCTACCTGTAAAATGTGATCAGTGTCTTGAACTATTTAATGAACATAGTGGCACCTAAACCTTTCAATATCAAATTGAGGTTAGTCATTACTCGAACTAGCATTTACCTGAGATTAGTCTGTGATCTGTAACTGTCTGCTTGATACATTTACAGACTGCTTTAAATGTCTGGGTTTTGTTTTGTCTTTCTAGCTCTTGCTTGCGTCCAAAAGCCAAAGCCGGGTTGTGGTGTTAATGGGGTCTATTTCAGACCTTGCACATTGTGAGAAGATCAAGAAGTCCTGTGCAAACTATGGTATCCCGTGTGAGCTTAGGGTGACCTCTGCACACAAGGGCCCAGATGAGACCCTCCGTATTAAATCAGAGTATGAAGGTGAGCTATGATTTAACAAGATCTTATTCTTCTGGTAGAATAAAGTTGGAGTGTTACTCTAAACCATGGGTCCTCAAACTCTGGCCCCCCAGATGTTGCCGAACTGGGGGGTGGGTAGGGAGGAGAGAGAAATCTTCTTAGTGGAGAGTTGTCCTTCACTTGCAGGCATGCTTCTGCTTGCAAGGGGAAGGATTTTCTGTTGCCAGCATGCTGACAACAGATGTATAATGTCTCTCCAATGTCCACTCTGTACAGAGTTTTTGGCTGCCTCCGTTATGTGTGCTAGGGTTGCAATTTGCCCCTAGCACACCATTAAATCTCGATGTGCAGTGTTTCAAACTTAAACGCTGCACATCTAGACTCCTACCACTACGACCATTGCAAAAGTGGTCCTGGTAGTTGGAGTAACAATTCCGGAATGTATTATGGTAAAGTGACTATGGTGTTCCTTTTAAACAACTTTAGCTTAAAGAAGCGGTTTTAGTTTATAGCTCATGCCTCTTGGGTTTTACTGCTCAATTCACTGCCATTTAGGAGTTAAATCGCTTTGTTTCGGTTTATGCAACCCTTGCCACACCTCCCCTGGCTATGATTGACACAAACTGCATGGGGGGGGGGAACTGGTTTCACTTTCAATCAAATGTAACTTACATTAAACAATTTTATCTCTTGCTCTGCAAACTGAACTTTAATCCCATACAGGAGGCTCATGCAGGGTCTAGCAAGCTATTGACATAGCAGTGGATAAGAGAACTTAAATTTAAACAGAACTTGCAATAAAGGAAGGATAAACATTAGATGACTCTTTACAGGAAGTGTTTAGGAAGGCTGCAAGTCACATGCAGGGAGGTGTGACTAGGGTTCATAAACAAAGGGATTTAACTCCTAAATGGCTGAGGATTAAGCAGTGAGGCTGCAGGGGCATGTTCTATACACCAAAACTGCTTCATTAAGCTAAAGTTGTTTTGGTGACTCTAGTGTCACTTTAAACTACAGTTCCAAATTAATATAGGTCCTATAGTCAGGACTAGGTAAACCAGCAACTGCCTATTTTTATAAAAAGAAAAATTCACATCCAAATTTATCCGTTCATTGCAGGTTAGTACCTGTGGGTGCCCTGGTTTTGAAACTTATGCAAGCTAAAATTCCTCTTTCAGCGGTCTTGGTTTACATAGAGCATAAGTGTCTAGGGGTGTTCAGTTTTTCATTTTTAAATAAATCATGTTCTCCTAGGTGATGGAATTCCAACTGTGTTTGTTGCTGTGGCTGGTAGAAGCAATGGGCTTGGGCCTGTTCTTTCTGGAAACACTGCCTATCCGGTTATAAACTGTCCCCCCCTTACTGCAGATTGGGGTGCTCAGGATGTTTGGTCTTCCCTAAGGATGCCCAGTGGTAAGAAATCTGTTCTTATTTTTATGTATGCTTGTTGTGTATATGTAAAACAATGACCTGAAAATAATTGTAATTGGGGAAGAGCTATGGAGATTGAGTTCACCTTACAGATCTGGTGTAAGATTTGGCTACATGTTAAGTCTTTTTATTCAGTTTACAGGAAACATTCTATAAACTATTACACCGTTGGTATTTGGTCCCAGCCCATCTAAGTTTAATAAATCCACTGCTGACCTGTGCTGAAGATGCACCCAGCCTTTGGGTACTCTATATCATAGCTGGTGTTAATGCCCAAATTGCAGAAGATTAAGGATGAAACCGAAAAAAGTATCAAACTTTGCATGTTAGAATGTCAATGAAACGGGCACAGCCAGTCTGTATTTTTTAGTACATATACTGAAAGGAAAAGGTGGAATTAAATTCTTTTCATTATATAATTATATAATCAATGCTCCAACAAACTTGTTAAATGAGATTGAATGAAGACTGGCTATTTAGAAAAATATCTATCTATTAAAAAAAGATACACACTTTTTTATTTGGCAAGGTTGTATTTTACAAAAGCAAATATCAATCACTTTTAATTATAAAGCGCGTAATTTACAAACTTTCTTTGTGTATTGAATGACTTATTATAAAAAAAATATATGTAAGGTTGATGGCTAGTGAAAATGTAGGCCACTGCTAAACGCTTACCAACATTTCAGTGGCCTCTCTACACTTTATTTTTTATTTTATTTTTATTCCTTTTTATAATTTAGTAAAGTAACGCTTTCTGACTCTAGCCATAATTTGTATTTGTCTTGTAGGTCTTGGATGCTCCACTGTGCTGTCTCCTGAAGCTGCTGCTCAGTTTGCTGCTCAAATTTTTGGATTAAACAATCATCTGATCTGGTCAAAGTTGCGTTCGTGCACTCTGAACACTTGGATCTCTCTCAAACAGGCAGACTCAAAGCTGAGGGCATGCAGCATATAAAATCACTGCTGTAACACCATACGGTCAATTCTCATAATTAAAACAATTTTTCCTTACATATATTGTTGCATTGCTTTCTTTAAAAACAAACATGTCCATGTTTAGTACCATAACTACAATAGATTGAGCAATTCTGCTAAACTGACTACACCGTGATGCAGGGCCCATTGCTGATGGACTCCAGGCACCATAATCACTTCAGCTATTAAGTGATTTATTAATTTTTGTCCCTGAAGGATTTCTTTAAGGGTGTTGTAGTTTACAATTCTTTATTTTTGCTGTGCAGGAGTTTACAATCAAGATTACCATGCTGTGGTAACAATAGCAAGCACTTCAAGAACAGACATCATGGCATTTAATAAAACTGCACATTTTTAAAGTTATATGTTTGACCGGCCTGCTACTCAAACAGGACTAACTAGACATGTGGCGTGTAGGTAAACATTTTAGAAAGCAGGTTATGGGCTAAATATACAACTGGTAACAAAACTAAACCTTATGTTGCTGCGTTACATTAAAGGACCACTATAGTGCTCTGGGGGGAGGAAGCGGTTAAACTTGCCTTTTTCTCCAGGGCCGGGCCGGGATCTCTCCTCCCTATTCGGCTGCATGCGTGGCAAGAGCCGAACGCGCATTCTGCCAGTCCATAGGAAAGCATTCACAATGCTTTCCTATGGACGCTGGCGTCTTACTGTGAAAATCAGTGAGAAGCACGCAAGCGCCTCTAGTGGCTGTCAAGAGACATCCACTGGAGGATGGATTAACCCTAATATAAACATAGCAGTTTCTCTGAAACGGCAAAAAAAAGGGGGGGGGGGTTAATCCTAGATGGACCTGGTACCCAGACCACTTCATTAAGCTGAAGTGGTCTGGGTGCCTATAGTGGTCCTTTAAAGAAAAACTAGGACAGAAATAGCTTTTGCAAGAAAGTGGGGAAGGCAAGGTGTTACCCGGAAAGTCACCATGCATATCTGCAGCCTTATACCACTGTTTGTGCACCGCTCCAGACCCACACAAGGGCTGACCTTGTCACTCCTGGGACTTTGAGGCTCGCTATGGCAAACGCCTTCTCTCTACTGGGGCAGCATGAGGGGCCAGGAGTTAGGATGTCACTTTTGGTGGCTTTCTACTTGCTCAGGAGCTCTGCAGCAACTGTGTTGCTCCAGGCCCTTGCATCCATATGCCATATTGTTGACGCTGTGTGGGGGATGCGCAGGATAAATCTAGTCCCATGATGTCAGCCTGCAGACTGGGTACCCTGGCTTTCCCAACAGGAGTATGGGTGAGTACCCAATTGCTGAGTTTCACCCAGAATTATGCACACAGGTGACTGAACGCCTGAAGAAGTGGATTCACGTGGGTGGCTGTAGGTAGGCGTGTCACTGTAGGCTCCAGTGGAACAGCCATCCTTAAGTAGTAGGCCACAACACTCCAAACTTTGAAAATGTCAGTCTTCGAGTAGGCCACACTATTACACCAGTGGGGACTGGGATATCCCCCACTGGTCCAAAGTTGGGTGGAAATAGGGCTCAGCAATTGATAATGCAGATGCCAACAGCTCCAGGCCAGGAGAGCAGCAGTTTCGTCCCTCCATGGATCACACCAGGCGTGTAGGCCACAAAATAGTCCCAGGCCACGTGGTGGGGTTCTAAACTTGTTCAGGAGAGTACCCTAGCATGCGTGGTCAGGTAAGTATACTTTTAATCAACTGACTATAATCTCACCATAAAACAGTGGTATTGAAGCTTCAGGTGATGAGCACATACCATGTGCACCCATCCACCATGATAGCCAGGCCCCACTCCCAAGGGAGTTGTAGTTTAAAATCACTTGTGCAGATAATGCAATCTACTGCTTTTAGTTAATTATGAACTTGTGCAGCTTTATAATCTATTCTAGTGCCTACTGCCTCTCCTTGCACTGCATGATAATGCAACTAAAACTTTGTGAATCTTCAGCATCCCCCTATCCCCAAGCAACATAGATGACTTTGCAAACCATAAAGCTATTTAATCAATTTCTGGCTAGCCAAAAGATTTTGGGTTGGTGGGGTCTCTAATCTGAGAAAGGCAGAAAGTTTTGCAGAGTTCCCCATTCTGGAGTATGGGAACAGGTTTTACCCCATTAACTATTCCCTAAACTGCTCTCTAAACATTACACCCTCCCCATTCTGTAATCTGACTTTTGTGAAATGGCATGTCATTCAGGCAGCCAGAGGTGTTTTAATGTTTGCAGGGTCAATATTTTAGCATTAGTCTGACTTTCCCAATGTGGCTACTGGGTTGTACAGAAGGCCACCAACTGATTCTAAATCCCACACTTTCTGTTCAGCTCTCTTCAGTTTAGGTGACAAAATCCCTGATATTCAGTCACTGCTGAATTGAGGTGACTTCCCCTGACATCTTGGATTTTATTTTTACTGCTTTAAAGATTTTTTTTTTTTTTTTTTTTAAACTGCCAAACTTTGCTTTTTATGAAAGGCTTTTTGAGAGTTAGGTTGCCACTGTTGGGGCTTTAGCTAATGGGTGCTTTTCCCCAGATATATTTAGGAAACTGGATCAAACTAAGGAAGTGAAGTTGCTCCTGTTTGTGGTTTTGTTTATTTCACTAACCGAATGGAAGCAAATTATAGCTAAACCACTGGGTTAAAGAAAGTCAAACATCTGATTTGGACAGCTGAATTTTTTTTTAACTTATCTGAGAAGTTTTTCTAGCAGACTCATTCAGTGAGGGGAAAATGTAGCCAACTTAAATGTTTACCAGAAAATAATCTTTCTGGCCCTTTGGAAAGGGAGGCATTGTTCTTTTAAAAGATTACAGTGGGAATGCACTAAGCCTTTTCACTTGCGTGATTCCAGCACCGATGTCCCTAGACACTCAGTCAGGCTCCACCTCTGCCGACAGCAGCTGACTGGGAGAAGCCTAATGCGCATGTAGCATTGCACACGCATTAGGCCTTACCATATAGAGCACCAACTGAATGCCATAGGAAAGCATTGCAAAGCCTGAAGATGTACCGCGTGGTTTCAGAGTGAAGCTGCAGTAAAAACATTGGTTTATCTAAAACTATAATGTTTAATGTTGCAGGGTCACTGCACCCAGATCACTTCAATGATATTAATAGATCTGTGGGCCCCTTTGAGAATGTAGATAAAGTTTCTTTACAAAATATTCAAAGCCTCACACAAGTAAATGGTATTAGATAGGCCTTAGGCGATTGATAGAAATCTTTGTTCAGTATTTAAAGCAGAAATGCTGCATAGACAAATCGGCACTTTTCTGCCAGGGGTATTGCCAGTTGGGCAGTCTGGGACTCTGATTATAAACTTCCCATTGGACAGCAAAGAACAGGATGCTAGAGGTAGCATTCCTGCAAGCGATTGCTTCAGGGTCCCCTTCCTGCACTGCCTTCCTCCATTTAGAACTATATTTTAAATGCAAGCCCTGGCTCGGAGCATGCATAAACACTGAGCCAGGAAAAGATGTTCCAAATGCTTCTCACAAGCATTTGACTGGACCTTGGAAGGGTGATGTCAGACTGGGCATGGAAACTAGCAAGGAGGATCTCAAAAAAAACTTTAGAAGTTTATTTTCTGCTCTGTAAATTGAACTTGAATCCCACAGTAGGCGTCTGCAGGGTCTTGGAGGCTATAGGAGCATTAAATAAGACAATCTAGATTAAACAGACTGTGCAGTGCAGGAACCTAAAATATCTAGGCTCCTTTTCAAGAAGTGTCACAGGGAGGTGTCCCTAACCATATTTAAACAAACACCTAAATGGCAGAGCATTGAAAAGAGACTGCAGAGGCATGATGTATACATGAAAGCTGCTTTATTAAGCAGGTCATACCCAGTGCGTGTAGTGCAACCTTTGAAACAGATCAAAAATATCAAAATTTCTTTACCATCTTGCCTTTAAATTTATTTAATTATCAAATTAAAATGGCTTGGGGGCCCAGCGCAATACTACAATTTATGATAAGGTTTGTTATAACAAAATTCTACTTTTTGTAGTTATGTTGCCATGTATATTAGTTTAAAGCAGTGGTTCCCAAGCCAGCACTCACACCCCAGCAACAATTATAGTTTTGTCAGTATCTTTATGGAAATGCAGAATTCCTGGATTGTTGATGGGCTACAAGGAGCCATTGGGAGCCACTGGTTTAAAAGTAAGGCACTTGGCTAAATCTGATGAATGTGTAGTATTCAGTATCACTTGTCTTTTTACAAACAAGTCGAGTAACCGTACAATTATGTATTTAATAAAATAATTGTATAGAATTAAGATGGCAACATCACTAGAGAAGCCATCCAACAAGACTTGCGATATCTCTACAATAAAACTTATAATTATCACACTGCATGTGATGACAATAAGATTTTGATTAGTCATACAGTAAAAATATAACAGGATTTATTGACCATCCTTCTGATGTTGCAATAAAAGACAATTTACTTTTGTACTTCATCTGAGAGTCAAAAAGAAATGCACATGTGAAAACCTCCAGAGCATCAACAGTCAAGATCCACAGCTCACAGGAATTAGTTTCTTGTTTCTGCAATTAACGGTGCTTCAGCACAAAGTAATTGCTTGTAGAGGCATCAAGGTACTGGGAGTCTGTTGTACATCCGTTAGGGGGAAAAAAAAAATAGTTGTCCATCACATTTCACCAGATTCAGCACAGTTACATGGAGTTCCACCCCAAGGATGGAAATTGGACATTTCACCATTCCAGTTCTACAGGATACTCTCCTGTAAGACATGCCGTACAGTGGCCAATGGATGATGCAGGTATGGTTTTGCCATTTAAACCATTCTGTTCCTTGAAGTCTTTGATACCGGCACGGACTGCTGATGTTAGGCCATCAACCGAAAGATATACAACACTGTTTGCACCTTGAAAGAAAATATGTAAAATGTTTAATAGACACATCGTTTGTTTCTTAAATCTGCTGACATTTCAAAAGGACACAGGAAGTCTGGATATCGGTTAAACGGCACACTGATAATGCGGAACCAATTGGTTTAACTTATAAAACTGACCACCATTACAATTTGTTTCCTTTACCATAAAAGGCACAATTCATGGTATTTTAGCATGCTTTTGTCTAAGGAGTCTTTGATTGTAGTGTCTACCAAGAAGACAGAATGAATGGTTATAGAATCCCAAAGACAAATCTGACCATTTACTGCTCCAAGAGATGTTAAGTAAAAATCCAGGAAAAAACTTGAAACAATTATGCTAATAGATCTCATGATTGATGCTGGAAGTCCCAATATAGCGGTAGCATGAACATGTAATTCAATTAATATGGTAGTCAAAGACCTACGTTATGGAAGGGTAGTAAAAATAGCCTCCCATCACGCAGACACTTTACTACTTTAGTTAAGCCCCCACACTGAGAAATATACCGTACATTGTCAGCTGCTCTACGTCAAAAGGCAAGAGCATTAACTGGGACATCCGAAAGATGATTATTTGATGTTGTGACCAATTGGACATTCATTAACTAAACAAAAGAAGAGTTATCTACTGCAAAATATACGACTCTAGTAGCCAAACTAAAAGCAGAGGTAACCAATATATTTATTAGTTTGGTTATTTTGAACTGAATCCAAAGACAAACATGTATGACCCTGATATTCCTTTACAAACGACTTACCAATATAACCTGCCAAGTCTTCAAACTCGGGCCTGTTTGCAATGAGTTCTTCTTTGGTGGGAATATTAATTCCCATGTAACAGGGGTACTTGATAGGAGGAGAAGCCACTCTTATGTGTACCTGAAAAGTAGGAAATTTAATTAAATACAGAAATGCTGGTTTTTGGTTTTAAAAAAATAATAAAAAGGATGTCGTTTATGTTTATAAAAACTCCACAAGCAACTCAAAAGAAGTAGTAGTAGTCAGTTTTGGATATGAAATGAAATTAAAAAAAACAAAACAAAAAAACACAACACCTTTTATAGATTAGATTAAAATATTGAGAGAAGTCTAAAAGTCATAGAGATTTAGATCTCTTTACCTCTTTTGCACCAGAATCCTTTAACAACTTTATGATGGGAGAGATGGTGTTTCCTCGCACAATTGAGTCATCAATCAGTATAATTCTTTTGCCAACAAAATTGTCTGAAAGAACGCCAAACTTTTTGGCCACTCCAAGCTGCCGTAACCGCATGTTTGGTTGGATAAAGGTCCGTCCTATGTAACGATTTTTGCATAATACTTCCACATACTGAATGCCACACTGCAATAGTTAAAAGGAAAAGTTTATGGTTACAAAATCAGGAATAGAGAGATAAGGCTTAGTTGATTAAACAAATTTACTTTAAGAAGATGAAGTTAGATACCTTCTCAGCATAGCCCAAAGCTGCTGGTGTGGCAGATTCTGGCACTGTGCTAACCATATCAGCTTCTACGGGAGCTTCTAATGCCAGCTGCTGGCCACATCTCCGTCTCACCGAATAAACCATTTGTCCTGTTAAGAGTGAATCACATATTAATAGGGTAAAGAAGAGAGGGCAGGTAAGAATTTATGTTTAGTTATTGAAGTGTGTGGTGTTTGAAGGTGGCTTCTAAAATATTCTGAAGGGCCCCCAAATAAAAATATAAATCTGGGGTTAACATTTTAAATCCTAATCCATTAGCCAGGCCACTGCAAGAGTACATGATACAATCACCAGGGGTGCATTTCTTCTCGTTGTAGCTAAAGGTTTACTTGCCAACGGCTTGTGGCGAGTTAAAATTCTGAGCCCTGGTATAAATCACTGATTTCAATATAAGTAGTCACATTTTTTTGCACTAGCAAACTGTGGCAATTATGTACCTAAGAGAAAACTAAACTTAAACATAATTTTGGCTAAAAGTTTGAAAAGCTAGAATTCTAATGTGGTTGTTTAGATAGAGATTTGTAATTATTTGCTTTTGATTCCCTACTTGTGGAATAAGTCAAGAACAATTGATAAGCAAGCTTACAAGGTGACCAAGCCTTTTTTTTTTAATTTTTTTAAAACATACCTTCAAAAATGGAATCAGGCCGTGCAAAATAGACATATTCAAAAATACAAAAAGCAGATGGTTGTCTTGCTTCTGGTCTTGGCACGATATCCAGAGTCTTTACTCCATGTCTAGAAATTTGAACTATTTCTCCTGGGAGAATTTCCCGATGGTACCTGGGAAAATAAAAAATGGCCAAGTTAGACTCTGCCAAACCAAACCCCGGAGTAAAAATTAGAAGAAGTCTTTGCACTTACTCTGCACCAATGGATAAAAAGCTACAGGATTCAGAGGAGACGACCCAGCCCTCTGTCTCTGTACGGTTCTTTACTGTAAGAAAAATAAGCCTTTAACCTCTACATTATATATAATGAAATGCACAATGCAATTTCCAAGAAATGACTGATGGAGAGGTGACAACAAAACAATAAGAAAAGGAATATGTCCTCACATTTACAAAATGTCTGCTACAATGTTTATGTGAAGGATTGATCAAACAACCACAGCCTGCCTCATAATGTACTGAGAGCGTGTAGGACTTTAGAGACGAAATAGGACTACGGAATGCCATTTTGAATGCACTATAAATTCACTAACAAAACATATTAAACTGTATAGTCATAACGGCTCGTAAATAAATACAAAGTTAGTGCCACAGAACAATAACTGCCTTTATATCGCATAAACTACAGTTAGTTTTGTTGGTATTAAAAGCAAAGATTGGAGAAATTACAAGTTATTGTATGGGAATAAAGTTCAGCTAGTTGTCAATTGCTGCTACAGACAGACTCCACCATAAATGCCTCAGGGTCACAAGTAATTGTGTGTTTCACAAACAAATTGCTTTACAAGGTTACACAGACTTTGTTACATTGAGAAGATTAGATTATGTGAAGGGAAGTAGGGAGACACATCAGAAAGCGGTCATGCCAAACAAAATGAAATGCTACCAGGCACAGTACTTCAATACAAGATAGTTTATGCAACACGTTTTGGGGAAACCAACTGTAACTGTTCTACATACTTCGAAAAACATATTGAAAGGCCAAGTTTGTGTTATTTTTTGTTTTGTTCTTTTAAGATCATTTAATTCCAGGCATAACAAAAATAAAAATGCAAGCACGTAGGATATTTTAATATTCCAAGCTTAAAAATTCAGTATCTGATCCCAAAACAGTACTAAGATGTATAAAAATAAGGGCACTACATGAAGAGCTGCAATCCCTTCATAATTTATAGAAATATGTAAATGAACTCAAAACACAAAGAATATAAAATAAAGGAAGTATGAATTTCATCTCTAGTCCAGTGCACTGGAACACAGAGCCAAAATGTCGCTTTTCACTTTGTCCAAATACTTATGGACTGCACTGTATTTCTGCCAAGTGTCATTTTGATTCGGTTTAGAACTGGAGAGGCAAATGTTTGGTGAAGTGTAATAGAGAAGACAGAGTTTCAACATGAACGCATTGGTCACAACAATGAGGTCACTTAATATCTAAATTCTATTAATGTAAACACTAAAAGGAAAATAAATCTGTGCAGATTGGTTGTGTATTTAAAAATACATACATTAAAATAGTCCAACTTAAAAAAAAACAAAAAAAAAAAACCCAAGGTGGACTCCTAAATAAAAAGATGCACACATTAAAAAGGGACACACATCATATGACAATTTTTTAAACCAACAAGCAAACATTTTTTTCAAAAATACAAAATCAAAATAAAGCAAAACCTTAAAACTTTGAAAAGTATATACTAAACATGGTCAGATTGCATTATTGGGTCCGCCTCTCAGCTTTGGATGTTTCTTCAGCCACCCTCTCAAAGACCCATTTCAGTTTTAAACTAGTCCACTGATGACCGAAACAGAGCATCAATGTACAGGAGCAAGAGAGAGATGCCTAGCACTGTAGCCTGCTCTGCATGAATCGCATTCATGATCAGACTCCCTCTCTTCTTGAGAGATTCGAAATATCAGTGCTCTCAGCCTTTAAAAAAAAAAAAAAAGTGTGTTTAAAGTTCTGTTGCACACTATCTATAGAACTACCTGGGAGTCCCTTGTCTTCAGCGGTCACAGGTAGAAGACGTCCAATACAGAGTGGTCTGTTCCCATAAGGGTCGCGTACCGCATATATGACATCATTGTGCATGACCAGGAATGAGTAGGATGTAGGAGTTTCATTCATTAAGTTTTTTATGCTGGTGAAAAAAAAAAAAAAAAAATTTTAAAAAAATTCCAGTATTAAACCATGCAAACAAAATGTAATTTACCAGTTGAATAACATTCTACCAGAGTCTAAATAAGTAAAGACATAATGAATATAATGGAACAGCACTAACTCACATGACCAGCCAATTTCACAATGAATAAAGGTCAGACCCTTATCTTGTGAAATGTTAGGCTTGCTCCATAAACTAATCAGAGCTGCCCCCCCATCAATAAAAACAAAACACCCCCCACATCAGTTCTCACATGATGTCTTGTTAACTACATAGGAGCTGCTAATCCCCTCATTCTATGTGTACAGATTCTGTGGACTCACACTGGTGGCTTTTTGAAACAATGTCTCGGCATTAAAACTGATCCTTTTTATTATTTTTTTAGCTCTTACCGTGCTACCCAATCAGGGGTGTGATCCTCTTCCAAAGGAGGTGTAAAAGCCAGAAGCTGTGTAATTAGCTCACTATCCGAACTTGTCGACAGACCCACTCCATGTCGCATCAACTGTCAATAAAGACATTAAAATTCGTCATTGGAAGAAACTTCACTTCAAATGCGCCAGATTCCTGCCAGGCACAACACTATAGTTAATATAATAAAATGATGTTACCACAATGACATGTATGTTTTGTGGAAGGACTATGGTCAGTGAACTTTCAAGGAAATTATACATATGATTCTTAGGAGACACAGTAGCTAAGCAATAGCAGTAATCAACCCAAAAATGTCCAAACATACATGGCGCTATAGAAATGTGACAGAACAACAGGTGATAAACCGCACCAGACAGAAAAAAAAAAAAATCCACACACACACACAGGTATACCCACTCTTAACAATAACCCAATAATGCGTAATATATAATGTATATAAGTACGCTCTCTCGAGTTAAGTGATTTTGCATTTCGGTACAAGGAAAACCTCAAAATAAAACAAATACAAGAAAAAAATAGTGTAATATGTCTTAAATGGTTTTACAGACAGTTAAGTATATCGGTGTCTCACTCATACTTTTATGAGCTACTTAGAGTTCTGCTGTTTAGCGCTTTGACGGTACAATCCCCGTCTTGGGATTTATGTAGATCCAAGATTTTGTGTGTCCAGTACGACTCCAGCATATAAAATAAAGCAAGCAGTGTCTAATTATTATTATTATTGCCATTTATATAGAGCCAACAGATGCCGTAGCGCTTTACAATAGTGCAATATGTTAAAATACATAAGGTGCAAAAAAGCAGAGTATCCTACTTACACTTTGGAGAGCAATAAACGTGCTCTGGTGGTATAAAGCCTTGGTGGTTCCACGATTACACTATTTTTTGTTGTACTTCTGTTTTATTTAGAGGTTTTCCTGGTACCGAAATACAAAATCACTTTACTCCAGAGAGAGTCCAAATAGAAAATAGGCCTGTTTTACGGTTCTCTCTTCAGGATATGATTGGTAAAAAAAAAAAATCACACTTTTTAAAAAGGCTCTAATCCACAAAATATGTAGATATGTCTTTTTTTGATCCATTAAATGGACACATGAATGTATTAAATAGGGGTTATACTGAGAAATCATAAAAAGATGGTCTGGGTAAGATTGTCCTGATAAGTGCTTATTACTAATGAACAACATGTGGATTAGAGACATATGGATCCTGTGTCTGTCAGGCTTACTATATCATAAAGCATAACTACTATCACGCTCAATGAATTAGGTCTTATGCGAGTCACATTGTGCCTGAGGGTACCATTCATAATAAGAGTCACTACCAGGTGCCAGAGAGAGCACATGCTTTGGTTAGATAGATTACATAAGAGTGATAACAAGTTAACACAGCATTTCCTTTCTCTGGGTAATTTCTAGAGCAGAATGTAACAACGTGTTCTTAAAGCACAAAAAACACTGAACACAATGAGTGTGTTTAACCCTGAGAGTATTAAAAAGGGCAATCCAGGTTTGAGCCAACTAACATGTTAATGAGATAGAGATAGAGATATATATATATATATTTAAAAAAAAAAAAAAAATAAAAAAAAATAAAGTTCTATAGGACCAGTATCCTTCAGCTACAGAGTACACTTCCTGTAGTCATTATTGAATCAACCACACTCAGCAGAGCAGGTTAGCTTTCTACTAGAGGGTAACTATGCATAACAATGAAAGCCAGTGTAAATCACATAGGTGTTTTACAACTGGTTAAATTATTATCGCTATGTAGTGGCAAAATAGCACAAATCAGAAAGAAAAAGAAAAGTGTTAAAATCAAATCCAATTACCGTATATACTCGAGTATAAGCCTAGTTTTTCAGCACATTTTTTGTGCTGAAAAACCCCAACTCGGCTTATACTCGAGTCAGTCTGTATTATGGCAACTTACATTGCCATAATACAGACTGGGGGTTGTCAGAGCTGTTACTTACCTCTCCTGCAGCTCCTGTCAGCTCCCTCCTCCTCCGCGCCGGTCCGTGCAGCTCTTCTCTCAGCTCCCAGTGTAAGTCTCGCGATAGCCGCGGGGTCATAGTGCGGCTCTCGCGAGACTTACAGTGTGAGCTGACAGAAGAGCTGCACGGACCGGCGCGGAGGAGGAGAGAGCTGACAGGAGCTGCAGGAGAGGTAAGTAACAGCTCTGCCAGTCCCCCCCTCCCCCCACTGAACTGCCAATGCCACTGGACCACCAGGGAAGGAGAGCCCCCCTCCCTGCCATGTATCAAGCAGGGAGGGGGGACGAAAAATAAATAAAGTAATAATATATAAATAATAATAAAAATAATAATGAAAAAAAATTAAAAAATTTTTTAATAATAATTTTTTTTATAAAAATGCCCACCCCCCACCAAGGCTCTGCAACACAAACACATACACACTGCATCACACACACACACTGCATTCATACTCACACACACACGGCACTCATACATACACACACTGCAAATAAATATTCAAGTAATATAATTTTTTTAGGATCTAATTTTATTTAGAAATTTACCAGTAGCTGCTGCATTTCCCACCCTAGTCTTATACTCGAGTCAATAAGTTTTCCCAGTTTTTTGGGGTAAAATTAGGGGCCTCGGCTTATATTCGGGTCGGCTTATACTCGAGTATATACGGTATTCTTTACTTAGACATAGGTGAGAAAATGTCCCATATAGTTGGAAATGGACCTAAATTAAAATGCTGCCACTTCATAAATAAAAAAATAAAAACCACACATACACTTTAAGGACAATGTGTTTGTGGTACACTGGTTGAAAAACCACAAGTCTAGATTACAAAGAATACAAGAACGGCTGAGCCCAATGATGTTTCACATAAAGTATATTGTGTATCTTTACCTCCCACAACCCAGATGTATTTCAGTCTCACGGAGAATATTTGCAGCTTGACTGACTCTTATCACTGAGCTGGATAAGCTCTAATGTGTATAATGTTCTCAAAACTGAAAAATATTTTAACAAGGTTTCAAGGTCCACAAAAGAAGTCAATATTTTATATGTGGCGAGCTGCAGATGGTGTTGGCAGAAGCAACATTCAATTTCAAGATTAATATAATCTGTAAATGTATTACACTCGTTTCTTTTAAAGACGTAATACTCTTTAGACAGTTATTTATAGGTGCGGGTCTGCCTACATAGAAATCACAACACAGTGTTCTTGTGACTGGATAGGCATCCTTTGTCACTCCCAATGGTGTGGACTCTATCTCCATTGATGCTTTACCAGCATTATGACCAAGAGCATTATGGGAGATTTAGTCTACAACATCTGGAGTGCCAAAGGATGCCTACTCCTGCTCTAGTATGTACTAAAAAAATAAAAATAAAAATATCCAACTGCCATTTAAAATTTCAGAGTTTTATAGAATACTGATCTTTTTAGAGTAAGGTTTCTTTATTTCATAAGCATTTAAGGTGTCACTTGAGTGATGCTGACACATCAGGGGAAGATTTCTAAAAGTAATATATTCAGAATAAGTGATCTAATCACTAGCAATATAAATATTACATTGCTGATTACAACCCATTTATACGTGTCCCCACTTTCCATTGATATCTGCAGCCCGACATCTGATTGGGCAAGAGCTTGTGTTGCAAACAGCAGGGCACACCACAGTCCATTAGAAGAGGCTGTTTGTCAGCCAATTTCTCTTACAGCTACTGCTTTGTCATGGATGTAGATCAGGGGTCTCCAAACTGGTCCTCCACATGTTGCTGAACTAAACCCCCATGAATTTTTGAAAGAAATCACCAGAGAATCATGGGAGCTGTAATACAGTAACATCTGGGGGGGCCAAGTAAACCTGTATTCTCTATACTGTCAACTTTTTTTCCTTCTCCTTTTCAGGACATGTGTTCTAGAACGCCAAATAAAGCGTTGGAGAGTAAATAATGAAATTGCTAGAGGGAAAAAAAAAAGGCTGTGTTCAGGACCAATCAATGTTATATTAAAAAGTAGTTTACCTTGCGTCTGAGTTTTGCTGCATTTACCAATTCTCCATTATGTGCCACAGCAATCCTTCCATGCAGAGTTTCTACCACAAAGGGCTGACAGTTTTCCAGGGCAGAATTCCCTGTTGTTGAATACCTTGTGTGCCCAATGCCCAAGTTACTTAAATTCAACTTCTTCAAACTCTCTTCTGAGAACACGTGATTGACAAGACCCATACCCTTGGAGAGAGAAAAAATAAAAATCATACAGAATAAAAATGGGTTAGAATGGACAGTGGTTGGATACTAAGCATTATAGTTAGGCAGAAGCAGTTGTCCTTGTGCAGCAATATAGAACATATAAGAACCAGTGAACTCCTCGTTCATGTAACAGCAAAGCTCACAGAATTTAAATAAATAGTTTCTCGCTCTTTTTTTTCCCCTTTATAAATTAAGCCTACCACAATGCCAATGTACCCAGTTTTTGACAGGTGCCATCCTAGCAACCTGTGGCAGGCTTATGCAATATATGATCATATACTCTGTTAAAACCTACATTATTTTTTGCCTTAGGCTTGAAAAAAATAAACAAATAAATAAAAAATAACTTACATTCTGTGAACTTTAAACTTGCTGTTCAATGAATGAGTGAGAATAAATGTACCTCCTGTCAAGGTGCAAAGTAGTTCCAGTTCCATGACTTTCACATAACCCACATATGTGGGCCAATTTGTATTTTAGTGGCACTTTAAATATTTAAACTATTTAGGACATGGTTATTCTGGTCTGAATGCATTTGCAGATGCTGTCAATCATTTTTACAAGCTTCTGTCCTATCAGTTACCCAGAGAACCTAATGCATAAAAATGGTGTCAATGCTGGTTTGGTTCAAAATATGTCAACTAATTATTGTGCAATAAAAAATTTTTTTTTTTTTTTACAAAAATATCTTTGGATGGACATATTTTAAAATCACATTCCCCCACAATATCCAAACTTTGGCCAAGTTTCAGATTTTGTAGCAAACTTTTGTTAACATTTTAATGGTGTGCAATTACGAATCCACAACAATGTGTAGACTACTATACACCAAGATGATGCAGAATGGTCTGTAAGATGCCCCCAGTTTTTTTTTTTAGCTAAAGCCAGCTCCATGTATGGGGAGGGAAAGTATGAGGATTGAACACTTTAGGATGTATTTTACGACCCGCTGTATAAAGAATGCATTATTAATAAATAAAAAAAAAAAAATTATTTAAAAAAACAACAACAAAAAAAACCTATTAAATTGTATCCAAAATTGTACACAATAATGTGTCATGGTTTTTATTGTTTTCTAGAAGTCAAACCAAACATATTGTGGACAAGAATCACAGAAGATTTTTCTTACCTTGTGGGTTTTATACGTTGGTTCAGGTTCCCCATCGCTGGTCACAATACCAGCACTCTCCTGTCCTCTGTAAATATTGAAAACACATCAAAGGTTAAAAATAGATTGTAACTTGGGTGGATAATTCTAACAGTTAGCACAGATGCTGCTGGAATTACATTAGGTTTTTAACCAAGTTGCTTAAAATGTTCTCTCCTTAAAATAATTAAAGATATGCTTCCATAATTAACTAATTTACAGAATAACAAAAAGGCTAAAGAAAAAAAGAACAAAAAAAAAAACACAAACAATATAAAAGGGTCCAAAACCTTGGCTCAATAAACCTTTGAAGGTCTTAGAGTACTTTGCTGCCTTGCCACTTGACCCCTGTTTAGGAGAGAGACAGGCCGAGAGGTCATCTTTCAGCAGCCATTTCATTCCAACCCCATTGCATCCCAAATTGCCAGTGCTGGTGTCAGCTCACTGATACAACATGGAGACATGCAAAACATGGTTTGGGTAAACAAGGAGAAATATACAATACCATAGGATACTCCACAGGAGATTAGGAACATTCCCCCCACTGGTTGACCCATCAGTTGCAATGTTCTATGTGATTGTCACCTATACAGTGTATTCCAAATCCTTTACTTACACAAGAAAGTCACACTGCCAGAAAATGTATGCTCTTACACCGCATGGCTACCAGGCCAAGTCTAGACAGCTCCCCAATAAAACCAAGTCATTCCAAATACAATGACTACTGTGTGCCTTCATTTTTAAAGGGACATTTGAGGCTCCATAGTTACTGTATGCAAAATAAAAATTCTGGTATAATTCTGGTATAATAATCCGGGTTACAAGTATTCCAAGATTTTTGCATGCTAAACATTTTTCAAATAGACATTTTTTTTTTCTCCCACGTTAAACAGGGTTATTCACTAAACAAGTGTAAACTGTTGTGAATTTCCCAAACCTACTTTGGAGTTCACTTTAAACTCCCATTCACGGTTATTCACTAAATTCAAACTGTTCCAAAATAAAATCCAGGATTCAATAACCAAGCTATTGGCTATAGCAGTACAGAATTTTCCCAATATCAACCAATTCAGCCTAAAGTTTGCAATTTAAATTTTAATTCACTCTAGTTCAGCATGGACGACACAAACCTCTCGTAATTAACACTTTAGTAAATAACCAAGTTTGACCTACTTTTGTTTTATTCCTTAGGTTTATCACTTACAAAGCCTATTGCTCCTCCACTCAAATTAGCATTAGTCACTTAGACATATGCATGGTTGCCACTATTGGCTCAGTCATGTTAATTTTGTTTTTGGTTTTCACTACTTGTAGCTATGCATTTTAAAGAATAGAAAAAAGCACCCTGGTGAGTCCCTTTAAGGCAAATTTAATTGATGGAGTGTTAATACACTGTATACGTTTTAAGGTATTGCAGGGATGTACAATATTGTCTACATTATCCCAACCTTCAAATACGTCCTTTTGGTTCTCAAAGGGGATGCCAGTTTCTGAATTTAGATTAAAAAGTCCAGTGTTCATCACAAAGACTTTTCATCCTCTATTTTTATAAAATGCATAGAAATTAAACTATATACACCAGAAGGAGGACAAGGATTCTACTTCCACAACGTGTGGTTTCCATGTAGTGGTCCCCAAACCCTTTCCCGTGTACGAGCGATAGGCCAGGGTTTTTGTATTTCCCTTTTCTATTTCAATGGAGATAGTGACCAAACGTGGATAGTTACTGGGTCACGAGGACTGGTTTGGGACCCATTGTGGAGTCATGTTTCAGCTCAACAAGTGGTGAAGTTTAGGAAGAGAACATCAGGTGGGGGCTGATAAACAAATACTATTAACCAGTCTGAGCCTAGAAACCTGCAGCAATCACAAATGTTTATAAAAGACAAAAACACAAATTAAAAAAAAAAAAATGATAGTCCATATTTCCAAGCAGTCTTCACTTATACATAATAGCATGTGAAGTGAGATGTCTTAGACACTTGTATAACAAGAAAACATGGTCGCTATCTTCAGGGATATTATGCAAGTTCCCATGGTGACTGTTCCACTTTTAAACTATTTCCACATGGATTCAAAAAAAATTATGCAACATTAACCATTTACATCCTATATTCAAGACTGCTGATAAGAGCCTGTTTTAAGCAAATTGCAATTATTGAGTTGCTCTATTGAATAATTCCCATTTTTTCTGCTACTAAGTAAAAATGCTAAAAAAATAAATAAAAATAAATATATAATAATAATAAAATGCAAGCAACGAATTGCATGCTCTACAAGCAGAAAGCTTACCAGCACATTTGTGGCTCATCTTGTACAAGTGCAATATTGAGTGAGTATTTAGTCAAGTTATGCCCCTTCGTCATTACAAAGACCCCTGTATCAGAGCATCTTGCTGCTGCAGAACAGTTATTTTGTTATTAACATTCTGCTTTAAATACAAACAGCCCTTATCTCCTTACCACATCAAAGAGGTGCTGCAGCAGCTGATGTATTCTACATTCTATGACTTGATTATCTGAGTTTTGTTTTAGCTACATCAGACACCATACAGCATGACTGCCTGTTGCAGGTCTAAGTATCCACCCCCCACCCCATGTAAACTGCATGCTGCAGATTGAGAAAATAATCATTCTTCTATCTCCAGATACCATGATGGTTTAAATTTACCTGTGCTGCAGTCCCACTAGCCCCAGGGTGATGACATGGGGCACATCCAGCTGGGTAGGCCATTTCCCTGAAGCGATGCATCCAAAAACCCCACATTCCTCCCCAATCCCGAGCTCCTCAAATTCCATGGCAAAAGATGTATCAAGAAAACACGTGGGACTCACAGAGGAGTAGAGAGCATTCACTTCCTGAGCCAGGGAGGGTGGAAGTGCCATGCTCCTCCCCGGGGCCGGAGGTACAGGACAAGGGGGAGGGCAAGTCAGGGGGAGGAGGAGGAGACCTTTTTTTGTTGTTGTTTTGTTTTTAAAGGAGGAACTCTACAAGTCGGGGGTGGTGGAGGAGGGAATAGGTTACTGCAGATCAGTGAAATTCTATCTGTTTTGGGAAGAGGATTTAGGAGTAACGTGATCCTGTGGAGGATCCTGAGGAAGCTGCACCTGCACCGTGCAGTTATATCTGCAAGAAGACTTCACACGTCACATGGGCACCGCTTTATGGGCGTTATTTGGAGGGTGATCCAACTTGGCTACACACAAACACAGAGGGACAGCCTGCCGTGTCCTCATGCAACCTATAGCTCGAGTTTATCATGAAAAGAGAGATTTTTAGATTTGTTCAATATCATGCTAAATTAATTGAATAATTGATTGCATGACGTTTCTTAAACTGCAGTGGTTATGGTGCGTGGAGTATATCTTTAAAGAAACACTATAATCTGAAATTGTGTGTGGGGGGCAGTATGTGTATGGGGGAGCTATTGTGTGGTGTTGGGTCTGTGAGGGTAGGAGGGAAAATTAAAAAAAAATATATATATACTTTATTTGTATTTATTTTTTTTTAATTAAAAATAGAAATGATGTCCCCCCTTCCTGCTTACCTTTGCCTGAGAGGGGGGGGACATTTCCTGTGGTCCTGGTGGGGAAGCCCTGGTGGTGACAGTGAACTCTAGCAGCCTCAGGAGCTGCTAGAGTTCACTATCGCGAGATTCAGAGCATTTCCGTGGTAACGGCAGCAAGGCTCCGAGCTTGCGAGAGCTCCCCCCCGGTCCTCTCTCCCTGCCGACTGTCAGAAAAGTGCTAGTGGGCCGGAGAGGGAGATTTCTGATCTCCCCTCCGGTCCTGCATAGCCGGCAGGGGAGAGAACAGTTCCCGGTGCCATAATCATAGCACCGGGAAAATAACTCTCGTCACCCCTGTGTGCCCATGGCACACAGTTTGGAAACCGCTGGGTTAGAGGGATTCCCTGCTCTGATGTGTGTGTCATTTTCCCAAACATAGAAAAAAAAAAAAAAATGCACCAGAGCATAGAAAAAGAAAAAAAAGCATGCACCAGAGCAGGGAATCCAGCTACGCTATGTTCTGGGAACGTTCCCCGAACATAGATTTGAAGGATTCCCTGCTCTGTTTCGCTTGTCTATGTTTGGGGAAATTTCCCCGAACATAGACCTGCACTGGTGGCGTGCGCCTCACTTACCGACCAATTCATTTTCCACCGGGTTGTAAGAACGGAACCCGGTCGATAAGTGAGGAGTATCTGTACAAAAAAAAAAACTGGTGACAAATTCATGGACATTCAAACCATAGATCCAAGTGTCTTTCATATAGTATTCAGGCTGCCAGAAGGCATTTTAGTAACTAAAATACTTTTCAAAAGTTGTAAAAACTTCTTAAAACAACCAAAAGATCATATTTAATGTAAATTGCAACAGTGGATCTTACCTACCATCTTCAGGCTCAGCTAAAGTAAATGTTCTGTGTAGCACAGCTATTATGTCAAATGAAAGAGGTCTTTAAATGAGGAAATACACTTTCTGCAATTTAGCAAATAGAGGATAACGGCAATCAAAAGATGTTTGCCGCCCTTCCAGGGCTGGCCTGTCCATTGACCGTGGTGGAGCCATGGCTTGAGGCGGCACTCTGACAGGGGCGGCCTTTTGACACCCCTGTCATTATCTAAAAGAACAATAACCATTTGCTTTCTGTGATCAACAGCTCCCCAGGGCAGGAAGTGAGAACTTCAGTGCTCACTTTGCTGTAGGACGGGCAGAGCGGCAGAATCCCACTCAGTGTGTCTGACATGCTGCATGCTGACCACCCACAGGGCAGCACAAACCGCAGGACACGGAGCTCCCTAATGCAGGAGCCGAACACTGGCAGACAGGAGTCAGGCAACAGCGGTGGGGACGTGAGGAGGAGGGTAAGGCTAAGTGTAACGGACCGTTTTGCACACAAGATGAACAGTCATTCGGTTCTGCTTACCGAATGGGAAGGTAAGGAGGCTGGCGGCTCAGCGGTGTTCGCGCCAATAAGTGTCCGTTTTCAGTTCCATAGTTTGGGCGCTGAACACCGCTGGCCGTTCGGGAGGTAAAATGGCCGCTGCCACATGTTCGGCAGACGAACAAAGGCCACCCAGCGTTCATCAATTAAGCTGCGGTTAACCGCAGCTTCTGGGCGGTCAATTGACGGCACACTCCAGCTCCCAGGTGGTCCATCGTTCGAACACCATGGCAGAAAGGCACGAATAAACCTTTCAGCGGGGAAAATAACAGCTCTGAACTGCTGGGCCATAATCTAAAGGGAGCAGGCGAGCAACCAGGCTTCTCCAGTGTACAGTGGTGAGGTTGGTTCCGCCACAGTAAGTTTCATGTGCACAGTGTGTTGGACATATATTAAGCCAATCCCAGCACATTCATAGACACACTGCACTCAAACACACACACTACACGTCACCCCCAGCACTCACACAGACCCACTAGATCCCCAGCACACTCATAGACTCACACTTCACCCCAGAACACACACACACTCTTCACCCCCATCACCCATAGACCCATTTCACCCCCGCACACACAAAGACACTGGATCTCCAGCACACACAGACTCACAGTGCATCCCCAGCACACACAAACATACATAATACTCCCAGCACACACACTTCATCCTCAGCACACACACAGACACACACTGCATCCCCAGAACACACACACACATATCACCCCAAGCACACACAGACACACACTGCACTCAAGCAAAAATACAGATACAGCATCTCCAACACATACAAACTACATTCTTAGCATACATGCTGCATCAAAAAGCACTCACATCGACACTGCATCATCAGCATACATATACACACAATACATTCTCGTCACACATATTACATCTCCTATCTCATTATACATCCCAAACACACACTACATTAATTACATACACACTGCATCCCCAGCAAAAACACACTAGCTCCCCTACACACACAGTACCTCCCATACAAATACAACATCCTCTACTCTAATCTACTCTGCACAAACATTCACACTACAGTAACACAAACCTATCATCAATAAACCTACAAATTCCAAATGGCAAAACATAAATGCTGGTCATCCAAAAACAGCATCCAGCGTTATTAAATCCTCTTAGGAAAGCACTGAGACAATGTATTCCTATGGGGAGGGCCTAATGTGCTTGCCGTGCTTGCTGCGCATGCGCATTATGTCCCTGTCAGATGACGTCGAAGAGGCGGAGCACCAACTGGGGGGCGGGAGAGGCAGCATTTCATCCTTGTTTCAGGCAGCATAATGTATTTGGCCGGCCCTGCGCCCTTCAGCTCGGCTACAAGTCCTCACTACTTTTTGAGTGCCAAAAACCATCTATGTCACTCAATGGGGAGGGCAGAGCTTGACATGAGGACGTGATGGCACCTTCTGACACTAAGCTCAGCCCTCGAATGACAGACGGGAAGCTCCAGTCCTGCAGTGACAAAAGCCCGTTCTAGGGGGTCTTGGGACCATGCCCATAGTCCTAGGGCAGAAGCCTGGCCTTCAAGCCTCTTTAAAAGGCCATGGCATTGGAGCTTCCTTCACAGCAAGTAATTTACCTGAAGCATGTCACACACACAGAAATACAAGCGCAATCTAGTAATGTTGCTTCAGGACATTTCAAAGAATGCAGCTATTATGGAAACGAGTTGTTATTTCATCATTTATAGATAGTCTCCCACACAACTTTCAATCTCCAGAAATGACAGGTGCAAACACTGATCAGCACACCCTTCCAATCTCTTAACCCTATAGAACACATACCCTCTCTCCCTAAAAATAGATATATCACACACCAATACTATATACTTTTATTTAAATTTTGTTTTTCGCAATTTGTTTCATTTTCAAGTACACACCTCATACCACTAACATGAATCCAAATATAACCATACTGTTATTTTTTAATAACCCCTTTCTCATTCCAATTTTGTTCACACCACTACCAGCATAAGCACACACCTCAAACTGGAACACAAATTATCATACACCATGGCCTGCTCTGTTCCTTTAACTTATCTGCTGAGTGCTGGTGGAGAGTTCTAAAAAATAGCCCTCCTATCCCCACCTCACAAAATTATAAAGTATCCCATTCACTATATGGCCAAACAAAAATGATGTCCAGATTCCTATTGCTTCTGTTACTTGCCCTTGCAAATGATGTGGAGTCTAACCCTGGTCCCCCAGCTAATTCTAGTCCTAATCTCCCCACTAAAAAAGGCCTCTATTTTGTGCACTGCAACATCCGTAGTTTACTCCCTAAACTGGATGCACTGCAAGCCTGGTGTTCCCATTACAAACCAAAAATCATTGTGCTCTCAGAATCATGGTTAATGACTAAAATACCAGATACCGCCAATACAGGAATACAGGAATACAGGGTTATTCATGTTTTAGAAATGACAGAGCAAAGAGAGGAGGAGCCATTGTTATTTATGTTGACAGTTCCATAAAGTTTACCCCTTTACAAAACCTTAGTCCTCCTGCCACCTTTGATTTCCTTTCTGGCACAATTGAGATCCCGTGCAGTAAATCAATCATTGTTGCAGGAATCTACCACCCACCTAGCTCTCCTGTGCATTCCCTTTCTGACATCGCCCATCTACTTAGTGAAACCATAGCTCAAAACCCAAAAAGTGAACTGTTGGTCTTTGGAGATTTTAATATTGATTGGCTGAATCCTAAAAATAATAGTTCCTGCACGCTGTTTAAGACTTTGCAGCTAACGCAATTAATCTCTTCCCCAACTCGCATAAACATTTAAAGCCATAACCATACCCTGCTTGATTGGATTCTCTCCACTTCTCCTGATAGAATCCAGGAGGCCGGTGTTCTCCCAAACACTTTCAGCGATCACTGTTTAGTGTACTGCGTGCGCAAAATAAAGGCTATTAAATCCTCTCCCAAGGTTAAAATAATTAGGTCCTTCAAAAAATTTAATCTTGAATCCTTTCTAAATGACATCAAGAACCTCCCATGGCACAGATTAAACATTGTACCAGATCTAGACTGTGTTGTTGAATTCTTTCAGTCTGAAATTTGGAATTTGCATGCCCAGCTGTGTAAGGTGAGGGTAAAAGGAGCACATATGAACTGGATCACAGCTGATCTCATCCAAATGTACCAGTTTCGGGATTCTTTGTGGTCAAAGTTTAAGCGTACACTCTATCAATGATCACTGTGCATATAGACAATGGCGAAATATATGCACAAAACAGACAAAATTGGCCAAGGCCCAATATTTCTATGAAAATCTGAACAGTAACATCTCAAACCCTGGAAACTTTTGGAAAGTCATAAATAAACTACAAACTCCCCCAATCCACTCCCAACCCTCCACTGTAAAAGTGGATAACCAAATCCTGCAACTTCCCTTTAATGTAGCAAATGCCTTTAACAATTATTTTGTCGGATGCTCTACTGCCCTGATTGCCAAGCTAATAAATGACACGCATCCTGAAACCACAAATGTGGATCAGGTCCCACTAAATTTGCAAAGGCCCAATATAAACAAATTCATTTTTAGACCTGTACCTGTTAGTGTCATTAAAAAACATCTTAATAATCTAAAAATGAAAAACCAGTCCGGACCTGATCAAATCCCACCAATGCTATTGAAGCTCAGTGCGCCGGCAATTGCTAAACACATCGCAACTCTAATTAACGAATCCTTGGTGTCTGGATACATACCCAAACTTTGGAAGACTGCGAGAGTAGTGCCTATCCATAAAAGATGTGACACTACTTTGGTTCCTAACTATCGCCCAATATCATTGCTCCCGGTATTGTCAAAAATCTTAGAAAAATTTATCCATACGCAACTATGTGAGTACTACCAACAATCCAACTATCTGACCCCTGATCAATCGGACTTTCGCCAGAATCACTCCACTACAACTGCCCTCTTAAAAGTTTGCAATGACATCCAAACTGGCATGGAACAAGGAGACATAACTGGAGCTATTTTCCTTGATTTTGCAAAGGCCCTTGACACAGTTGACTACGACATTCTACTGCAAAAACTCAGGTATTGGTGATCGTTTGCTAACCTGGTTTCGATCGTATGTAACGGATCGCTCGCTATATGTGTCCTTTTCTGACATCGACTCCCTCCCTCTCCCAGTCACGTGTGGTGTTCCCCAAGGTTCCATTCTCGGCCCCCTACTAGTTACATTGTTTATAAATGATCTGCCTAATGTCTGCAAATCCTCAAATGTACACAGTAATCTATGCAAGCAAATCCAATCTACCGCAGCTTGAGGTTGTGCTCCAAGACCAGTTTACAGAGGTAGAAAAGTGGATCGCAAAAAACAAACTCTTCCTGAACACTGACAAAACTGTCACAATGATCTTTGGAACAGTACCTAAATTACACAATTCCCACCTATCAATCAAAACAAATTCAAATGGCACACTGACCGCAGTCCACTCTTTCAAATACTTGGGTATGATGTAAGACCCCAATCTATCTTTTGGCCTGCACATAGAAAAGATGGCATCTAAACTTTATCCAAATTTAGGTGCCCTGTACAGAAACAAATCCTGCCTAAGCCCTACAGTAAAGGAAAAGATTGTTCAGCAAATGCTGGTGCCAATCATTGATTATGGGGATGTAGTATATGCATCTGCATCGCAATCCCACATTAATAAACTCAACACATTGTATAACTCGTCCTGCCGATTTGTGCTACAATATAATTACAGGACTCACCATTGTGACATGCTAAAAGAACTAAATTGGCTGTCGCTGGAATCCAGACGCACCCTTCATCTTTCCAGCCTTGTGTTTAAGAGCTTTTCTGGGAAACTCCCACCCTACCTGAACAAAATGCTTTCCCCAACTGTTCCCACTTCATATAACCTCTGATCCAGTACCAGCACTTTATTTAGTCTACCTCAATACAAAAAGAAAGCGGCCCAATCATCCTCCTACAGAGCACCGCAATTGTGGAACGACCTCCCGCACAATTTAAAATCTTCCCTAAGCCTAAAGTCCTTTAAGAGATCCCTCTCTACATACCTCAAAACAGAATGCACCTGTCATGGTTGATTATATATTTCCTACCTGTTCTATGTTAAATTTTGTATTTATTGTGTATTAATATTGTTTTTGTATTTTATTGTACCCTATTGTAACAATGCAATGATTTGTGGACCCAGGACATACTTGAAAACGAGAGAAATCTCAATGTATCTTTCCTGGTAAAATATTTTATAAATAAATAAGTCATACTGATCTCTCTCTCTCTGTCCTGCAAAAGAAAAAGCGTGCAAAATATGTGGGAAGTTAAACCACTTTGCAAAAGTCTGTCATTCCAGCCATAAGAAAATGGTCCATGCAATAAGCAAGGAAAGTACTAATCAGGAAGAGTGCGATGAGCTGTAATAGACTTAGTGACACAGGACAGGCAGAGCTCAGACATAGAGAAGGCTTTTACCAATATTCAAGTATGCCCAAAACAAATTGTAATTGGGTTCAAACTGGACCTCAGATAATGTCATTCCACTACAAAACTGAATACTCCATGTACTCTGTAGATAACGTCTAGCCCTCTGTTTGGCTATGGTGGTGAACTCATAGCAGTAAAAGGCAAATGTGACCTGCAAGCATAAAGATATCGAGATGGTCTTGACATTATAAATAGTTGACACAAATGTTCTCCCTATCATAGGTCTAAAGGGCTGCATAGGCCTCAACAAACTTGTATTGTCAGTCACAACAGAACAGACAGAAGTGCCAATCATGGAAGAGTTTGCAGCTGCTTTCAAAGTAACTGGACTGTTTCCTGTGTACTATTCACTTAGATCCGCATAGAACCCTAGTAGTCTACCCGCCTAGACGCATTCTTCTCAAACTATGCAGCCGTCTGAAAGAGGAGCTTGAAAGCATAGCAGGATGTCATTATCAAGGTCACAGAATCAACTAAATGGGCTAACTACATGGTTGTTGATGAAAAACCGCAAACTACGAAAGTGTCTAGACCATAGAGACCTTAACAAGGCCATACAACAACCTCATTACCCACTACCTACCTTCAAAGACATAAAATGCAAGCTAGCTGGCATTTAGATGCTAGATTGGGCTATTGGACAATTATACTAACTGATGAATGCTCAAAACAGACTGCCTTCAATAGTCTTTGGGCACCATTGGTTCCAATGTCTGCCGTGTGGGCTGATTTCTGCCCAAATGTGTTCCAGAAAGAAATCGATAAGATCTATGAAGGTTTGAATGGGGTCACAGCCATAGTTGACGACATTTGGGTTTATGGGAAAACCCAAAGCTGAGCAAGATAAAAATCTCACTGCTATGCTACAGCATTCCAGACAGAGAGGAGTCATGCTTAATCCAGAAAAGAGCATCCTGTGTGCTACAGAAGTGAGCTATTTTGGACATTTCCTCATTACTGATGGCATAAAGCCTGACTGCCAAAGTTGCTGCTGTGAGAAACATGTAGCCACTTAAAGGTAAGGGAGAACTTGAGATGGTAGTAGGCATTATGAATTACCTCTCGAAAGTTGCACCCAGCCTCGCCAATATCAATGCACCACTGCGCCAGCTCCTGAAAGAATCATGTGAGTTTGTATGGTAAAGTGCAAAGTTACTGCTGGAAAAGGCCTGGACTGATACAAGGGACACATATCTCCGTTTCCTGGAATATTGCAAAAGCTCTGTTGATGAATTCAAGTCTCCAAGACAGTTGCTAATGAGCCACCGCCTACGGTTTACTACTCCACTCCAAAAAGAAGCTGTCGGAGGTAATCTACAGCACAGCCAAAAGGCTGGAGAAGCAACGACAGCCAAAGAGCACCTATGATAGGTCGGCCAGACCATTATCTCAGCTCAATGACGGACAGACAGTTAGAATATATCATAAAAGCAGCTAATGCTTAGAGATAGTATCATGTGCGTACTGCTGATGGACAGGTATATCGTCAAAACAGACGTCACCTGCTGGACACAAAGGAACCCCACAACACCAACACTGATAAAGCTTTGAGGCATGGCAATATTAAACCACACCAAACACCAACCTGCTCAGTACCACGCAATGACAGCAACACACCTAACTACAAAAGAAAATTTGTATTCACACAATGTTATCATGTTTATTGTTGTCCTAAATATATACATAAGTAAATGTTTGAATGCTTATAGCAGTTTGGTCGTTTCTTACTGAACTAATTTATACATGTGATGTTTAATAACCTTTATCTGTTTTAACCAATTACGTGATAATGTTGTACCTTTAATATTGTTTTTTTAAAACAAAAAACAGGGATGTGGTATTCTCATATTTGTTGTAAACCTATTACCTGTCAGAAATGCATGCTTAATTATCATTGGTCACCAACACTTGTCAATCAAAATAACTAACTGTGAAATTCAAACATTATTGCCAGTTCCTGTCTGCTGGAGGAGAGCATTCTTGCTATATTATTACACCAGATAGAAAAAAAGTCTGCATTATTCTCTAAAGTTTACCGGTATCCTGAGCATCTTTATACGCCTCATAGCTCAAGAGCACAATTATTGCAGCATCCATACTATCCAGTCCCACTCAGAGGCTTAAAGAGAAATGCACACAACATACAACACTCCAATGGTCACACTGTGATTAAAAATAATTTAAATAAAAACTGTGCTTGCCCGCTCCCCTTGCATATATAGGGACTGATCTCTGTGGGTCTACTTCAGGAAGTGTTGGAGTAGCAAGCTCAATTTTCTGACAGCTTTATTCAGAATTACAAAATTCAGGCTAAAACTGTTGATCTTGAAACAGTAAAACTACCGGTATATTCACAACTTGGCTGTTTTTTTTTAATTTTGCAATTTAGATTTTAATTCAGAATAATTCTGAATTTAGGGAATTGTTTGCAATTCAAAATGAAATTAAAATATTAGACAAAGTACAATGCTGCAGAATATGTTGGTGCTTTCTAAATAATAATAGTTTAATGAGATAGCAGTGATCCCTCCAGTTTGGGTCTTGAGGGGGGCTAACTATACACAAAATTGTAATTAAAATCTAATTGCAACATTTTGGCCATTACATTCAAAATAGTCAAATACCCAGGTCTGCAATGTATTCAGTTTGACTACCGTGCATAATGAATAAACTCGATTGATATTTTTAATATTTTATTTGTGTTTGTTGAAACCTTTTTTTTTTTTTAAAGAGAGGGAAAGGGTGGGATGTGAAAAAAGTATCATACAGCAAATACCCTTCCCCCTCCGTGACTTACTTCTACTTGATCTCCAGACTAAGGGTGCAGATTTTTGCTTTCAGACTGCTGCTCTTTCAATGTGTTTCCTGATGGAAGCAGTTTAATGGCTTAGGGCTAGGCCTAGACTGACCTCAATGATCGATTTACATCTCAGATGCTTTTAAATGCATGTGGTCCCCTACTGTGATTCAAGGAACTTTCCAAGCCAGGTGTGTCCTGGCACCCAGCCCCAAGTAGTCAAACCATTATTTTTACGGTTTGACTTCCCACCAGGCTCCGCACCCTTTTTCCAATGCTGAACCCTGTTTCTGCTTAGGAACTTCTAGATCTCCATAATTAGTAGTGGAGGCAGGGAGTGGCATCCAGCAGATCTCAGGTAACTTATGAAGGTGGGAGAGGGTTGTGCCGCCAGGGAACTATGGCCAGTAAAGCGAGTTGTAGTTACCATGGTGCTTGTAGTGTTGAACACTGCTGGACCACTAGATATTCATTTTTATTTCATATATTGCCTTTTGTTAATATATGAAATTTAAATTTTGCAGGTGTGGGCATTAAGTTGCCAGGCCCCCACCCATGGTGATTTCACTTTGTAACCCCAACCTATCACCCACAATGTCCCTCCTGTAATATTTGTGCTCCTAGATGATGCTTAGGATACTGGCAAACTTTAGTTGATTATCCAGACTATTATTAATCTTGTGCAAACATACAGGAGGAATGATGTCATTAAGCAGTAGACAGGAACTGGAAAGAATGTCTGAATTTGACAGTCATTTTGATTGACAGGCGTTAGTGACCAATGATAACGAAGCACGCATATTTGTCAGGTTTTTGGTTTACAACAAATGTGAGAAAACAACATGCCTGTCCTTTTTAAAAAAAAACAAAAAACCCCAATATGATAATGCTTGTTTCGACCATGGCCCCATACGGCACTTTGAGGTACAGGTTTTTGTGCAACTCTAGAGTGCAAGTGATCAGTGGAGAAACTAAATGTAAAGAAGGCCCTATTGCACAATTATTTTGGAGGCTCCCTCTATGCCAACTTATTTATGTCCTATTGGGAAAATATGTTCATATACCAGGGACACGGCTGGGCTGCAAACCTGGTCTCACACAGGCGTTATATAGACAATATTTTTATTATCTGGAGAGGGTCTGAAGCAGATTTTAATCTTTTCTTTAATTACCTAAATCTTAATGAATGGGGGATTAATCTTATGAAGAATGTAAGCCCAGTAACTATAGATTTTTTTGGATCTTAATATTTATGTTTCTGAACAACGTCTTAAGACCCGAACTTTTTTTAAACAAGTGGACGTAAACAGTTTCATAGAAACTAGTAGCTGTCATCATGATCCGTGGCTCCAGAATATCCCCAAGGGTCAATTTCTAAGACTAAAAAGAAACTGCTCAGACCACACTGATTTTATTGCACAGTCGTCAATTTTAAAACAACAATTTTTACAAAAGGGATATAGTGAAGAAAAACTTCAGAAAGATATAGATAAAGTAAAAGATTTGGATAGACCCCAGTTATTAAATTATAAAAAGAGGAATCAAAATACACAAACTAAGCAAATCCAGCCGATCTTTGATTACTGTAGTAATATAGGGTCATTAAAAAGCATCATAAAGAAAAATTGGAACATTTTAAAGCAAGATCACGATGTCCACGAATTTATTGGTGATAACCCCAAGTTTATTTTTAGAGGGGCAAAAAAATTTAAGCAGATTTTAACTTCTAATTTTGTAGAGAAACAGGAAGTAGACAGTAAAAAAATTTTAAGCAATTGGTCTAAGACAGCGAAAGGATTTTATCATTGTGGGAATTGTCATGACTGTAAAAACGATAAAGTGAGCATAAAAAAGAAAGATAACTTTGTATCTAACATAACTAAAAAAAGGTTCAATATTAATTCTTTTATTACATGCGATTCTAGAAATGTCATATATTTATTGCAATGTACCTGTGGCTTACAATACATAGGTAAAACCTCCAGACCCCTAAAGACAAGGATGTACGAACATGTTAAAAACATAAGAAATGGTTTCGTAAATCATAGTGTGTCTAATCATTTTTTTAATCAAACAATTCAAATCCTGATGAAATAGAATTTACAGCAATACAACAGGTTCAAACCCATTGGAGAGGAGGGAATATTACATTTAATCTAAGTAAAAAGGAATCTAGTTGGATCTTTGAACTCCAAACTTTATGTCTCAAAGGATTAAACATTGACTTTGAGATAGGTCCCATTTTAGAATATAAATAAAAAAATATAAAAAAATGTTATTGGAAAAAATTCCCTTATTTCTAGTCCCAATTAGCTTTTATACTTTTATCTGTATGTTTTATAAGTATTATTTGCTTAATGTATATATCTACTTCTTATGGAATATGCTCTATATGGTTAAATTCTATTGAGGGCTATAATTTCTTACTATATATATATATATATATATATATATATATATATACACACTTCTTTATTTTATTTTATTATATCCAAGTTCTAGCTGCTAACATTTTATATGTATATTTTATATTTCATTTTCTATTCTTTGATAACATATTGTATTTTGACTGAATCAATACTTAATAATCTTACTTTTTATTGCAATTATACTTTCCATTTTCAAATATGGCCTCTGTATGGACTCTTAATTATACTGAGATGTATTCCGCCCACTCCTCCCCTGGATGAACACGAATACGTCACTATCCGGCCGCTGGATGACGAAACCGAAAGTGACGACTTCTGACTAAGACGGAAACCGGAAGTAGTGAACCGGAGCTAGCAGCTTATTGCCGCCATGTTGAGGAGGTCAAGATGGACGCATAGAGAATGTGGGGAGGCGGGAATACACGGCCAAAGACCGGAAGTATTCCTTATATGGGAAAAGGGGAGGGATTGTTTTATACACACACACACCTGTAATCATTTTTTGTTTGTCTTCTAAAAATAAGAGCATTTTCAGTTGTAACCTGTATACTGCACCTGAGGAAGACCCTCTATACTGGGTCGAAACGCGTTGTGCTTTTAATTTTTTTATCAATAAATTTAATTTATTATATCTAATCCTGGCTACCTGGTTCCTCATCTTCCTGATTGAGGACTGCAATCACCTCCTGGGGGACCCAGCTCAGATATATGCACATCTGATTGATGCACTCTGCTTGTATAGTCTAGAGCAAACTTATAAATGTTCTAAAAATTGTGAGTTTTTCCAAGCTTCTTGATTTTATACTTTATGTTTAAGCATACTACCCTATGTTGGTGTTCTATATTCACAGAACCTAGGGACGTTCTACAAAACCTGTGGAGCTATACTCAACTTGCACAATCACCTTTTCTTCATTTCGTTTACTTATATATAAATTTTAGGCAACATGGATGAGAACAGGAAGGGACAAGATGGTCACAGGAATGAGAAAAGGAAGGGTGCTGTGGGATAAGAAAATTTGTTTTCTTAATTTTGATCTTACAGCTGTGTAGTAGGGAGTTCCCTTAATCGTCATATATGGCAATCACACATAAGGAAACCCAATCAGAGTGTTATCTACTACACTGCTGTTAGATCATAATCAAGAAATGCACTTCTTTACAGAGTTTATTACCACTATTATCATTACTATATAACATTTTTAGCTTTATGGATGGATGCAGCCATCATGGGAAAAAAAAAAAAAAAGAAGGTTGCTTACTCCAGTGTATAGTGTCAAAATACTTGGAAATGTTCTTAATCATAAAACCACGCTGTCCATTCTAAATGTTTTTGTTGAATTGCAGCAGAACGTTTGACTACGTATGTATGCTTTATCTTTTGAAGTGGAAGGTCTGGTAATATGCATTCCACATCAGAGGGAAAGTAGAAGGACTTCATTATAATTTCTAAAATAATGAATCATATAACAGACAAATTAGCTTCAAGTTCTTTAAAAATTAAATATTGGTATAATTTACATGTTTTTACAAACTGATGTGTACAAAATACGAGAGGTGATAAAAAAAAATAACTAAAAAGTCCACATTCAATAGTATGGTGCTATCAAACATCTGAGTAGGTGATTGATAGTTTTTTTTGGTTTGGGAAGAAAAGTTACAAATGCTAAAGCAAACACAAACAAAACAAAAAAACATCACGTGTGCATTTAGCAACATAATATGCAAAATGAAAATGTGATACAGAAGTTCAAATGTTTTCTTTTCACAAACAGCTTTGTGGACATAAACTAGATTTCAAATCAGCCAGAGGAGCAGACGACAACTTTAGGTTACAGCAAAATTCCATTCATAGCATAACAGTTCAAAGACATTTAAGATTAGAATTTTACTACTAGAAAAATACCGGTACTTCTATTTAAAATTTAAGGTTTACTTTGACATTGTAAGAGAGAAACCTGCAAGACCACCACTAAATAACGCCAGTGACACAAGTGCATATGAACTCCTGCCATGGATGATAGGACCAATTAATTGTATAAGGACATGGAATCACTGATCATGTGCTGAGGCTCATGTCCTAATTGAACAATTCTTCCGTAGAAAACCACAAGAAATCCAAATTGGCTCGACCTCACACCCCATTCCAAGTCAAGGTTGTAACGATGTAATAAGATGCTAATACATGCATACATCAAAGTTTTTTGTTTTTTTTATTTGGATTAGAATAATGACTTTCAGGCCCACTGCTCTCGCTCTCTGTGGCCTATTACAGAAATATATATATAAAAAATATTTAAAAAAAAAAAAATAAAGTACCAAACTATTGTTTCTTTCTAAATCATGTTCGTGCATCCATGTCTAAAAATAAATACAATATAAAAATTTTTTTATTTAAATTGCCAATTTAACCTGCCAATAAACATCAATGTTGCCAACATGCCTGCATTAAATTAGAAATTATTCTCACTAGATTCTAATCTGGTACTTCATTATCTACGCACTTTTAGCTCCAAGGTGAATCCTATATTAGATGTGTTCTCCAAATACAGGCCTTGATTTCATATTTTGGGATAAACTTTAAGTTATTGAATATTTTGGGACAAAGTCATTTAATATTTTGAAAAATATTGAAATTTTATTTTTGTAATATATGGATTTATTTTTACATACCACATTTCAGGGAATTTTATTTATTTTTATTTTTTTTAAGTTTATCCAAAAATATCAAATCATTTGAAAAAGCTAAACTGTGCAATTCAGATCTACCCTTTAACATTAGAAGGTATACCTATAATGAATGTCTACCCATGTTACCCTTGGTAATAGATGTGGGGTAAATAGGTTTTACTGGAAGGGTTATTCACTGCATACCAAATTGTTCAGTAGGAGTGTTTTCCAACTTCATTTGTTTTCAATTTGCTTTACATTTCTCAGTTTAGTAAACAGCAAACCTATACTAATGATTTTGTAACCAATGCATACAAGCGTTCCAGGGACACTATAGGCACCAGAACCACTACATGTAGTTGTTCTGGGTCAAATAGCCTTTCCCTGCAGCTACAGTAGTGTGAGCACTGCCTCAGACCATATCTAATGGCTGTTATTCCTACAGTCACTAGAATGACTTCCTGGGTTCAGTTCACCAAAAATGGCAGGACTGACATTCAGGGTCTCCTACTCTGCATGTCTATGGTGAGAGTTTAGCATCTCCATGCATAGATGCTGAATGACAGTAGTGCAGCTGCACAGAGTCGAGCAAGGGTTATAAGCCAAGTATTATATTGCTTTATTCTTTCATTTGGGAGAGTTCCTTTAAAATGTGAAAAAAAAACCCCCACAGACTTTACATGTACATTTTTGATAACATTGAACCACATGATATCACAATACATGTACAAAAAATAAAATGATAAACTTTTCTATGGTGGACTCCCTTTTATAATATGAACAAAAAGTTGCCAAAAAACATCCGGCGTGCACTTAGAACACATTTTAAAACCAAGGATAAATTGGATTATTTTTTCCACTAGGATTTGCAGCATTAACTACAGAAGTCAAGTAGTGACTGCCATGGACCTCTAAAGGAGTATTTCCATTAATCTTTCCAGTGACAGGCATAAGTATAGGGAAGAATAAGCATTACTCAGGGCACAAGTCCAATAAAAAGAACGTTTTAAAAATGGTTATATTGAAATGTTTTTTTGTATGATAAAAATAAATATATATTAGCAAATATGATATGTGCAAAAAAGTAAATTGGTAGGATGTAAAGTTTTGGGGAAAGAAAACAGACACATACATAGAACACTGCATTGTTAAGGCAATGAATGACCAAATAGAGTTAAAAATTTCCATTTGTTAGATCTGTATCTTCAAGCTGAAAATTCACAAAAAAATATATAGCTAGCTGGAAGCAGCAAAACTGTACACTCCTGGAAGTCTTGAAGTCAAAATAAGCACTGCATTTATATCATATAAACACAAAATGTAAAAAAATTATAACAAACAACTTTATACATAGTGCAAGTTCATTGTAATACAACAGCAGCTGAATGATTCCAAATACATTTTCTTCTGACAGAGATCCACAAATGTGAGAATGTTTGTTCACACCAAGGTCTCAAGTTAATGTTAGATGTGCAAAGAAGGCAAAAAATCCTGCGGCTATTACAGTTAGGAGTGGGTAACTTTTCAGGAAGCTCCAGGCGGTTAGTCATTTGGACTGATCTCTAGAAAAATACGTCAATATGTGCTGGATTTTCAGGAGACGATCCTTGAGAGAGATCATAGAAAGTACAGACAGCTGGTACCTGGGGTCCACAGGTAAAACAGCAAGCAGCCACCAGCACCACGCAGGTCCATTTGGAATTGCCTAAAAATTGAAAGACATAAAACCTTAACAACAAGGTTTGGAAAGAATACTAGAGATTGAAGAAAACATGCTGTATTTTTCAATTAATTCCGATAGGTTTGTTTTTAAAGAACAGATTCCAAACACAGGGAATTCATTATAAAGGATGCTTTGTCAACACAATGAGCCAAACATTTTTTTCTCCATTTAAAACGAGCAAATAAAGTTTTTGGACAGGGGATAAATATCTGACACAAGCATTTATAAAGATGAGACAGCCAAATGTGACCAATGTAAGATAAACCAAAAAACCAAAAAGCATAACACAGAAAACGTCAGTGATCTAAATCAATGATTAACCTGAAGAAAACCGCAAAATTGGCAACAAATACAAAATGTCCAATGAGGCGTAAGAACGCACACATTAGTCTACCATACTAGTGTTAAACAGATAAAATAAATAAATATATATATATATATATATTTTTTTTTTTTAATTAAAACACCATGAAGGGCTAGTGCATAGAAAGCAACAATTTGGAACAGGGGAATCCAGTTTTTTAGCTACATGTTCTGTAATATTACAGAGCTTAAGTTACTACTATCCAGGTTTCAATTTAGGTAATTGCACACTACAAAGAGAGTTGAACCACTGACACAAAAATGTTTGCAGACACAGACTGTTCCAGTACTTTAGAACGTGAAAAAACAAAACATACAAAAACACACGTTCTTGAGATAGATGAGAAGTGGGGTGGGTGGGAGGAGATACCTGTATATTTTCTTCCCTTTCTGGCATTGAACCAAAGTGATGCAGAATTTGGCTGCGAAATCTGTATCTTAAGTTTTGGAACCAGCGACAGGCCTGATTGTATACAGCATCATGGAGTTCTCTGAACTGCTGCAACTCCTCTTCTTCTGCAACCTGATGTAAAGAAACAATGTGTTGCAATATGGTTACATCAACGTCTAACCAAAGAAATAAACTTGGATAGAAGTGTCATACAGATTTGATGTAGGTTTTCCCTTCTCTGTGTATATTTGGAATCCCAACCAGATTCCATTTGGGCATAGCACCCTGCCCCTCTACTATAGGTGCCCTTTTGAAGGTGACTACAGGAAAACATTAATTTGAGCAGTATCTCAACAGTAAGTATCACATTTAATAGGCTTGTCTCCCATGCTACAATAGGTGCAGTGTAACGGAATCCCCATATTTGTTTGCCAAGATAGGCAGGGTTGAGTAGCCTTGAAAATGTAAAGGTTTTTTAGTGTGGTGCTGTTCCTTAATCTGTATTTTGTATACATTTTAGTCTTTAGGGCAGCACCACTTCTGAGAAATGTAAGTTATGGGTATGCCACAATTCCCTTTTTTTCTTTGAAAAGCCCCTCACATCTCACATTAGAAGATGTAGGCCTAAAGCACCCATACAAATATAAGTTATAAAGATAGGCTACCTGAATGTCTGACAAGTATTCAATGTCAGCGGTGCAATAACCATCTTTCATTCCCCTTTTCAAAACGCGAAATCGTTTTCCACCAACAGTATCCACCACGGAACGGCCATCAGGTAAGAAATGAACTTTTCGTATTTGCAGCATACACCCATAATCTGCAAAACTGAAGGAGATCAGTTTGTTAAATTCTAAAATTCATGTTAAGACCTATAAGTAAACGGAAGGAACTCTTGCTCCAGTTGGCCAATGACAAAAAAATAAAAAAAAATAATAAAAAAAATGGACACTGCCAGAAAAAAACAAAACGTTACACCTTCCACAGCAAATGGTTAAACGCTGCAAACACAGACCCCAAGCACCATGGTGACTATAGATCAGTGAGGTGTCAATGGAGCGTGGCGTAAACCTTTACAAAAAAAGATAGCCAAACTGGAACCATTCTCCAAGTCTGTTATTTTGGCTTTAAATTTGAAATGTACTTTGAATTCCTGACAGTTTTCACTTTAGTGAATAACCATGAGGGATTAGGCAGCCAACAGGGTTTCTAGAATCATCTCCTCTCAGAAAGTACATCTCTAGTCATGTGCACTTTTATTCAGAGAACTCAGGATTTGAATTCAGACACCATCTAGTGGTCAGCTACATGAGAAACTTTTGCGATGGATTAATAGGGACACCAAGCACCAAAACAACTTTACTTTAATGGAAATTATTTTAGTGTGTGGATAATGCCCTCACAGTCTCCCTGTTGAAGTCTCTGCCATTTAGTAGTTAAAATATTAAACTGTTTAATAGCGGGTATATGGGTCAGTCAATGGCTGCATAACCCAAATTATTAACTTCTAAATGGCAGATAACATACTGGCATCATGTGATTAGCATAGGGACAAGTTTGAGGTCTGTATGTATTTTTGGAGTATTGTACCCATGATCTTTACCTCTTTTCTGGGTCACTTATGCACATTCCAAATTGCTTGGTACCGGTTTCCATACACCTTCTGATCATCAGTCTGTATCGAGGCTCAAATACATGGAGAGGACAAGGCACTGTAGGATATGCCATTGTACAAACAAACATAGGCACATTTTTTGTTAAGCTGGAGAACAAAAGGCAAGAGGAAACATTTAAAAATAAGTAAATACCAACATTTTTAAGAAGTCTGAATTTATAGGTTACCTTAAGATTTTTTTTGGAGCGACCGTATCACAGGTATTACACTGAAATAACAAGCACCCAACTACTACCCTACCGATCATGTTTAAATTACAAACATGCTTATTTCTAATACAAACATGCTTATTTCATTGCAGTCATGGCAGTATTTTATAAATTGATAACTAAATTTGCTCCTATATTTATCTAGAAAATATGAGACACCTTCACTAAAAGAAAACTTAAAGCAACTACAACACATGCATTGTAGTTGCAGTGATGAAGAGTATCAGTTCTGCCTGCAGAAGGGTTGTCCTGGTCTCTGTCATTCATTTCTCAGTGTTGACCTCCATGCCCAAAAAATTGACAGGTGAGGAGAGTAATTTTTTAAAATGTTTTATTATATTTAATGAACTACTAGCATAAGGCAAGGTACAGATCAAAGTGAATGTTCTTTAATTTTAACCCAGCATGTGAACAATTACTTTATGCATGTGAAACATATACAGATACATCTGGTTATTCAGATCAACTTACTTTGACAGCTCATTTGTTTCTTCTTCATGAATCCTTCTCCTCTCTGCCAACTCTTCGGGGAGATAACACTTAATAAGATCTTCCACCAAGTAAGTAACATTGTAATTTCTGCCTGATAGATACTACAAAAAATAAATAAAGAGAGTCTCAATTGTACAGCAAATAGACAATCATCTTAATGGGCACCAAAAGTGACTACATATGACTTTGTGCTGCTGAAAATTATCAAAGTACAATGAGACTTTGTAGCAGCTACCATATTACACATACCTCAAGAGTTTGCTTGTTTTTGAGGTACAAAACAAATACTTAAATTAAACGGATTCTTATTTTATCAAACTGCTCTAGTGTGATTCAAACAAACAAGTACCCATTAAGGTTTGTCAGTTTAGTATATCCAAGGGAAGCACCTGCTAAGGAACTCGCTCTCTGCCATTACGAATAAGAGGTGGCACAGTGTGCCCAGCTGACCACAATCAAAAAGTTAAAATGCTAAAAAAAAAAAAAAAAAATTAAAGAAAAAAAAAATATATAGATTACTTACAAGGATGGGCAGAGGGCACTTGTTGCACCATGACCACTACAGAGAGCAACGTATAGAAATTAAATATGTATAGAACTATCGATAGTCAGCCAAGAAATATTGGTTTGCTCTGGGCCCCATTTACCATTAACAGAAAGCTGAAATAAGCTTTCCATATGCCCTGCAGTGAAATGGTAGAAGTTACATAATTTTATAACATGCCAACTGGCTTTTAGCATCAACTTCCTACAACCTTTTTGTTTAATCAGTTACGGAGTAGTTTGATAGTTACATTGAATGTTTATGATGATCACCTTAACATTAAAAACTACCAGGTCTGCAAGTGCTAATCGCACTTTAAAAAGAAGGTAATTTTAGCATAAGCAAACCGATAACTAAAAGTTAGAGTTCTGTTATTTATTTAAGCTTTATATTTAAGAATTTATCTTACAAATTGTGCTGGCCAGGGCCATGCAAAGTACGTAAAAAAAGTATTTTAGTGCTCTGCACTATTGGACAGAGTTAAGAATGTGCATGCACTTACATGGAATTTCTCTGTTAGATGACAGTGTATATGCAAATGACCACAGTATCACAAGGCAGCAAAGCTGCTGAAATGTGGTTCAGCAAAGAACTACGATTATATAAAAAAAAAAAAAAAAATTAACTTAACTTGTCTGCATTGCTCTGTTCACACCAGTAAGTATTGCGTTTACCAGGGTGAAAGAACAAACGACGGTCTCTTCCCTGGACCACCCCATGTATATGCCCCCAATTATTTTTGCCTCGGTCAGTGGTTAAAAAAAAAAAAAAACCACCAAACATCCCACAACCAAACTATTACATTCTGTGAGCTGAGTGTGCGGGATCTTGTATGAAAGATATATATTAGATATATTCCCAATAAATACATGCATTTAATTACGCACAGTCACTGAGGAGATTACGAAAAAAGGGGCTTTAAAAAAGCTGTAGCCTTTGCAAGCACTCCCCTTCTTCCCCAGAAAAGACTGTCTCTTTACAGGGAAATAACCTTTGAGAAGCCTCTGAATCTGTCACTTTGTGCACTGCAACACCATTCAGGAAGAATGCATGCAGGATGAAAATATAAATCAATTGGAAACTATTAAACAAACGTAAATATATATAATTAAAAAAAAAAATTACAGTTTAAGAAAGTAAAATAACTCACCTCTGTCAAAGTTTCCTTGCATAAAGGACAATGGGGTGTGTGATCTAAACAGCGTTCCAAACATTTCTTGCAAAAGGTATGTCCACATGGTGTGGTCACTGGTTCATAGAATAATCTAAAAAAAAAATAACACAAATACTTTAAAAATGTGTGGACAGTACTTCCAGGAATGTTGCACCCAATTCAATTTTTATTTAGTGTGAAGAGGTAGAGTTCGATATAGATATAGTGCAGATGAGAATTAGTCAAGTAATCAAAAGAACGTTTCAGCTACTATCAAGCTGAGGTTTATTCTGATAGCAATACTATTACCAACCTCATACACAGGGAGCACTCAAAATCAGAAACATCCACAAGGGTATGTGGGACGGTTCGATCAGTATGCAAAAAGGACATATCTTCATCCGATGCTTCTGCACCAAAAGGAAAAGTTTACAGTCAGCAATGTAGGGCACTGCAATGGTGGTTAATTGAATCACATCATCTTAAAACATACAACAAATATGCACATGTCTTCTAAAAGAATATTACATTTAAATGGGAACTAGCACTTCTCAGCATTCCACCATTAAACATCAAGTAGCTATAAACTTGTGTTAATATTTCTTTTAAAATAAATATGTTCGAGTGCGCCTGTTTTCGGTCTATTGAGTGTTGCCCCCAGTAAATTATTAATTCACATCGCTGTCCAGGTCTCGACGCTGCAGATCTTCAGAGGTCATTACTGGCTAATCCAATGCTTCTCCTAGAGAAACACGTAATCTAAAGCTTCACAAGAAGTACCTCTAGTGGTGTCGGACAGCCACAAGAGGCATTCTGGCTGACAAATGTTAGCACTACTCTTACTGAGGACAGATGCATTGTTTTTGGTTCTTAGTGTCCTTTTAAGTATTTAGCAAACTGCATCACATCACGGTCAGGGGGGATGCATTGCAAATAGGGACTAACAAAGGTCTTCACATTTTTTTCCTTTGTATACTTTCACTATGTTGACTAAGTGAGTTTCTCCCTTTAGATGTTATTTTTCACACCTCACAAATACATGTGTAACAAAAACGTAAAAAAAATGGCAAGTGACAGTAACCTTATACTGCCAGGATGCTTCCATGAATTCCTGTTTTGATTATTCCTAACCACCACCTTTGTAAATAGAACTAAAGAAGACTAGAGGACATTGCTTTTTGCCTTCATGAGATTTTTACATTTGCATTTAAAATTGTAAACGCTGCATTCTCTGAGAAAAGGCAATGCTTACATTTGTTTTTAAGGACACCTCTAGAGTCGGTCACTCAGGCAGTTTTGCTCTTACTAAACTTGCACATATAGACCAGAGGACAATGGATTTGTAAAAGGTTGATGCACATTAAACCATAGATTTTATATTCCACCATTGTAATTACTAGAATTGGGAACTTTGTACAATGAAAGAGTACATTGAAACATAAATAAAGGTAGCCCCCCCAAAAAAATATCTAACACTGTTAAGTTCTGTAATATATTTAAACATGATACTCTTAATGTGTAAATATGAAATCTGCTGGGTGTTACGTATTCATCAGGTGGGAAAACTCACAGTGACACTATGGGATTAATTATGACCCAACATGTTCATCTGTCATTTGGCTTTAAATCATAAACCTAACTTTAAAGAGAAACACTATAGGTAGTCAGGAAATATCATCACTCAGGGCTCTTACCCTCATTTTTGATATGTTTCTTCAATCCATCTTGACATATATTCAAATCTTGTTCAGACAGAGAGAATTTTCTCTTTAGCAAAATTCCCTTATTGTGACTGGATAAGAGGGGTTCTGACGACACCCTTTTCAAGCTTTCATCCTTGGCAGATATTTCTACAGCATGATTCGACTGTGGCCACTGCAGGTCACTTCTGCCGATAGTGTTCACCGATTTTGATATTCCTGCATCCTGTAAGGCATTAAAGAAAATATGCAATTAAAACATGCAGGGGACTGGAGTGTCACATTTTTAAAAAACAAAAATGCAGATTATTTTGCTTCTGATCTACCAGAGTTTCTTCTATGTTTGTATTGATAAGATGTTTGCACAGTAGTACTTTTATATTGAAGGTTTCTTTTTAGAATCTCCATACTCCATTATACAAATGTTATTGTGAGACTCTCCTTCGTTTTCACCCCATTAGGAATGTTTTATACAATATTCTTTAGCTGTCTGACTGTTGGACGGCAAGTTACCTGTTCCGAAAAAGGATGTAAACTATATGCAGGTGCTTCTTTATCCGACCCCAGGACAAAAGGCTTCAGTGGTGTGTTTGGCAAGGAAGTCCTTTCAAGGTCCTTCAGGATACCTTCTACATTCTCTGGTACAGGAGATAAGAAGTCCCGTAATATCTGTTGAGTGAATGCCACAAGGATTTTATTTAGACATTCCAACATTTCTATTTTAGATGGCCAATGTCCTCGGTTTTTCAAAAATGGTCATGCTGGTTTTTTTTGTGTGAAAAATTTAACATTTATTAAAAAGTATAAATTTTGCAATGCCTGGTGTTAAAACTTCTAGCTCTGGAATATCAATTTTATTTAAAATTCTAACAGAATAAAAAAAAAAGATATAACACAAAGTAAGAACTTTAACTAGTATCTCATTGAAAATGCGCAAGAAGATCTGTGGAAGGATCCGATTATTGGAATATTATATAGACCCTTTTTTTTGTACATATGCGAAAGCATAGCAATGATGAGGCTCCATCTGCCAGGAGCTTGAGATAGACCGGAAATAGGAGATGATGACCCAAAAGGAGAGAGAGCTTATGGTATGCATGTACCGGTCCCCTTTTCTCCCAGAGTGTCACATGATGCAAGCCCCGCCAAAAAAGTGACAGTGACACATAATTAGGTTTGTTCTACGAATTATACAACAAAAAAACTTAAATACTTTTACCTTTGTTTCTGCTTTAAAGTCCTGCTGTAGTGGTCATGATGCCAGGAGTACACTGGCCCTATACCCTAGTAATGGGGCAAACAGAGAAATGGTTTGCCCTCTTACTTGGGTCTCACTAGGCTCCTAGTCTGCTCCGAAATAGGATACACAATATCAGGCTTCTGCAGAGCTGCAGAAACCAAATATGATCATATGTGGCATTGAATGGCTGAAGGCATCAGCTGACTGCTCTCAACCATGTATTGCAATTTTGTGCATGGAAAGTTCCAAAGAATTGACATTAGTCAGCCTGGAATCCAGAGACACTGCCAGAGATGGAGTTACAGTTCTCAAGTGCACAGGGGTTAATCTCAGTAGGTGCACCGTTTCATAGTGAAACGCTGCACATACGGACTCCAAGCACTATGACCACTTTAAAACAATAAACTGGCAATGGTGCTTGGAGGAACTCTTAAATGAAATAGCTCGGAAGATATTAAAGTTCACGGATACTTTAGAAGGTAAACACGCATCACAAATTGAGACAATGGTAGGTTGTTAAAAAAAAAACAAAAAAAAAAACAAGTTTTAAAAAGCTGCACTGGAGAAAAAAAAAAAAAAAAAAAAAAAACACACTAACCTTTTCAATCTCAGATTTGGCCCAAACAAATTCTTCATCCATTGCCAAGCACTGCAGGTAAAAGGTCAAGGATTCATACATATGACCTGTGTCTTGCAGAATTTTTGCTTTCTTAAAGTAAACCTGTGCAAAGAACACATTTTACATTTAAAACTTAAATGGATTATATGCAATGCAATACAAATACAATGGGGTTTAATCCCAAAATTCTGGCTTCAGGAACCCACTTAACATAGTGTTATGTATAAAGACTTCAAACATTTATTTTATTATGCTAGTTTTAATCAAAGTTGGCCGACTTTATTAATAGGTACAGCAAAGCGTAAAGTGCAATTCAGATTTTATAACCACAATCACCTCTGGCCAGTTTCGCTGCTTTGAAAGGACAAAGTCTAGCTCTTCATGAGCTTTACCAAATTCACATAGTGCAGTGTAAGCTTCAGCTCTGTAAATACGCAAGTTCAAGTTGTTTTGATCTGTACGACAAAGAAAGAAAAATGCTATTAAGTATACATTTAATCATAATATAAAAAAAAACTCAAATTAGAAAAAATATACATCAAAAATCAAACTACAGACAAGTAAATTTGAGGTTACATAACATTAAGAGTGAAAAACAAATAAACTCTGTAGTGCTGCAGACATTACCAAGATTTTCACCAATATGAAATAAAGTCTATGCTTTACATCTATTTTTTCCCTTGAGGACTATTTGCATGTAACGAGTTACAGATAAATCTGTTTCAGGTTACTCAAATATTTTGAAATACTCTACTACTTTTGCTGATCCCTCAGTTCTAGGCTTTGTATAATGAGGTGTTAGTTGTATAACATATGACATCAGAAAAATAAGAGTTTCATAACCAGAGGTCACGTGATCAGCGTGGGAGTACACAAGAGAAAGGGAGAAGTGAGAAAAAACAAAAAACACACACAAAAACAAAAAAACTGTTGCCAGTAATAGACACATACAATGTTAAAGATACAAAGTATACATTATCCTCTTCATAGTACATTAACATAACTTAAAAACCACTTCACTGCAGTGTATAAAACTACTTCTATATTTCATACTGCCACAGTACACACTAATCACCAGCACTCATGGTGCTGTATAATAGGAAACTCGTGCAGCCCCATCAAAATAAAGCATACCTTATCTAATGTAAATTAGTAGATATACTATGGATTAATGCTGTGGATTAATAAACAGAGGATGAGCAAAATGCAAAAGTTACAAAGAAAAGGGACCTACATTAACAGAGCTATGCTACTTTAGTCATGATTATTTCCTCAAAGTTGATCCCCCACCGCGCACACACTTTTTCATGCTGTGCCCTATATGTTTTTTTATTATCACTACTATTAAGTGCTTAACAATAAACCCAGCAGTTTTAAAGTAGTAAAAAAAAAAAAAAGTTTAATACTGTACATAGAGGTCTTCTTAAAATATATGAATGTGCTAGTAAGGATTCCAAAGAGAGACTTCAACAACTGAAAACACTTGCTCTTTATTAAATTAAGAAAAACAGTTAATTCAAGGCTCTATTCCATTTATGCTAAACAGTGGAACAATAGGACCAGTTTCCTAAATATAGCTTTAAAAGAGCAGTCTAGGAACCATAAACACTACATTATATAGTGTTTATGGAGTCATTAGACTACAAATGCTATTAAAGGACCACTATAGTGCCAGGAAAACATACTGGCACTATAGTGGTCCTTTAATAGGTGGTCTATAGTGGTCCTTTTATAGTGCCCTGAGGGTGCCCAGTTTAACCTCACACAAGGATCCCTGGCTAAACACAGCCCGCTGGTACTAGAGATTACGCACTTCCTTCTAGACATACCAATTTATACCAGCACTGGTTGTTGTAATAGGCTGAAGGTGGTCAATTGACACTCTTGGCCAATCACAGCTGCCCATGTTAATGCTTCTTCATTAGTCAGTCTGAAGAGGGCAGAGGGGATGTGCTTCTGGAAGTTCTCATGTTCACATTTGCAAAATCCATTTTGTCAATATATAGTGATTATTCATTGACTAGGAATGTCAGCTGCCATTTTTTTTGTCCTTCTTTAGAGAGATTTATATTTTGTTCTCTGCTCCAGGTCTCAATTGTGGATGCCACAATTTTGTTTTCCTCTGTCTGTAGTGGCAGTTACCGTAGTTTGTCCTTATGTGGAATTCTTGTGACTGATGGATTGTGGGTAAAGCAACTTAAATGGAACTTTAAGCTCCACCCATCGCGAAAGATCATTTTTCCTATACACTGGGCCACAGTGCTTATAATTTTTTTTAAGTGCCCATTTAAAAAAACAAAAAAAAAATACAAACAAAAAAAAAACAAAAACACTTACTGCTAGCAAATGTGTGAGCTGTCCATTATCAAGCATCAATCTCCAGGGGTGTTAATCTACCATACTTGGGGCAATACACTTTTAGTGGCGAACACACATACAAAAAGAATAATCGAGGCAAGAGTTCCCTCCGATTATTGTCAAAGCGTTGTTCACTATATCTCTGACTTTTGGAGAACAATGATGCTGAGAGCACTGGGCTAACCCAACGCAAAGCCTTGCCACCCACCCAAAAATTGTTTTGGCCTAGGTGAAAGTTCACTTTTTCATTTGTCACATTACACCAAATAATGAAGGTGTATTTTATAATTATGTAGTAAAAACACAAGGAGCAGTTCTCTATAAAATTAACATAACACAGCATAACTGATGGCATTATAGACAAGTACTAAAAAATAAAAAAAGAAGCAGCACAAAAAAAAATAAAATGACTAATGCTATAAAAATTTTTTTTTTTTTTTTTTTAAAAACAAGAAAAAACCTTTCTAAACCAAACTTGTGACAGCAACAGCTTCGGTAAACTAGGAACTGATAGCAGGCTTGTAAAACAAACATGTTTTCATCCATTACCGCCACAATCCTGGATCCATGCATTATGTGAGTTATGCAACACCAGAAAAATATGACTATTTTTTCAGTACTTCTAAGAAGAGCTGCAGGAGCTGAAGTCACCAGCCTCCACAATCTCCAGACCCAAGTGATGCTATTTATTAAAGTGTCCCCATTGTGGAGCAGTCACCATGGCAACAAACAATATTGCGGCTGATTCCTCCACTTTTTAGAATCTTCCCCAGGATTTCGCTTCACTGGGTATCATCACTGGTTCCTGGGTCAATCACCCACATCCATGGATTACAACTTCAATCACCCTCAGCCAGAGATGTGAACTGTCATTGACCTGCAGAGCCTGTTGGATGGCTCCCACTCCTATCACCATCAGTCACTCCTTACACCCAGAGCCAGATATGTGGGTCTGGCCCATGGACTGACACTCCTATCACCCTCAGCCATAGATGTGAGCGTTACTGACCTGTCTGCAGAGCCTGTTGGATGGCTCCCACGCCTATCACCATCAGTCACTCCTTACACCCAGAGCCAGATATGTGGGTCTGGCCCATGGACTGACACTCCTATCACCCTCAGCCAGAGATGTGAACTGTCATTGACCTGCAGAGCCTGTTGGATGGCTCCCACTCCTATCACCATCAGTCACTCCTTACACCCAGAGCCAGATATGTGGGTCTGGCCCATGGACTGACACTCCTATCACCCTCAGCCATAGATGTGAGCGTTACTGACCTGTCTGCACAGCCTGTTGGATGGCTCCCAGCGCCTTGTGGTGCTCTCCTGCCGCAAGCAGCTCGGTAACAGCCCGCTCCTGTCCACCCTGGCCCCCGGGCTGCGGGTACCATTTGTCAGCCAGCTGTTTGAGCAGCACGCAGGTCCTGCGGGGCGGCCGGCCCATATCCCCCCGGCACAGCCGGCACTGTGTCCTGGGCTCCCCCCTCAGGCAGGGCCAGCAGTACGCGTGTCCGCACTGGGCGCTCACGGGGTCCCGCAGGAAGCCGTCACAGCCCGGGCAGCTCAGGGTGGACTGGGGGCCGGCCGCCGCCCCCGGCTCGCTCCCGCTCCAGGCCCGGTACTGCCGCAGCAGGTAGTCCACCAGGGCCCCGAGCTGCCGCGGGCCGGAGGGGGACGAGTAGCTGTCTAGAGCTTCCTTCAGGGCCAGCATGGCCTCACTGCTTCCGAGGGCCACAGCCATGGACCTCACCGGCCACCGTCACCGCGCTCCCCAACAAAGACACCTCCACACTGACAGCCAGCGCCGCCGCCTGGATTACATAAACCGTCCACACACACGGTCACATGACACACTACAACACTCCCTATTGGCTGAGCCGCCTGGATTACAAAACACGCTGCTGCCCGCTTTCGTAACATTCCAAAGGGGAGGGACCGCGAGAAGGGAGCGGGGCCAGAAACTACCATGACAGGCAGGATGGCAACTGGGCAGGAGGGGGGCGGGGCCAGAACCAGCCTCTATTATTATTATTATTACTGGGGTAATAGTGTATTATTGTATTTCCTATGGCAGGAGCACGGGTTATATTACAGCCACTGGTGATAACAGGAAATGTTTGTAAATGCAATGTTGCAACTTCAAAACATGCTGCACAGACAGCTTCAAATATACACACTGACAGACACACACATACACTCACTGACAGACACACAATCTCACTGACAGACACATACACTCACTGACACACACAATCTCACTGAAAGACACATACACTCACTGACAGACACACAATCTCACTGACAGACACATACACTCACTGACAGACACACAATCTCACTGACAGACACACAATCTCACTGACAGACACACACATACACTCACTGACAGACACACAATCTCACTGACAGACACACAATCTCACTGACAGACACACACATACACTCACTGACAGACACACACACAATCTCACTGACAGACACACACAATCTCACTGACAGACACACACATGCACTCACTGACAGACACACAATCTCACTGACAGACACACACATACACTCACTGACAGACACTCAATCTCACTGACAGACATAGACACACAATCTCATTGACAGACACACACTTACACTCACTGACAAACACACACAGTCTCACTGACAGACACACACATACACTCACTGACAGACACACAATCTCACCGACAGACACACACAATCTCACCGACAGGCACACACAATCTCGCTGACAGACATACACATACACTCACTGACAGACATACACATACACTCACTGACAGACACACACATACACTCACTGACAGACACACACACTCACTGACAGACACACAATCTCACTGACAGACATACACACACTCACTGACAGACACACACAATCTCACTGACAGACACACACACACACTCACTGACCACACACAACCTCACTGACAGACACACCTTCACTGACAGACATACACACACTCACTGACAGACACACAATCACGACAGACATACACACTCACTGACAGACACAATCTCACTGACAGACATACACACACTCACTGACAGACACACACAATCTCACTGACAGACATACACATACACTCACTGACAGACACACACATACACTCACTGACACACACATACTCACTGACAGATACACAATCTCACTGACAGACACACAATCTCACTGGCAGACATACACATACACTCACTGACAGACACACAATCTAACTGACAGACACACACATACACTCACTGACAGACACACACACACACATACACTCACTGACTGACACACAATCTCACTGACAGATATACACATACACTCACTGACAGACACTCAATCTCACTGACAGACACACAATCTCACTGACAGACATACACACACTCACTGACAGACACACACACACAATCTCACTGACAGACACACACATACACTCATTGACAGACACACAATCTCACTGACAGACATACACATACACTCACTAACAGACATACACACAATCTCACTGACAGACACACACATACACTCACTAACAGACACACACAATCTCACTGATTTGAAACACACTGACTGACATATGAAACCAGGGGGCTGAACTCACCTGAACATGCATAAATGGGGTGCTGCTGGGGGCCAATTTATACAATACACAAGATCCAACACACTCACTTATTCACTAAACAGCAACTTCAATGTTGACAGATTGTATTAGTTTATTTAAAAACACCTAATCTAATCTGGGGGTTTAGTTACATTATATGATCATACATTGCATAAACCTGCCACAACGTCAATGTACCCCATCTTTGGCAGGTCCTACTCTAACAGCCTAATGTCTGCTCTTATGAGATTAACCAACTTACTTTGGGGGAAAAATCCATATGGTGCAGTACAAGTCTAAATAGGGCTTTAGGATGAGGCACCTATGACAGGGAGGGGTGCAAAACCACAGAGTTGGCTAGACTCCCAAATATATTATTTATCATACATTATATGATCATACATTGCATACCCCTCCCTGTTATAGGTGCCTCATCCCAGGGCACTATTTAGCCTTGTACTGCAGAGAGCCCCATATGGATTTTTTTCCCTCAAGTAAATGGGTTAATCTCATAAGAGCAGACATTAGGCTGTTAGAGTTGGACCTGCCACACTCACTGACAGACACACAATCTCACTGATTTGAAACACACTCACTGACAGACGCACACACACACTTACTGACAGACATACACATACACTCACTGACAGACACACACACACACACGCACTTACTGACAGACACATACGTTCCTTTTAAAGAAATAGACCATTATGTTCATGTTTGCTTGTTTCATGAAACATAATGACACTTTTTTTTTAATTTGCACAATTTAACTTTATTTCAGATATTGAAACACAATTTACATCAAAAAGTGTCTTGCACACCAAATTAATCCCATGTTTTTTTTTTTAGTTTATTATGTAAACTGAATATGTTTTAAATGGAAATCCATTTAACCCCTTAAGGACGCATGACGGTTCAGGACCGTCCTCGGCATTTTTGCGTTGCCGACCGAGGACGGTCCTGAACCGTCCTAACGGAAAACGGGCGGCGGGAGCGATCAGAGATCGCTTCCGCTGAAATCCCGTTGTTACTATCTGCCCGGCATCCCAGGCAGATAGTAACAGCCAATTGCGGCAGTGTTACAAACACTCACTTTGACACTGATCTCTGCCTCTCTCCTCTCTGTAGCGTTTTGTGAGAGGAGAGAGACAGAGATCCTGATAGTTTGTTGCAGCAGCTGTTCCTGTGAAAAATAAAAAGTATCTTCAGTTAATTAAAATCCTATTTTAACCCCTTCCCTGCCAGATCTGTTACAGACAGTGCATTTTTACTGTCTGTATTTTTTTTTTTGCCCTTAAGGGTTAACTTTATTTTAAAAAATCTGTGTCTTAGACTGTCTTAGACTGTCTTAGACTGTCGTAGTCTGTTTTAGTCTGTTTTAGTCTGTTTTAGTCTGTCGTAGTCTGTCGTAGTCTGTCGTAGTCTGTCATAGTCTGTCATAGCCTGTCGTAGTCAGTCAGTTTCCTTCCCCCAAATCTCCATTAGATTCTTCTAACAGGAGTTAGTTTAGGGATTACTGTTTTAGTCTGTTTTAGTCTGTTTTAGTGTTTTAAAAAAAAAAAAAAAAAAAAATATTGTGTTTAGTATTTTGTTAGTTTAGTCTGTTGGTGTGAAACATGCAGCGCATGTACAGCTTGGAGGAGGCATATGCCTTCTTGGCGTCAGACTCTGACGCCACTGACACTGCGTCCGATTTTGACCCAGGTCAGTTTAGCGGCACGTCTAGTGACATGTCATCTGTGAGTGAGCCAGCTGCTAAAAGAAGCTGTGCTTCCCCTGCTACGCTGAATGTGGAGGAGGACTGGGTACCTCCACAGTTAGCTGAGCCCAACATCCCCCCTTTTAGTGCCAACGCAGGCATTAATGTGAATGTGGTTGACTTCTCCCCTATACAATATATGGAGTTATTTTTAGGGGATACCATCTGGGAGGAGATTGCTTCCCAGACTAATTTATACGCTAGCCAATTTATTGAGACCAATCCAGGTAGCTATACAGTCAGGGAGCATGCTTGGCATCCCACAGATGTCCCTGAACTTAAAACATTCTGGGCTCTTACCATGCTCATGGGGATAATAAAAAAGCCATCAATCCGGTCTTACTGGAGCACCAACCCAATTTGTTCGACTCCTATATTCTCCCAAACAATGCCTAGACCAAGATATGAGCTGCTGCTCAGATACTTACATTTTAACGACAATACGCTCTGTCACCCCAGAGATCACCCCGAATATGATAGGCTTCATAAAATACGCCCACTGGTAGACCATCTTCAGAACAGATTTTCTGAAGTTTATACTCCCCAACAAACTTTATCCATCGATGAATCCCTTATGAAATACAAAGGGAGATTAGGGTTCAAACAATATATCCCCTCAAAGCGGTCTAGGTATGGCATTAAAGTGTACAAACTTTGCGAGAGCGAAAGTGGCTACACATTTGCCTTCCGTGTATACGAGGGGAAAGATGCTCAACTGAACCCTCCTGGCTGTCCTGACTCTCTGGGGACAACTGGGAAACTTGTTTGGGACCTACTGAACCCTTTGTTCAATAAGGGTTACCACCTTTATGTGGACAATTTTTACAGCAGTGTCCACTTGTTTAAAATTCTTTATAGTTTACAGACACTGGCCTGCGGCACTGTAAGAAGAAATGCCAAGGATTTTCCCAGACCTCTCATAGAGGCCAAATTAAAAAAAGGGGAATGCAAAGCTCTGCGCAAGGCTGAACTGCTTGCGCTAAAATTTAAGGACAGGAAGGATGTTCACATGATAACAACCATCCATAACGAGGGCATGTCAGACGTCACTGTCCGAGGCAGGGTACAGACAAAACCAGTGTGCATCAGGGCTTATAACAGGCACATGGGGGGTGTTGATTTGGCTGATCAGCTGATGCAGCCTTATCTTATCTTAAGAAAGACAAAAGCCTGGTATAAAAAGGTGGCTATCTACCTGTTGCAAGTAGCAACACATAATTCATTTTTACTTTTTTAAAAAAATTAATCCAGGAAGAACCACCTATCTCCAATTTCAGCTCAAGCTGATTTCCACAATAATTTATGGAGATGGTCAAGTTCCAACGACAGTGCAAGAGTCGTCTAGACATTTTATTTTTAAGATACCGCCAACACCAAAAAAAAGAAACCCCCAGAAACGTTGCCGGGTCTGTTATAAAAAAGGGAAAAGGACAGACACCCCTTTTCACTGTCCCGATTGCCATACAAAACCTGGACTGTGCATTGGAGAATGTTTTAAGGTCTACCACACAGAAAATACATTTTTATAATACTTGTTCCTGATTTATTTTTTTGTTTATTTTGAAAGCAGCAAATTTCTGTTAGTCAGTATCCTTCCCCCAAATCTCCAGTTAGATTCTTTTTGCAGGAGTTAGTTTACAGATTGCTGCTAACAGAAGTTTTAGTCTCATTTAGTCTGTTTTTTAACTCTGTGTTAGCCAGACTCTGACGCCACTGACACTGCGTCCGATTTTGACCCAGGTCAGTTTTCTGACATGTCATCTGTGTGTGAGCTGGCTGCAAAAAGAAGCTGTGCTTTCTCTGCTACGCCGAATGTGGAGGAGGAACAGGTTTCTCCACAGTTAGCTGAGCCCCAAATCACCCCTTTTAGTGCCAACACAGGCATTAATGTCAATGTGGATGACTTCTCCTCT